CTGCTCGCTGTAACAGGGACGCGCTCAAGCAGAACAATCTCGAACAAATCGGAGATGGGAAAGGGATTGGTATTACGCGGTGAATCATCGTTTTCTAGATCGACCTCGGTTCTCTGTAAATCGTTATTTAACGTAGTAATCTAAATACATTTCCACAACCTTTTCCCAAAAGTACACTACAAAACCATAGTAAACCCCATAAAGCTGAGAAAGTATCATGTAGAGATTTCACACAATGAAGAAAGAAATTCTATAAATTCTATTCACGAACACGTGCTCGCTGCAGCTGTCACTTTTTATCTGTTCGCTGACGTAGATTCTTTAAACATTTGCATACTTTGTTCTGCTAATAAATTATATGCTTACATGCAAATATTAATAATATTAGTGAAATTCTTTATCTCGGCATATTTTGTAAAATAAGCGTGTATAATTGCTTGATAATTATTGTACATACAAGGCTAATTATTTTTCGTATTTTCAAGAACATATTCAATTTATTTATCCAGGTTCAATGAAATTTCGCAAGAATTTCGTTCGAAAGATAGTTTCAAAGAACTTACGGGTCAAATTCTTAAACTTTTGCTTTCCCTTCCGTCTGCCACGTGATAATTTCTCTCAACATCTTTCCATAACCTATACGCGGGCAAACACAGACCAGGCACCTGGCATTTCTAGACTTTCGCTATTCAATCCCACAATATATTTTTAAAATGTGAATTTGTCCAACACATTTTAAGGGTCAGAATTTCACTAAAAGATCCATGACTACCGAAGATTAACACCGTATAAAATGCTACTACGTATCTTAAGTACTTAACAAATATAGCATTAAACGACAAACGATAAAAAAATTCGGAACACGTGCTTCTAAAAGTACTTTTCTAATTTTTATCTATTATAATAACAATAAAATTTTACGTGCGCTAGGTGCTAATTTCGATGCATTGCAATTGAATGTGGATGACAAGCTACAACACATTTATTGAGACAAGCGAGCGTAAAGTGATAATAATCTCTGTAACCTTAAACCGTTATCTCTGGTTCCTTCTTACTTGCTCGAGAACAAGAATTCTATTTGAGGTTCGTGACAGTTTAAAACTGTAATGAAATGCTTAGGCGCATTCGGACTCGTTATACCTTTGAACGTCCATAGATAGCTACATACGTGCCACTATTACACAAAGAGAGATACACACTTACCCGTTGCAGGAGTTCATGATAGCCTTGGAGGAATTCCTCGCAAACCTGACTGGTCGGCGGGATGCTTTCGTGTTTCAATATTCCCGAATTTCTTAACGTGTACATTCTTTCCCGGAATGAGAATAGCCAACGTTCGCCGACAAACTTTTTTCCGATGTTATGAAAAAAGTTAAAGCCAGAACCAAACGATCACGAATTCTTCTCGAATCACACACACTCACACACATAAACAAACAACGGAAACGTAAATACTAGCCGGAGGAAAAACTATTTTGACGAAATATACAGTGCAATCAGAAAGAAAACGAGCCTCGTCGCGATCCAGCGATTTGAGTGCTCGGAGCCCGATCTCGAGACTGAAGAGCGCGAAGAAATGACGGGGGAACCGAAACGAAAGATATTGGTTCGCCTATCTGGGCAAGCCCCCCACCATCTTTTTTGCAATGTCTACAGCTACCGTCGTGTACGTTGCGTACGCTTCCAAGAGAAATACCTGTTGTCTGTTGGCCTTAGTTTTTCGTACGGACACGATACGGTCAATTGACACCATTCGACGAGTCTACTTAATGGCATAGCTATTTTATATACAGTTGGCCACATTAAAAATCGTCTACCTCCTTTAATAATGTATGTATAGATGCAATACTTGTACAAATAGTGTCACATATTTAATCCATACTAGTATTCGTTTTGATACGGAAGTTGATACAAAAATTTCTAAAGCGTTATTTAAAAATTAAAACATATAGCGACATCTGTGAAAGTTGTTCCACATTAAAAATTATCCTCCTACAAAGTTTTGTGATTCGAACAACCAAAATAAGCATTACACGCGAATTATAATTGTGTTTTATACGTATGTATAGTAATTTTTTGTAACATTAATGGTTAACGAGTGGTGGACAATTTGTCAGTGTAACCGACTATAACTTTCACGCAAAAGGAGGACACGTGGTTAGACGGCTGTCTCCTTAAACGTGACGACTGAATTAAAACACACAATTGTCCGCGTGTACACAGTGTTCTCGATTTCTAATTGTCACCGATAACACATTACGTTATCGTTAAAGGGATAGATAATAATTCAAAAGAGTTCCTCAGCGCCGATTTTAATGATGTTGAAATATGTTGGTAGAGACCTTATTTGGCATAATTTTTCCCTATACATATATGTTATCGCCACTCTGCATTTTCAAGATACACCCGTTTTGTAGATGGATGATTTTTGTCATTGAGTTTTTAAATAATGCTTCATAAAGCTTCTGTGTCAATTTTCATATTAAAACAAGTACTACCAAAGATGAAATATTATTACATCGGTTGTACAAGTATTACATTTATATGTATATTATTATTTATGAACAAAAATAAATTAACAAAGTAAATAGACGATTTTAAGTGTGTTCGACTGTACATATGTATTCCAAGCACGTCGATCATGCATGGCATGTCGCACCTCGGCTGCAAAACGAGAAATACTTTTATACACTATTTTGAAGGACATTAAGAGTCTAGTCGAAACAATAGAGCAGGAAAGGAGAAATTTTCGATCGTACTATGCTGATTCAACGATTTCATTTGCATGTATTACGCGTGTGCGAAGCGGATATAGACTGCAACCGTTCCAGACGTAGCAGCGCAGCTGCATTACGGAAATACACACAGAAATAATAAAATGCGTCATCGTATGAGAAAACTAATACTAGATTGTACAGTAACCTCGATATAATACGTTACCGTTACAGTATACTAGGAACGAATATATTAAAAATTGTTTTCTTTTATTGCAACTGACACATATGAGAAATTCTAGTAATTTTTATTTTTAAAACCATTGAACCACACTTGTAGGCATAACGGTAACATCTTATTTGTTTTGTATTAGAAGGAGTGATAATATGTCGATCAACATCACTGTAAAGGGCTTGAAATCTTTCAGGAAATGTTATAGATCTTCTGTGGCACGAGGATCTGTAGGTACAGTACTGGTCAAAGTTTCTGTACCCACTGGTTACTGCCCAGCAATACCACGATAGCCTCACAGTCTAGCACCATGGCTGACGAAACGTTGCGAGATATTTCACCAGACAGAGAAATCTCGCCGTTTACCGATCAAGTTCGAATTACGATACGTTCAAAGAGCATCGCGTTCCGTTACAGATAAAACTCACTGGAATATATTTTTAAATACAATCAGAAACGTCTAATTGTTTGCTCTACTTTCACATTTACAATCGATCGATATTTATTAACTGCTCACATGAAATGCACACATTGGTGCAATTTCGTTAGAATAGTAGAGTTGCGTGTACAGCATTACACGGCAGCATGTTAAATAACGTTAAACGACAGAATTAAATCAATTTTACAAGACTAATGTTTTGATCTCTTATTAAGTTACATGTAAATATGTAACTGTAAACTTGACACTAACCTATTTCCTTCACTATTGTGTTTAATATAGCAAAAAACATAATATAAATTTTCTATTGTAGCATGCATTATCAATGTACATGCAACGAATCGAGCTTGCTAATTCTAAAAAAGCGTAATACAGTGGTTTCGGTGGATCTCTTTCTATGGCTATCGTTATTTAGCTATGATAACGGGGGAAACTGCTGTTAGCAAGGATGGTCGGGAAAAATAATAAAATAAAATTCTGCATCTAAACTATTTTGTTCTAAATCACTTTCGTTGTTAAAGTAATATTTTCACTGTTTCGAAGATAGTACGCTCTGAAATTATAGTGCACACGATTACAGTTTAAAGAAACAAATTACATCTTTAGGGAGTGTATCGCTCGATTCTCAATCTTCTCGTCTACTATAAGGAAGGGTACACGGTCGCGTAGAAAATAAAAAAAAAGAGATATCGCGACGGCGCGGTGCGGCGCGGCGTGTACGCGTGCGTGTGAAAATTACACGTCTCTACGGCGCATGACCGTTTGAATTGAGTCGACGCGATAGTTGGAGGCCGAAAGGAGCGGGGAAAGGCACTGGAAACAGCTGAGAGACTATCAAGGTCATTTCGAATGACAGACACACGTCACACCTCCGGTCGAGCCCTCTTCGTCGACAAATCGGAACCCAGAATCGACTGGATCGTAACTCGTGCACATGCAAACTACACCCACGAGTTCATTGTACAATAGCTATACATATAAGCAGACGTTTAGAACCATTTGCGCCGCTACGTTTGTGTTCCCACTAACTAGAAGCGAAACGTATAAGCAAACTTTTACTATTTACCAAGAATTAAAAGGTTCGGAAAGTAACTGTTTCAAACTGTTATACATATGCATATAGGTTCTTACTGAAACAATTTTTAAAAGAGCCGAAATAATGTTATAATTGTTACTAGAAAAACGGTTCCGATGTAATATCGATTTCGGTTACGGTTCTAGTATTGATTCTATACCGATATTATATTATATATATTAAAATTAGAAGAATTATTAGTTGGTGATTCGTATGAAATTTTCCAACACTCTCTTATCGAATTGGAAAAACAAGATTAATTTTGTAAATGAATTCGTGAACTATGGAACCCGGATTCAACATCATTTTACCACAAAAACGAATTGAAAAAGTAAAAATTTGCTTAATAAATACATATGTAAAAATAGGACAAATACGCGCAGAAATGGGACAAATATTGAACGAAGACAGAATTGTACAAATTAGCAAGAGTAGTTTTAGCTATAGCACCCACACAGATTACCGCGGAACATTCAGTTTCCGGCTTAAAATGTTTTTGTTAAATGAATGTCATTAATATAATCATACTGATATACTCACATTTGTATGATGCCAATATTCGATCAAACCCAAAAGATCACTGCTCGGGGCGTAAAGCAGAAAATCTCGCCACTCGTTGAAACTTATAGTAAGACTTCCATCCTTGTCCATTCTACAAATCGATATTGTGAATGCGCGTTTATACGTTGTGTGCTATTATCAATTACGAATTATCGGCTTTAATTTTGAAAAAAAAAAAAAAATATGTAAGAAGTAATACAGCGAACGTAATTTTTAAAAGGACATCATGAAATAGTGCAAGTGTCAATAAACTTGCGTGTTTTCGTCTTAGAAACCCGCGGCGCATTAAAATACTGACCGAGGTAAGAACAAAAATACAAAAATTTCTAATGTTTACATAGTCGATATTGGAAATAATTCCTCTTATATCAGAATGCAGCGAGGAAAAGTCTCGTGTTCCAAAGAGGAAATAAGAGAAGACGCATAATACGACGCAGGATTTCCCATTTGAAAAAAGGCAAATAAGATTAATAGTATCAATTACTAACATATCAAATTTAGAAGACTGTTCTTATACAAACCTCGTCACTCTTCCGTGCGTTAAATCGTAATATTTTTTTTATAAAAGAAATAAAATAAAGTAGTTTTTTAAAATTCTATACAATTAATTGTCAATATTCTTGTCATTTTTATTCAATATAGTAGTGTTTTTATAGAAATTTCGTCCAATCGTATACGTACAATCACATTACATAATTGTTTACGTATCAAAATATCGATTTTGTAACGAACGCGCGAGTGAACGCATATAATACACGCCTTTGCGTGAAAACTTACCGTTGCAGCAATTTCTTTGCTTCGTCAAAATCCATCTTGATTCCCAATTCCTCGAACGCCTTTATCAGTTCCTCCAAATCAATTTTTCCTGCAAAAGTACAATATAAATCATGATACATTAGACATTACACAACGGCTTGCTTTTTATGGCGCTAATTAACGACGCTTTGGGTTAATAATCGAATTTTATTTAAATGTATAGTTTTTAAGTAATTTTAATAAAACATTGCATATTACTTCTGACTGTCATCAATTATTATTATTATTAAATTTTTAGAATATTTATATATAGATTGTTCGTCAAAAATGATTATTTATAACAAAAAATTCTTTTCATGAACTACAATGGTTATTCGTAAGGAATTAACATTTCCGTAATCGATATTATTTTTTTATGCATTCACCCACCATCTTTATTTTTGTCAAGATGAGAGAATTGTAGACGCAAATTTTTTTCATGTTCACGGACATAATGTATAAATTCTGCTAAACTGATATCGCCGCTCTTAGTGCTGTCCGATCTGGCTAAAAATTCCTGCGAAAGAAAAACAGTTCACAAGTGTTATTTTACCTTAAATATTGGGAAAAGTTATCTTAAAACTGAGCATAAAAGAAATTAACAAGTTTCCATGAAGCAACATTTGCTCAAAAGAGAAAAAAAAAAAAAATCGAAATTTTCGTACGCATGTGTGCTACATTGTATATACATACATAAGTATGCACTTCAGTGCATTTTCCATCGATGCTTTGTAAAAATGATAACGATACGTATTAACCTTGACGAAACCGTACGAATTAAATTAAGTAGGAAACTTGAGTAATAGATAAAAGTTTTGTTTTAAGAATATCGATGGTCGATCTACTTTAAACTAAATAATACGGTTCAAATATTTCAAAACATCGTTCAATAATTAAAATTATATTCCAAAACGAACGTTGCAATTTACAACTCGCAAATGATGTTTAAAATCAATAACAATGCTGGTTTTCTCTTACAACAAATATACGTCTACTTTATAATATTTTACAAGTCTCAAAAAGTAAAAAATATTTAAATATATGTTTTACAAATTTTTATATCTTTAAATGGTAATAAAGAACCATAGATATCAATGTTACCTATCATTTTTAAGGAATTTGCCAATTTATTTGTCCAACGGAATGTTTGTGTTTTCAATTTGAGTTTAAAAAGAAAATACCAAAAGTTACCACCGTAATTTTTTATATATTAATTTCAGGCAACTTGAACTTTAATTTAATGTAAATGTTCTGTCTGATGTCGAAAATTGATTTACTTTAAAAGTAATAATTTTTGTTCCGAATTTCCATACACATAGTAGATATATGTATGCGACACACTAAATCGCCTGAAAGTCGCACGCAACGTCCGCATTATTAAGTACGTAGTTCGATCGTGAACGTACAGACGCCTCTAATATCGATGCACCGAAATATCGTAGATTTTAAAATTACACGTACCTCGGCATAGTATTTATCAACTCCGACTTTGCAAAGCGCTTTCGACAAATCCTTCACGTCGATTTTCCCTTTCCCATCCAGATCTAAATTTTCGAATATTTTCTGCAGTCTCTGTTCATCCTCTGCCGGCAACTCGTGCAGATAGTGCGGTGGCATTATGCCATGCACACTACTTCCTCGATTAACGGGCATGGTTCTATCACTTCCTATACTGGTAAAATATAGAAGAATTCTTTTTTCAGCATTCACCCGCGGCACACCTTATCTTTTCTTATTTCTTTCTTTCTCTGCTTCTTTTTTTTCTTACTTGTCGAAAAAACACTCGTTTTGCAAACTACTTATTGACTCTTTACACGGTCGCAGCACGAAACGTTTCGATCGTTACACACGCCTACGAAGTAACTCATAATTACACCACACACGTGGCTCGTAAAGTAGCGTACATCGATTAATTCGCACACTTTTCACCCAATGAAGGACGTAATCCTGATATAGAAAATATCTATATATTTTCCACACCCTTTCTTGTTCTACGAATTCATCCAAATCGACCGTGTATTCACCGCACACCAGATCGTAGGACCTTTCACATCCAAAACCGTACAATCGTCTAAGCCCAACTAAGTCCAGTGCCGCTGGAATATCCTGCTTCGCACGAAATTACGCTCGGCAGCGCCATCTGATGGTAAACTTGAGAAATGTCGATGTTGTATGTTCTTGATCGATAAAAACAACTTTATAAACGCATTATCACAGACGAGGTATACGAGTACATATACCTATACAATTTAAAAACTGTTATAATATAGGTTTAGGTTCTTCACAGCAATTATTTAGAATAGAAACTCTTTATAACAGTTTCGACCACAACTTTTATACAACGGTTTGAAACAATTATTTTCGAGACTTTTACAAGGCGTTTTCAACCCTTTTGCTACTTAATACAATTGTAATTGTAATGAAAAATACTTTCATATTTTCTGTGCACACAAATATTGCACATTTCTTTAAAGAATTATGATTTTACAGTCTAAACAGATTATTTTGTTCGTCTGCTACGTAAACTAAAAAATTTAAAAACTTTCTGTTTTGACCGCACGTTATACAAACTTAACAGTTAAATACTAGAATATCGAGTATTTTAACATATGATATTACAACATAGACATTTAATATTTAAGAAAATCACCAAAGAAAAACTCGCGTTTATATTGAATAGATAAATATATTACGCTTTCACTTACAATACACTTGTTAGAAAATACATTAAACTTTCTGTGGATTTTCGTAAACAATACAAAACATTCGAAGAACTTTATCTCGATGTAACATTATTCCCGGTTAAGTGTTTTTCTATTAATCTGGTCAACAGTAAATATGTATTCTTTACCTAAATAATCAATTCTAGTTCTTGTTATGGCTAAAATTATGAAAATGGAAGTTGAATTAAAAATATTGGCTCTAGTCTTTTTAAAATACACCACTAACAGTGGACATTTTATAATGCCTAAAAAAGAATCATTTTGCCGGCTTTTATATGTTATATTCGACAGCCTTCTACTTGATTTATAACTTTAACAGATTATTACTGGAAAATTAAACATAAACGACATTAAATAAATTTATGTTTATTAATTTATCGTTAATTAAGTCATAAAAATCTATATGATTTTATTAACTTTAAAAAAATATGTTGTTTTAACATAGTTTGATCTACTGTACTTGAATAAAATAAATTATATGTTATATTTTTCAAACCAGAGCCAAACAAGTCTTTTTTTCTATTATTTTCTGTCCAAGTATACATAAATAAAAAGGAAGATAGCTTAATCGTAAAGAATACGAACTATTGTTTACAATTCGTTGACCAGTATTATCAAGCATTCGTATTTCAAATTTCATTCTACCTTCTGTTCACGTACAATTAGTAAACGAAAAAGCATTTTTCAAAATTGTATTTTTGTATACGAAGGATTGAATATTTATGGAAATTATATCTACGATCGTAATTGTACGAATGCGATAATATAGTATAATATATAGGTTATTCGTCAATATTATTTGTTTATTAATTTTTACGTATTCGAATGATGAACGAAAGCGGGATATCAAGTTTCTTTGTGAACGTACCACATGTTTATGTTATAATGCGACTTTTTCCATAGTTATTTATTTTAGAAAAATACATTAAAAATGCCAGACTAACAATTACATTAAACGTAACGGGCATTGCAAATATATGACGTCATCCAAATATACGATTAATATGTTCTACATAAATTTAATAAACCAAATATTACAGAATTTTGTTATCTTTTTTCTTCCCCCTAAAATTCCATTTCGACGACTTTTAGCGTAACAAAAACATTAAGCTATTCACATATGCATTGCCCATTATGTTTATAGCTAATATAACAAAAAATCTTACAATTGGGTATTAATTTAACATAAAGTGTCACAGAAGTACCATTCGTACCATTAAGTGCCAAGTGCGCGCTGACTATAATGCATTATATACCGATATGTATATAATTATTATTGTTTCATATGTTCAAACAAAGAACGTTAATATAGATTGTATGTGGCTTCATACCATTAACATAGGTACGCGTGTATTATTATACACATAGTGACATGTTTAACATGCAATTAATCTGAAGCTTGCACAAACATTATTGTTGCGCTTATTACTTCCCAGTGTACACAGCCCTCTTCGCTTTTTTACTCTACATTTATCAACGAGTCATACTACGAATAAAAATAAAAAATATAGAAGGGCAACATTTCGACAAATGGATCACTAGAAAAATTACTGACTATAATTCCTTCGAACGACGGAAACATTTTAGGTGTACAAGGCTTTTCTTTTGAGTCGTCTGTACAAAGGAATTATCTGAAATATAAAGAGCAATTCAAAATAGAAGCTTACGGAATTAAAATTTTATAAATATATATATATAAATATATATATATATATATATATATATATATTTTGTATCTGAACAAACTGTGAAGACGGTATTCATTTACAGAAAGGAACATTTATATCTTCCATATTTAACCTTGTGCTCAGACTAAAATGCCCTTTAACATAATTAGAATAGAATGTATGTATGAAATATATGCGCATTGTTAATTCTTGTTCCAAGAACTTTGATATATATTACGACATATACAAATGGTAATCGTCACCAAATTTGTAAAATTATTAGAGTTTGATTTGCAATCGTGATACCTTTAGTGTAAAGAAACATTTCAAATCTTCATTTGAAAATCTAAAGATTATTTTAATCTGAAAAGTACAATGTTTTCCAATGTTTTTTCATGCTGCCAATATTATTATATTCAAGATGCAAAATCAAAATATGGACCCTTTCTGTAATATCGTAACACATTCTCTTCAATATTATAGCCAATTATTATGTTTGTAATTTTTAAGCACAATCGTATTACAAACGTGTAGTGATTGCAAATTAAATTCTCGTAATCGCAATAGAAAATTTGTACTACATAAGTTTTTAGTCTTTATAGTTTTATCTGTGAAACCAGTAACAAAATAAATAAAGTTTCTAACATACTTCTCAAATACATAAATATAGTTTTGAATCTAGACATAATTAACACCAATGTTATCTCCAATGTAGAACAAATAATTTCACTTTTGCATGTTTTGCACATTTAAATCTGTAATGGAAATATTTTATCGAACAAGTATTAGAAGTTGATTCGTTTGCGTATAAATATTTCCTATTACTTTGCATAATTGAAAGAAACGTGACCGTTCTTTAAATTAAAAAAATAAAGAAAGACAAAAGAAACAATTTCAGATGTCAAAAAAACAAAAAAAAGAAACTGATTTTCGTTACAACTTTTACATATATCTTATATATAAAATAAAAGATATATATATATATATATATCGTTTCATGATATTCCATTACAAATGAAAGAATGTTGTGTTAGTAAATAATAAAACAAATAAAATTGCACCATCGTTTATAATTTTCGTAACGAAACTAGTTATGTTCTGAGATTACATTTCTTTCTAGTTTAGAATAATGTGCCCCGTAAAAAAAAAAGAAAAAAAAAAAAAGAAAAAAAGAAAAGAAAAAAAGAAAAGAAAAAAAAATTGGAAATACCGAATCGGATACGTGTAGATGCAGACTGTTCTTGTTTAGTTTTTGTATTGCTGCATGCTTTAAAAGGCACATTTTTAGTTTGAAAGAAATGTTTTATTTGAACATATCTAGTTGTGTGTAGCAAGGTAAAACAATATTTTTAACGAGACAGAAAGATCAACTTTCTTTTGACCTCTACGTTTCATAAAAGTCTATGTCACTTCCACTAAAACTGGAATTATTAATATTTATACTATATATTATTTCATAAAAAAATAGAAGAACCCAAAAGCTATTGCAATGCATAAATCACTGTACTATAAGAAGTAAGTTGATCATACAATTTCACAAAATTTTTGTTACCACGTTCATGATACAAATCAAGTTAAACGAATTGAAGACAATCTTCAATGAAGGGGGGAAAATCTTTAAATCGACAGACGTTATATAAAATGCAAAAAAAATAATTAAGAATGTAAATTTCTTATCAGTAGAATCAAGTACATACGTCATTATATTTTTGTTCTGAGGAACGTTAGCTTCATATTTTTATAGTACAAATAACGAACAAAAATAAGGACAATACAGTATATGCCAATACTATCAACATAAATTAAACCATGTTCGCCACAATTAAAGTAATAATTATTTCTGAAATTAAAATAATAGTTAAGTGGAAGCCAATGTGACTGTTTCAAGTTTCTTATAAGTCCGTAAATCGAACATCGTTACAAACGTGAGAGCTGCAGCTCGCATAACAGTCTGTTCATTTCAATTTTTTTCACTTTTCAGCAAAACATAATTTTAAACCAATGGTTCTCAAACTATTCGTTCTAATTTTACAAACATAATAAATTAATACAAAAATAAAGGAACTAATTGATGAATTAACAGGAACTGTTTCCATAATTTACATTATGTATTATGCTCACTATAGGATTTCAATAAATTTTTAATAAATGAAAAATCGAAAAATTTGGTTTTCACGTTAAAATCTATAGTTTGAAAACCACTGTCTCAATATATTCGATTATAAATAACAAATAAAATGCAATATTTTTTCACCAGGCACAAATGGGGTCTAATTAATTTTCAACCATGTATTGCAAAAATAAAATAAAATTTGATACTATTGAATTTTACTCGCATTAATTGTTCAAAATTTTTAAATATTTGAAATACCAATACTAAAATAATTTATTGCTGATTTAAAAAAAAAGAAAAAAAAAAATCACAGAGCATAAAAAACAAACCTGTTAATATCTGTATTTATAGCCTTATTTATATACCAATTTTTTGTAAGTTGCAATCATTTCAAAAGTAATTGTCGATAATTATACGAAATAAAATGAATTTAAAATAAAATGTCAATCACAAATTAATTTGTGTGGACAGATATACTTAAAATTAACAATAACATTTTATGAAACATGTAAAAGTAGAACAAAGTACGATACGATGTACTAATTTACCGTGTTTTATTCGAAAACATATTTTCAGATTCCAAAACATGAATCGCGGATGAAAGCTACATATTTTTATTTAAAAAATGTTGTTTTATCAGCTAAAAATCAATAGTTATATATGTATATATATATATATTAATATATATAAATATATATGTATATATATATATATATATAATTAAGATATATATAATTCTTAATTAGAAGCAATATATATCTTAATTACGCAAAATTTTAACAGAATATGTTAATTTTGTGTATGCATAACACCTATATGTATTCGTATATTTTTATTATATAACCTTGTTGCAGGTTAAATAGCATTCTTTCCGAATGTATCAGTAATATAATATTCTTTGCTTCATTGTGCAAACATATAAACAAAATATACTACATCCTGTCATGTTTATAAAACACTGACATTAATTTCTGTTAAATTTTAACAAATCTGCTCTCGTTTGTTCAATCTGTCTGACAATGAAATGTCCCCTTTATGATATTCATATAACGGAACACCAATCAACCCTTCACCGGTTCTATAAATTGTAAATTCCAATGCGGCAGCTAACTCTCACATCTTACAATACACTGATCACTATAATAAATTGCTACTGCAGTTAGTAAAAATTAAAACAACGTGACTTTCTGCATAACTAAAGACGAGTTACCATCATGAAGGATTTGACAAATTGTGTTTAACAAATTTTTTCGAAGTATCACATATTTACAGCTAGTTTTTTTTATACGTTGGTAATAATTTCAGGAAAAAGTACATTTTCACAGTTAAAGAACAAATATTATGTACCAAGAGACTTGTAAAAGGTATAGCACGTGAGAAAGTAGTGAAATCTACTTTGCATTGTACCATACCAAAAGAAGAATTTCTATGACGTCAAAAACAGGGGAGATGATAAATTCTTTTCAGTTATCGATAGTGTTTAAAGTATCATCATCCAGTATTAATTTCTTTTGATGTTGCTTAGAAGAGTATGAAATTCTTCTTATGCAAATAGTACAAATTCTATTTACTTTCAGTCATTCTGTTGGAAAAATTGAAACATGCTGATGCACGGAAGTTTGCACAAAAACATTATTTGTACATGTCAAAAGAACATGTTTCGTAAAATGAATAATAGTCAGATCTAAGTAAACAGTATAGTAAGACTTACTATCTTACTATTATTTTTTAGAATTATCCTCTTCGCTCGACCAATGTTTTTCCTGTTCTTGTAGTTCGAATTCCCATCGCAATTCTAATTCTCGCATATCATTTGCAATTCCAGCCTCGTACGTATCCTCCTGAAGACCCAATCGAATTAAACATGTTTCATATAATTTGAACAATAATTGTTAGGATGATTTATATAGAATATATAGTAGTGTACCGTTTTCAATTGTATTTTTGTACGAAATTATAATAGTGCAACTTACCTCTTCCGATTTATAATTTTGATTGAAATTTTGAGTGCCAAGCAAGTTATTCGATGATTGAATCCAAGGTACAGTACCATAAGGACTCCAATTTCGTACATCTTTTTCTTTTTCTCTAATACCAGCTTCGATCAATTGCAATTCCTGTGCTAGCCTTTCTCCGGCTGTGAAAGTTGCCCCTTGCGTAGCAAGCTAAATGTGTTTTTTATATCAGTATATAAATAATAAATAATAAGATATTAACATTATTTAAGCATGTATTATTTAATAATACCTTCAAATCGTTGATTTTCTTCTCGAGATGTTTTAGCTGTTGTTTTACTCTTTGCGACTCGAGAATTAAGCTAATGAAAATGTACATCATAGTCAAATATTCCTAATTATTAACAATAACGTCACAGCATAAAAAATTATCTTACTCTTTTGGCATGCATTCTGGCCGTGGAAGTTGCGTATACGTTGACGATTCGGATAAATTGCGACCAAACGTAATGTAATTATCCCCAAAGCCGGAAGTATTGATGGACTGTACTCCTCCATTGGCACCAATAGCAGCGTAAGCTGTAATAAAACCACCTTCTATAATACTGTATTACTTCGATTTTGTTGTACTAGTTTTGCACAAGAAATTCAATTTTTTATACATCAAATTCATATTTTAAAATCTCTGTTTATACTACATTGTACTTACGTTGATTACCGTAATACCAAGATGTAATAGAATTTGCTGTTGGTAAGGATCTATAGGCAGATATTGTAGGAGGTGCACCTCCTTCCGCATAAAAATTAGCAGGTTGTACACCATTAGTAGATCTAAAAAATAAAGTTATACCATTCGGTATTCTCGTTTTATGTTAACATTTACACTCATACACGAAAGGTCTTGAACGCTTACATTTATAACATTCAACTAATGAAATATACATATATGCATGTTAAATTCTCTGAAAGGAATCGTTACCTCATCAAACTTTTGGATAATTTTGAAATTGGTCCATATTTATTACTAGACGATGCATCAAATGGCACAAATTCATCGTCAAATAAAATTGGATCCGCACATCGAAAATTGTTGTTGCAATTAATATTTGATGGAGGAACCATGGGATTACTTGGTGTATTTGTCCATATAGAAAAATTTGACGATAATGTATCTCCTCCTTGGATGTCATAATTCTGCAAGGAATAAAATGAAAAATAATCGTAAACGATATAGAGAAAACGTTTATAGCGATTTCAATAGTAAAATTATCTAAGGATGGTATTCGGTCTCGAAAACGAAATTTTTTTTCAAGCTCGAAAACTTGTTTATTTTGATACTGAAATGAATTTCGGTTTCGGGACCAAATACCATCCCTGAAATTATCGTACCGTTTTTATTTGTGGCACTTGCTTATTGACAATCGTTTCCAGTTGATTTAAGATTTCCATTCTGCGTTGCAACAACATTGCCAATGTTTTGGCGACCGTGCGCTGCTATAATACAAATATATATGAATTCTTAATATGCACAATGACAAGTGTTTACTAATGAATGTAAAAGCGCGATTGATATTACCTTTTTGGTGTTAGAAATCCCATTTGTTACGTTAGATGAAACTTGCGACGAATCCCACATACTGAGATTAGGTGTGGTATAATCGACAGATGTGTTGGGCATAATGTAATGAGAACAATACATATCCATGCTTTTAGTTGGTACCACAGGTGATACTCCTTGCGGAGGTGGTAGCATATAATTTGTCAATGATCCAACAAAATTGTTTTCATTTGTTGAAGCGTGCCGTTGCATTTGATTAACTTTATTTATAGAACTGAAATCTAAAATAAAATGTAGCAACAATATATCTTGAACAATTTTATGTATTAAAATAATAATTGGAATAATAAATTGTTTATGTAAAATTATTAAAACTCATTTTAATCTTAAGACAAGCTCCATACACTCAATGAAAAATTGTCAATCTTTGAACTGCTATAATTTTGTAAACACATTGTACGACAATCAACTTGGGCACGTTTTAGACGTTTCTCGAGAATTTTCTTACATCAAAGAGTAGAGCGAACAAACATTGCAAAAACAATTAATTAAACCACATAGTCCGAATGCTGGATCTCTTTTACCCGGTCCGTAGACTGTTCATCGTCAGCCAATTAGTGTCTTATCGTTTTTCCTCATCTTGTAATTGGAAACAACCAAGACAAACATGGGAACGCCAGTCTTGCCTGTCTTGGTTATTTTAATTGCAAAACAAGGTAAAATAGGAATGCAACAACGATGCGCCACTCGTGTGCATCTAGAGTAAGAAAACAAAACAATGTCAGCTCTACTGCGACGGCAAAAAGTCAACGGATCAGTATTGAATAGAGCTACAGCAAAGAAAGTTCAAAGTTTAGCGAAATCAGCCAATTTATAATGAATATGCCACAGGATAATTTACAAATTCCACACAAAGGAAACAAATATTATATGTATTCAGTGTGCAGATGCACAGTAAGCATAAGCACATGCATATATATAATTTTATATTACTGTTTATCAAGCAGTTAAAAAATAATAAAGAATGTTAATAAAATAATCGCAGCAGTATTTATTACAAAATCGTCCTTCAAAATGTATATACATGTATATCTGAATTATCTTTATGAGTCAAAGTGACCCGGCATTCGGACTCCGCGTCGCTGCTCAAGCATCCGGACTCCGAGGGTTAAAATCTGTAGAGTCGTTTGAACTTATAAATATATATATAAAAAAGCTTGTCCCGAGTCTAAAACAAGTTTTACTATTTTTTTGTATTATTTAATTTATACAAATACTCACTCTCTCTGTGAGTATTATCATGCGACTTTATGGAATGGTAAGATAAATCTTCGTTCTGCTTAAACGTTTTATTGTTCGAGCCAGTAACCGACTTGTCCATTTTTATGTCCAAATTGTTAGTTAAAGGTAAACTCGACCTGATACTTAACTTCCTATTTTTCGATCTGTACCTATCGAGTGAACGATTAAAGATTACATACGAAACGTCATAAACGTTCTTTTTGAAACGACTGTACACGCCTGTATGCTTACTTATCCAATTCCATATCGCTATGAGCAAATGTGCAACTAGTAGATCTAGGACAGGATCCTCTAAGCGCGAGATCTCGACACATGCTCACTTTATATTTTGGTTGGCCCGGGCCTACGCTATGAGTACCATCTTGCGCTTTTCTGTTGCCGTGTTGCTGAATGAATTCTACTAGTGCTGCAACTACTGTTCTAACAGCCTCTAATGCTGCACGACATTCTGACAATGTAGGAGGCTCTGTTTCTATAATAAAGATAACGAATTAAATATTGCCAAATACTCGATCAGTGTAACCTGTATATAAGAAATTATACCTGGGCTGGGATCTATCGCGGCTAACAGTTCTAATTGTGGTCTTAGACTACTTAATTGTCCAGGATCAGGAGTACGTTGAAGAGCAATAACCAATTCTTGTACGCTTTGAGCAAAAGATTGTGGAGTTTGAAGTTTGTCTATAATACTTTGCATATGAGATTTATGACTGGTATCCCCATACAATAATGCAGACCACTGATCGGGCGCTATTCTCAAACCAGCTTCGGTTGCAATTTGCACTATTTGAGCATCATGCTCCCTTCTTAAAGCTTCGTACGTTCTGAATTCTTCTTTCAATTGCATCAATGACGAATCTCCTTCTCGTTTAGATACCTACTTAGGTATTAGAATTAAATACTGCTTAAATTACCTTAAAATAAATACAATCCCTGATAAAAATTTTCCAATTATTTACACTAATACGAAATTGCACGAGGACGACCCCCCATTTTACTGTTAGTTATATTACCCGTTCCCATCATGCTTCTTTTTAGATCATTTATCGTACTGTGATTAAATTCTATAATTTTCGTAATTTCTCATTGGTTATTTCCCTGCTTGAGAAGTTCGATTATTCTTAATTTCAGATCGTCTGAATATAATTTACATGATGATTGCACATGATACACTACACCTACATGTCTTATTCCTCTTAACTACATATAATATTTTGTTATTCTAAAATACGAATATTTTTTGTAAATTTTGTATTAGCGTATACATAATCTGCATCTTTTTGTCAGGGGTTGTAATCGCCAGAAATATCGAAATAGGAATTACCTTGAAACAACTTGCCCTATACAACAATTGTACAACATGTCCTATACTTGTTTTAGATGCTTGGGGAAAATGTGACTCTAAACGTTGAACTACGAACATGACCAACACTTTCCTAGAAAGAGCAGATCCATCTTCCAAAGCCAATAGAACAAGCTTGAGTACTTCTTCTTGCATCGCTAATAATAAATCAAAATGTTTGTTTTAAGAAAGCTAATCGTATTCCTATATATTTATAAGTTGTCTTATGTTATTGTAATGTACCTGGCCCAAGAAACTGACAGCCACGAGCACGTACAGCAGCCCACAGATTGGCACTAAGCTGTTGTGGATTCTGGTGTTGAAGTATCAACTCTGTAACTGACCGTTCGCCTAAACTTCTAGCTGCCCTTACCGCGCGTGCTCTACCTTCTGGCTCAACCAATTGACAACCAACAAGAGTTACTAGTTTCCTTTGCATCGGCCGAGAAACAAATCCCATACCTCCTGTTATAATTATTAAAATAGTTATAGATCACATTTATTTAATTGTTGTAATAACTATCAATTAATATTACCTGTTGCTAAAGTAGGATTTGTCTGACATGGTTTGAGATATAGAGCAAGTTCCTCAATACAACGTTTAGCAACCAAATAATTAGCATGGTCTTCGGGTGGTAATAATTTCTGATAAGCTGTTGCAACATTTGTGGGAACAGGATTCCCTACTAATTGAAGCAGAGCTTCATTTACCGGTAATCTTTCTATTTCGGTATTAATAATGCTCTAAAAGATATGAAATTCTGTGTAAACAAAATAAATAGTACAATATGTCTTTACATATGTATGTACTTGACGCGTTTCAATTTTTTAATACTATTGTTTAATATGTGATAAAAACTTCAAGAAAAATCCATTAAGAGTATATATTCATGCTGATAAAATATCAATAATGTCACGTACCTGATCAAAAGGACATTGTTTACGATGTAAATTTGCAAGGCACGTACGACATATAGTATGACCACATCCTAATGATATCGGGCCACGTATGGCCACATCAAAGTCATGACAGCAAACTGGACAAGAAAGAAATTCAGTCCACTGCGGTGCCTGTATTGGCATTCTAAAACAAGAATCACCTTCCTTCAATCTTTCGATTTCATAATTTCACATAATATCATTCTTTTCAACGATAATTTGACTTAATTAAAGCTAAACGTTTCGTGTCCACTTCGTTTACATTTGTTCGACGTTTACTTACACGATCAATTCGTAAAAAAATGTCTTATTACGTTACTACAAGTTCGAGACGTATCACATAATAAAATCAAATAATTTCAGTAGAACAAAAAATTGTTATGTTTTACAAACAATTACAACGAATTTCATCGAATGTTGTATGTTTACAGAACTAATAAAAAAAAAAAAAAAAAATGGAAAGGAACTTCGTTTTAATTGTAAAACATTTATCTACCGATTAAATTTGTTCGAAACGGTAACGTTTGCTCGTCAATTGTTTCCTACGCAACGATTATCGTGTTTCCTCAATTATTTTCAGTTAAATGTTAAATTTCGTCGTAAATAAGTGCGTAGAATACATTTTAATGAGTATATCTTTTCGAACGCGCAATTAGATCGGACTTTTTTAATTGCTGTCGCTACCCGCTCTTCTATTCAACAAACGTCTGCTCTACATAGATTCGAAAAAACGGCATCCGCTATTTGCCACGAGGAATGATGTCCAGTCGAAGTACTATCGTCAAAATAAAAGATAATCGAAAACTCACCTCGTTATTGCCCTCACAAAACATCACATTAACTACTCGGTTACTTCGCACATAGTTCTGCCATCGAAGCAAGAACAGATGAATCACAAATAGTAAGATGAGCTCAGCACGATATTCCTCGCATATACCTTTTTACTCCACTAGCACCCATGACGAAAACAATGTAGAAAAATGATTTTCCAACTTTCCTCGCCAGAGAGCGCTGTAACAGCGTGTAACATCAAATTTATAAAATTTAATAAACCAATTTCCATCAATAGTAAATAATAGTACAGAGAAATAAAAAATATTTGACAAATGTTTTTATTCAATTGTTATTTTTAAAAAATGAAACTTCTCTTTAATCCGTTGATATTTGTGAAAGTATAAAAAGTAAAAATGAAGCTCAATTTTGTTATTACATATTTCACAAATTCAGTTTTTATTTCTGATCCACGAAACGAACATTTTTAACAAATTATATAAGCTTAACGCTTGAAATAAATAAGCGATGCTACTTTGTATTTATCTGTTATCGATAATCGTTTTCGAGTTTCGTATCTACTAAATTTTGAATGTATGATTTGCTCCGCACAATTCACTGTGATTTACTGTTGGGGTTGGATGTTGGATATGTAGTGGTTGCATATATCGGTACATGTACATCGTATTCCACCATACGATACTCTAAATGTTAATAAATTTTTTAATGGAAAAAATGTAAGTGAACCTGATCAGACTGACCAGATAGAGTGTAGCGCTGTGTTACGAGATCGCACACTAGATACACTCGAAATTTCCCCTTCTACTTTCTGACACTAAACCCAATTGCGATCAAAGTGAATGCGGTCGCACTTCGAACAGCTTTGAGGAGTTGAGAAAGAGGGCGAACGTCAGCCTGTCTTCTTTCTCGGCCCTCCAAAACTCTATGAGCTCATGTATACGGCATACGTGATCTGGCATTAGTGTGTGAAAGTGGAAGGGGAAATTCTGAGTGCATCTGGCGCATGGTCTGGTAACCAGACTCTGAATATGAATTGAGTTTGCGAAAGGATCGCGTGAGCTTAAACGTACCGATTAGAAGTGAACAATAACCATTGTCAAAATCATTGAATAAACAATACGGCAGAAAGACTAGTACATAGAGAAAATAAATTTTATTCGAAGATGATAACGACAGAGAATACGTTGTGGTCGACTATCGGACAGCATATAGTGATAAATGCCATTGCATATCCAATCGAATACGCTAAAGTTTTGATACAGGTAAAATATACACAGGCAATAAATTACCTGAAAAATGAAACTTGGTCAGAAGCTTATTATTTTTATTTATAATATAACAGATCGGACATGAACCGATTTCACCACAACCGACAACTACTTTACTTAGAGAACCAGCTTTAGGCTTGCCTAACGTTTTTCAGTATGGTAAGTGATTTTCTATGTAAAATCGATACATTACTTTAAGTTATCCTTAATGAAACAGAATTTTCTAATTCAAAGAGTACAATTGTACCAGTAACCACGATTTTCGTTTAAATCATTTTTTATTGTTATCAATGGTAAGGTTTACAAAAAATAAATGTAACAGGAACATTTTACACAAACAAAGGTACCATAAGCAATTTTTTTAAAGTTGTGATTTTTTCAACTCATGATTATCGATACTGTTATGCTCTTTGCTGCATATTTAGATATTAAATGATATTATTATTTAAAAACTTACAGTAGATAGACTCCTTTGCCCGAAGAAGAATATTTATAATATATTATAATTTTGTTTTTTTATGTATATAATTGAAACAAAATATTTTTGTCACTTTGATATTTTACAGTGAAGCATATAAAAAAAGTAGATGGACTTGCGGGATGCTATTGTGGTCTTGTTCCAAAATTATGTGCCTATACCGTAGGTGCTATAACTTTGGATAAAACCTGTAGCAAACTTACGTGTATATATAAAAAGAGACAAGATAAAAGACGATCTGAAGATGATGCCGAAGATGAGTAAGTGTACATATATGTGCGCAACACACTATTTTAATATCGAAAATTATAGGAACAAAAAGAAATATTAACGTATCGTTAATTTTCTTTCAGAGAAAGCTGCACAAATCATATATCTGAATTTTTAATAGATCTGATTAGTAGAACGACTGCAATTATAGTCAGTCACCCATTAGACGTTATTGCGCTGAGGATGTTGGCACAATTTGTCGGCAGAGAAACTAAATACAAGTATATTGTTAATTATGCAATGTAGACATGTGTATTTATTTTTATAGATGTTTTCTTTCTTTTATCCGTAAATAGTGGATTATTCACATCATTTGTGGAAGTGTACAGAGAGAATGGAGTTATGGGGTACTTCGCAGGATTAGTGCCTCGTCTTATTGGAAATACTATTGTATTAGTAATGGTTAGTTCTTCTACTTATGTCGTCAAAAAGTATATGCCAGCTCCCACAACTGATATCGAATTAAAACCAATTATTTGTTCTTTCATCAAAGTAAGTTAATGAATTATTTAGTTACAATAATATAAAAAAAAGGTTATATAATGCTGATATTTTTATAGTTTCTAGTAACAACAATTACATATCCATTTTTGGTAGTATCGCATTGTATGGCTGTTAATAATTGTGGGTAAGTTGATTTAAAGTGTAATTGATTTTTATAATACGTTTTATAAGATTTCAAATAAATATTAACAATAAATTTTGTTAATAAAGGTTAGCCGCGGGTCTTCCTCCACACATGCCAATTTACAATAGCTGGCAGGATTGTTGGTCTCATCTTTCAGCTACCAACCAGTTAACAAGAGGAAACAGCCTTTTGTGGCGTTATTATAGAGGACCTTCAGTAATAATAAATGGGATAATGGTTCCTAAACAATAATTTTTCTCTACGAAGCGTGTCACAGTAATAATACTCCATTAATTTGTATTCAAGAGACCAATAGTAAAATCAGTTTTGTGCTACATAACTTTTTGCTAGCGAATTTACAGATTTGGTATATAATCGCAATTATATGTTACTTTAAAATTTATTTTAATTATTGCTGCGTTAAGCTTCTGTTACAAACTGTTCTCTATATTTCTATGTATTAACGAAAACTGCATTTTATATTAATAGTTGAACAAAATTTTATGTAGTATATAGAGACCATATTGTATACATAAACATTTAGTACATATACAAGCATTACTATATACATTGTATTATTATTTCAGTAATTCACATTCCTTCTTAAATGCAATATTTATGTTAGAATTGTTTCAAACTTAAAGGACAATTTAAAATTTGACTCAGACTTGACAAACGCATGGTTTATGTCATAATGAAATAAAACTAATATACATCAAATACATTAAATAAACGAGATGATTATCTTAAGTACTTTCTTTAGTTAAAGTTGCTTTCTCACGTGAGCAAAAAATTCGGTAAGATAATTAATGATATACGCATTTACAGTAATTATAGAAATCTAGTGTCTCGAAAGCTTCAGATGCAGATTTTTTACATAATTTTCGTACTCGATTAAATATGGAAAATCGGCACAAATTCGATAATTCGAATTTTCCCTACAACTACCCTTGCGAACAAGATGGAGGGTTGAAACTTGGTACAGAATGTTTGATTCTGATGCTCTATCGACGGATCCCATCGTATGTCAAATTTGGTTCAAGGTCACATTTTACCCCCTTATTCGGCTATACCCTTTGTATTAAATCTGCATTTTATAAGATTTTTCTAATTTATGGATTAATATATTTTGTACATATACATGTATAGATAAATGTAAAACTTTTAAGTAGAAGAAAAATTGAGTTAAATGTCCAAGCATAATATTGTGAACACTTTCATTAGTTAGCGAATTATATTTACAAATATATAACATGATTATATGAAGTTAATAATTAGTAACTGTGATTAGATACATTTGTAATAAATGAAAAATAGATTTATACAAAAAATCAAACTAACATTAATATTGACTGAAAAAAAAAATGATATTTCTGAAAAAAGACAAATGTTTAATACATATTCTTTATTGTTTATTATTTCGATGATTTCAATCATTTACAATGTAGTTCATCAGGCATTAAGAAGTTATACGAGTATTGCATTATTAGATTGTACCTGTGTTATTAAATATCCTACGAATAATACACAAAAACCTATACTATGTTGCATATTTTTTAATTCTTGTATAAAAAAAATATCCACTTGAACTACAAGTTTAAATATTACACAGATGTTTCGTCAAGTATTACATTTCAGTTTCTATTTATCTATATAGTGCGACAAGACGAATGTGAATAATGAACAAAACATATTTTTTTATTTTAAAATCTATCCAAATAAGAAAACCTGTACCGAAAACATGCGAATATATGTAGTGTTGCTTTGTGTTTGACTTAATAAAGACATTGCAATTTTTTGCTAATGCGTAATTATTTTACCATGTTCCAATCTAAAATGAATTATCATTTAATGATTACAAGAAACTCGAATTATTAAGCACAATAGATATCTTACATACTATAGCCGTAACAGCTTGGATATTATACGATACTGTTAGGTCTCTAAAGCCTATTTTCTTTGTCTTAGGCGTTACTTCTGCTATGAAATCCATTATTTGTTCATGTACATATAAATAAAATTATGCCCCTCTTCGTCATTTCTTATTACATGAATTCGTTTTTTTATATTAAAGTGAATTACCTCTAATAACGTGGTACACGCATTTATAAAACAGAAATCATAAAAAATTATGTTCATGTATTTAAAATAAGACAATACGTGGTACAAGAGTTCTATAAAAGCAATGCATAGTAGAAAATACCAAAATTTACACAATTCACCAGCGTTACAGTTTGTATAATTAATATTTACTAATAAAAAATATGGGAGCATTTATGACATTTATATTGGCAGAATTACACGACTTATCTTTAACTTAATATGTAAAGGTAGCTTGTGTAAATGTGGCAAATAAAATGTAGATAAGCTTAAATATTAGTAAACAACTAAAACGGTTCTTGTAATTTTAATGCGAAACAAAGGAATGTATTTTTTAAAGTAATTTGACACAATTGGTTTATAATTTTTGTTTTTGTTACGATTCGTTCACACCTATACAATTCCATGTAAGTAATGATCTATCTTCTGTGAAGTTTTTGAAAATTTAGTGTCATACAACCTTGTACAAGAGTCACTATAGAACTGTACACCATGATCTCCTTTACAATGCAATAAAGATTCAAATCATTAACATTTAATATTTATTTAACAAATATTACCCTTATGCTATTAAATACAATAAGATTAATAGCTATAAGTTTAATATTCTATATACATCAAGGAATACTGTATGTCCAGGAATGTTTTACAGAATTAATGAATTAAGAAGCATATTTCGATTGTAGTTACATTTTATCTAAAGCATGTTTTTTGTACATTCGAGCAATAAATATGCAGCATATTAGAAGATCATTCAATATTCACATTCCACGGCAAAGATTCAGACAAATATCTAAGCAAGATTTTTATTTAGGAATCTCTTTCATGTACCATGTAATATAAGGTTCCTTTTTTTAAATAGTACGTATATACAATAGTAAGTCTGTCATTGATCTTTATAAAAGAAAAAAAAAGGGGTGGAAAAAGAAATAAAACTTAAAATAAATAAAGTATTAGTAGTACTGTGGCAGTATAATACTTAATATACTTATAGAATGTAATTTTTTGGAAAATACGATCATTACCTTATAATAACCTAGTAACTAAAATATGTAACTTTTATCGTATAAAAATTCTACGGAATTATATCACCAATTCATAATCGTTCCGAAAATAAGTGAATAACAAATTATCTAAACTGCATTGTCTAACTTTCTTAGAACAATCAATAATGTAAACATTCGAACCACTGACAATATTTGCAAATTCCGTAACAAATAATTTCAAACATTTTGTGAGGATAATTTTCTTCTATTCGTGTTAAATATATTGTACTATATGTATAGAGTATGGAACTTTATGTATATTTTTTTAAGACATATGCAATAGTTATAGAAATTTTCAGAAATATGTATACAATATTGAAAATATAATAATGACTATTCAAAGGATTCTATATGCTTGTAATATTGTAACAAAAATATGTTTTTAAATATTATATTTACTATGGAAAAATTGACTCGTATTTGTATACATGTATAATGGCCAATTTTTTAGTATATTCCAAAATATTTCTTATAATGTTTGTCTGATGGAGAGATTTAAAAACGCATACTTTACAGAAATTATTTATACATTATACTTAAAGTTTACACTCCTATTCTCCATAACTCTGTTGCAATGCGTTATACACATATACATATACATGTATATATATAATGTATTCGTACGATAGTTGAAAATTTCATTGTCCGAGATGCTTTACTAAGTATTACAATTAAATTTAATGCATAATTCGTTTTTATACTGCATAAAGTTCCATCATCGTATTGTTTTATATCTTTGTACGATATAACTTGACATGTATGACAAATATTATGCAGTTATCTTTAAAATTATTTGACAAGAATACGGATACAACTTCATTATTGAAGATCTCGTTGATCGTTGATTAGAAATAACAGACTGAACATTTGTAATTCTCTACTGCATATGTTTAAATTGTATTCGATTATGAACGTAAAGTTAGGCCATAGAGAAAGTGTACGAGTAATTTTCGTTAAACGCGAATTTCTACAACAATTCGTGACTAAATAGTGCTTACAACATACACTGGCTTATACTTGAATAAGAAACATCATGATACATTACGTTTACTTTGATTCTATAATTGGCCCTTCGAACAAAGGTCAATTATACTGTATGTGTACATTATATTTAATGAACATCGTTTATTATCGCTCCTATCGTAATTACCATTTCCACGATCATTTTTCTGTGTATAATACAATGTAGATTTCAAGGCTTCTTTAATCTAAATCCATGTTTAATACTAACTGTAATGTCATGAATCGTACACCTACCAAATGAACAGATTATTTTAAGTCTAATTCAACTTCTGGAGTTTCTAATGAAAATGGTTTCAAATTCTCCACTACTGGTGTCTGATCAGGATCGACCCGTATGCGAATTCGATTTGTTTCTAATGACCGCGGTAGTGTACGTGGAAGATCGTCTTTGTATGATCCAGATATAGGTGAAGTGTATGGTACATAAATTCGTACAATGTCTGGACTCGGTTGATGAGGTGTTGCTCTCGGTGTGGGCAAACCACCGCTACCTGAGCTAGCATTAGAAATATTACTTTGTGTATCGAGACTATTGTCTAACGCTTGAGACCGTGTCGCCGAACTAAATACGGAAAGATCGGCTGTCGAGGTAACAGATGTGTCTGCCAATGACCGACGCGAGCCATTGGGAGAGGTTCCATCATCGAGACTTGGATCAAATGAGAATTTGCTTCCTGCACATATATTCAATTTTTATTATACTATCATAGGATATCGAGACAAACATGTTTTCACAAAATAGTTTCGCATAATAACTATAATACATTTACTTAATACTGCCCCTAATCCTTAAACACGTTTCATGTGTCCATGTATGTTGAACGTTTTGCTTATATAATTGCTTATGTAATTGTTAATTAATGGCAACGAAATTTAGCATAATTAAACATAACAAAAATATAACATGCATCCGTGTATCAGATCTTCAGATTCATACATATTTTTATCATTTATGCCTCTTTATATGAAATTTCTTACAAATATTGTGTACGTTTTATGGAATAATCACAGTCTATTGCATCTCTTATTCTATTTTATATGAAAACTATCAAGGGAAACTTTCAGTACAATATCAGAGGCATATAGAAATTCATTTTAATGATACTAAGCATGTTAAAAAATGATCTTTAATACTTAAAAATTTGTTCTATAGAGTATCTTCCGTTATCTTTTATCTACATAATTGAGCAACATTGTATATGTATAACAGTTTGAATATCAGAGCCTTATTTTTAGGATGTATCTTATAATCTAGTATTGTATATAATCATTATATCAATGTTTGAATCTCTATCTTTATCCTTCTCCATATCCTTAAGAATACTTTTTTGTTTAGAATGCAGAAGACAAGTATTTATATTACCGTGTACTATGTTTTCACTGTATTGTAACTCACCGCCAAGACCACAACCTGTTGGTTCAACCGGTGTTGTACTTTCTCTACCATCATCAACAAGCACCAAGTCTCTACGTTGCGTTATGGATTCACGCATTACATGCTGTGCTTCGCTAAACTCTTCGGCTCGTCTCCCAACCTGAACATAGAAAAGCAAAGCATATACAACTCGAGTATTCCAACTAATTTTCTTGTATTTTTAACACTTTTGATGCCGTGCGAGTCGCATATATCCCACTTTGAACTCTCTCTCTTCTTTATTATTTTTTAATTAGCGTGACATTTTTCTGATTTCTTACAATAATATGCTGAATAATGATTAACGTTCTCTTCCGCTTTGCTATCCAAATATAAATACGTTTGCACGCTCGTATTGTCGCTGTGATAAGAATAAAGCATTTCCAATATTTCTAACATATTTACAAATAATTTCTTCTATTTAGTGCCTAGACTCATGTTCGAAAACTCACATATTTTTAATTAGGCGGATGAATCGACGTGAAATTATTCAAACAACAAAAATTTTTTAAGTAAAGTTGAAACGGATACCAACGTACCAGAGTATTGACACAGAGGTTAATACAAAGTATCATAAATAAATATAAATTACCTTACTAGCGAATGTAGGTTCTTTAAATGTGCCAAATGCATATCGTGGTAACTCTTCTGGCAAAGGAGAACCAGGATAATCCAATTTAGCACGTTTCAATTCTTCCATACTACGTTCCATAGTACTTATCACTGTATCATCGTCGAAACAAAAATCTTTTTCCAATTTAATTTGCAAGTAATTACAAAATTCATCAAGACTTTCCATTGGCATAAGAAAACGTTTGTGCATTTTCATGACCGTGTATGCCATAGCAGGTAAAATGCGATCGCCATCTAATAAAAATATATCCCAAATTCGAAGGCCAAGATTAACGGGTGTCTGTTCCAAACGAATAATTATGTTTAAATATGGTACACATTTGATTAAATTTGAAAAAAATTTTCAAACATAATTTGCCGTGATTTAAAAAAGAAAAATGAAATGATTAAATGTTTGTCTTACCCTCTCTTGAAAAACAACGAAGAACCATTTTAATGCATAAAGTATAGAATCGCAACCACATTTGTCGAGCTTTCGTTTTAATTTTGGTAAAAATTTATTCATAATTTTATCATGATGTTCTATGAAACGATTCAATTTCGGAAACCCATCCACATAAAATCCTAGAAAGAAATAAATCTATTTAACTCCAGTCCAAATTAATCATAATTTACAACGCATAAAACAGGCTCAGAACCATGCATGGTGTATTTCTTATCAGCTAGCAATACGGAAAGACCCCAAAATGCATCTTCTTCGTCCATATATAACAGAAGTAATCCAGCTAATACCGACATCCCTTGACAATAGCCCACTTCCATATTATACATACTATAGGCAGCCAAGACATAGAACATGGATCGTTGTTTTATGCTATACCTCTCCCTGTACAATGTAAATAGAAAATTGGTAGAACAAATACATTGAACATGTACCATACCATAAAAACGTTCGGTACAGTTCTAACAAATCTTAAATATAACTTATGTACCTATAATTGATATGATCTCTATATTGTCTAGCCACATCAGCATCGATCTGTCGTATTTCAGTAGACCACTGACGAGCAAGTTGCAACATTTCTTCATATTTACCAACTTGTTCTCTCTTCAAATTTTTAATACCCAGGAGCAGTGACCAAACCTGGCCACGAAATCTATTAGGAATTCCTTTATATATTCTACGGCGTAACTTCTCTTTAGTCGAGGAACTGTCCCATTGTTTTGTCATTTTTTCCCATTTCTTTAATCTTTCCATTTCCACGCGATGACACTTGATTTCGTTCGGGTCCGGTTTCTGTGGTAAACGTTTGTCACTAAAAATACAAACATTGATACATAAAAAGTAATAATGGTAATAATACCACAAGTATCGCCATATTAATTACTGTATAAATCCATATCTGTCCGTAGTATGATAAACTTCGTAAGTAGGATCTTCCCATGGATCAATTTCTGCTCCATTTTCTCTACCACGGTCATAGCAGCTAAATATTCTATCTCGCTCTGCAGCAGACCGTTTCAATAATTCTTCCTCATTCATCCCCCGTGAGAATTCGCGACCAAGCTCTTACAAACATGCCGTCTTGTTAAGAAGAATCTATTTATGTTAGTCTGTTATCTATAATAAAGATGAATAACATCACTGATTAAACAATAATAAAAGAAACTTTTTTTTATATATTATAAGCAATTTCAATAGCACAACAAACATCTGTCTATGATTCTGTAAAATATAATAACCAGAATAATACTGAAATAAATATAAAGTACATATTAAAAACCTACACTAAATTTGTTTCAACATAGTAATGATGATATATTGAAAATTTACTGTAATTTCTGGTGTAAAAAAAACCAAGTACTGAATAACTACGTATCGCAATATAAAACTTAGATAGGGATATCTTTATTTTATTTTATATACAGAGAGGAAGGAGGGCTACAATTCTATATTGTAAATTTTCGATGTTATAAAGTTAACACACTACATATTGACAAGGAAGGTTATATACATTGGAAATAAATGATACTCTCAGCAAACGATCTTAATCTTACCACTAAAAAATAAACTGCTAAACTATAGACACTGCATGGTTAGGAATTAACTAATTTCCTTCGTTTCATATTACATATAAAATCGTTTCTTTGTAACATTCATCCGTTTAGCAAAACTGCCGTCCATACATACCAGTACATGCAACTTCAAACCGGATTCAGATCTTCAGATGTTCAATTCTCGTTTATGAGTCAGTGTTGCCAATAGGTTCATTGTAAATTCAAAACAAGCGGATTTTCCGAAATTTTCATACTTTTCCTGTTTACTTCTGCAAACTTAACTTAAAAGTAATTAACGTTGTCTTTTCAAAAAACTAGAAATTGCAGTATTATACTTTGTTCCGAGATTTATTTAAAATACATTTAACGCAAACATTGCTTTTATATCTATGTAATCATAACTTTAGTCTCTTTAACAATTTAATATTTTCATGACATCGATCTAGCTTTACTCTTCGGTATCCCAAATTATTTAAATTTCTAATTAAAGATATTTAAGTACTTAACAATTTTTAAATGTATATAAATAAATTTCGTAAGTTATGGTTAATAGTAATCTAAATTTAAAGAAAGTAAGAAATTAATCGTAAGAAGGGAAATTGTTTAAGAATGTACCATTCTATAGGTCGTACAAAATCTTTCGAAAGGAAAAAATTTTCATTCCGGCTTATTGCTTTACTTTCATATCGATATATCCATATAAAATAAAAATAACTGATAAATTATTGAAAGAGATAAAGTAATTCATTTTGTGGGATTGCGAGTTGCAAATGTCGCGGAATGATTCTAGTTTTCTTGTTGTCCCGAGCTGCGTTTCCCGCCAATTCCAACACTTCGGCATCCAGACACTCCATTACGGCAACTAAATAGACCGGTGCTCCAGCCCCAACTCGTTCCGCATAGTTTCCTTTCCGTACAAGTCTGTGAATACATCCAACGGGAAACTGTAGTCCAGCTCTGTTCGAACGAGACTTTGACTTTCCCTTCGCTTTCCCTCCTTTACCACGACCAGACATTTTTTGCATACGTTAAAAAAAAAAAAACAAGGAAAACCGAACTGTTCGTTTTAAAGATTATACATTTTAGTTTCTTTTTTTTTTTTGTAAATTTCTCACTGGGTATGCGCAGTTCCGTGGGTTTCTCCCTATAATTTCCATTTAGAATGATAATTAGATCTGTATATACGTATTTATGTTGTGTGATGTTTTTTTCTAGTTAGATTTCATGGGTTAGCGCCAAAGGGAAAACTTTCAAAAAACCTCTTTTTCATGCATTATGCGATGTGTGTGTTGGTTACATACCCCATTAGTCTGGGGGTTTTTATATGTAGTTCCCTAGTGATGACATTTCTATAAGAACAGTTTTTAAAATTTGTTTCAAAAAACTAAATTTACAGTATTAATAATGCAGTCTTGCTTTGTTAACATCAAGTAACACGGATAACATTTAAAATTATTAATAATTTTATCAAATTTATTTTAGAACATTATTGACCAGAGACTGTCAATTTAAACACATGATGTATACATAAAATGTCTCTTTATTGTCTTATAAAATAATCGACGTAATAAAAGAGATTTATCGCATCACAAATTTGATGCATGCTATTTTTATTATGAAAAAAACCGAATGTTATATAATGTCTATAGAAAATACTTGAACAAACACTGTTTTGCTATTTACATTTCTCATTACTTTTTGACGATACCTTCGTGGAATGACTCATATTTCGTCGCGTTCCAATTTTCAATAATTTATACAATTTTATAAAATGTTATTCTGTTGTACAGAAGACTGAAACTTCTTTTTTTACATACGATTTAAAACGCTCTGAATTGACCTAAGTTTTGTTATCAATGCTTGTCCATGGGGTTTGTTGTATAGCGTTGTTAAACACTTGGAAATTACATCTTGACTTTTGGTGATTATCTTTCGTCTGTAATGAAATCCATTATTTAACATCAAGCAATATATTTGTACAGCGACTGATTTAATATTACATATGTATATTACTTTGCTTTAACAAGCGAATCTAATTTAATATTGGTATACATATACCAATATGTAGATGAATAGCTTACCTGATAAAGTTGTTAGTGACATTTGAATGAGATACGAAATAAATAACCAAATCTGCCGTTGACTCTATCAAGTGAAATTCATTTCCTTCGTTTAACCATGTTCGAGTGTCTTTACCAATCATTCTACAGAAGAATATTACATATAAATTACTTTAAATATATTTACTTCACTTGTTGTACTTACTTATAAATATCTAACAGGTCTTCCACTGAAACACCTAATTGTAGAAATCCGGATATAATTCTATCATTCGATACGTTTAATTTACATGCCTTTATTTCTAATTGCTTTATTAGAAAATCTGAAAAATATTTATACTTATTTACGTTTCTTATTTGTGTTTAACTTTTAATTAATTTATATTCCATTGCGTAACAAATAACAGTTTTAGATACAACTTCTTTTTCAAGTCGTATAAAAATTTTATTATTACCAACTGGGAAACAGTGTGGAGAACCCGAATACTCCTGCCCAAGGGATATAATTTTGCTCATTAAAATAGCCATTCTATCTTCCGCAGTGGATGCATCTTTTAATTCTGTAAAGTAATTCGGATAAAATACTTACTGCTTTTATATTTCCTAAGACGAAAACTTTTGTTCGAAAACGATAAGAAAGATATCAAATACAATACGAATACCATTGTTAATAATATTAGTCCAAATTTCTTGGATCAACATTGCATCCTGGTGACCGGAACAGTGAATTATAGCTAATTTGCATTCCCATAATTGTAGAGGGTCTGCATACTTCTCGTATAACTAAAATTATTATTACGAATTAATTACATACGCTTAATATAAATATATAAAAATTTGCACACACCTTCGTAATATCAAGCAACGAATTATTCAATGCTCTAAATACATCTTCGCTAAGTCGATCGGCCATGTGTTGATTGCAAATTGTGTCTAATATCTATAAAAAGGTACAAATGTACACAGAACTGTTGTTTCAATCATGTTTAATTTATACCTGTTGTTGTATTCTAGCTACTTCTACTTTGTCTTCTAATTCGCGTAAGAAAATTCCTAGGTATGGAGCGTATCCAGCTTGATCGCTTCGCATACAAACCACAGCTCTGGCTAAATATTCAACCCTCTGCGATAATTGTATATTTGATCTGGATAAAGAATGAGACTGTGTGACGACATTTTATGTTCGATTATCGTGCGACAATGATCCGCGTGGATACGTACTCTTTGGTCGCCAGAGAATCCAAAATTTTGGCAGCAGCAGCATGATTCTTATTTCTTTCATAGAACTGCCAAAGTAAATCCGGTGCATTTAAGCGCGTAAGATAAGCTTCTAAAGACGGTGCTGCGAGAGCAACAAGTTCGCCGTGAAGTCTTCGTTCTATCATCCAAGCATACACCGAAGCATGAAGCATCTCACACGGAGAATGCAATGCATCATTTATGATGTCGTGCAACTGAAATACATGAAATCAAATCAATCAACAAAAATTAAGGGAAATTAATACTCTATCAAGTATCGTTAATGATTTGTTGAAAGTGTATATAATATAGATTTAGGTTCTTTATAACAGTTATTCAAAATCAATGTTTTCACACAAATTCTCAATTATAGGCTCTATAACTGTTATTTTTTAAGTTCGTAAATAAACGCGTATCTTACTATTTCTTTTGCTGGTGTGACGGGCATGGTTGGAACATTTTGAAGCGGAGGTCCAGGTTTGCTTGGTATAGTGGGTGTTAATGGATTAGAAATACTCTGATTATAGAGATGATCCAGTAGCGTGATGAATTCTTTATAAATTTCCAATCTAGATTATAAATAAAAATTAATATCTGAAATGGCTTATAGTAGTGAACAGTTGATACATACCTTTTCATGTAAGCAAATCCACCTTCTTGATCTTCGTTGGGTTCGTTGTTTTTGTAATAATGCAACGCGGCATTATTAGGATCTACTCTTTCAGCACAGGTGAGACACAACTCGAGTACACCCGAATAAAATTGGCATGCAATGAATTGTTGACACACTGCGCTCAAATTCAATCTGGGAGCAACTTCTTTGCAAAGCTGTGAATAGAAGTATAAATATAAATCGTCACATTCTACAAATAATGCCGTACAACGTCAACGTTATCATTTTCATTTACCTTTAAAGCAGATTGCAAATAACATTCTTTTTCTTCCGAGTTCATACAACTTTTTGCTTTTAAAATTATTTCGTTAGCCTAGAATTTAGAAGCGCAACAATATTAAATCTGAGATTGCAAGAGATATCGTTTCTTCATACCTTAGAACAAACAGCATCTTCGCTTCTATACAAATTCGGACAAACTTCTCTCAATCTTTGACTAACGACATCGACAGACGCATTATCCCCAAGATAGCTATGGAAGATTAATAGTAATTAATGAAAAAGTAACTATATAGTAGTTGTGCCGAATCAGCTTACCTATCTATAAGATGAATGATTAGTAACGAAGAAATTTCATGACCAATTAAAATCAAATCTCTAAATGTAGCTGTAAAAAATTGATTAATTTGATCCTACAATAAAATTTTCAAAAATATTAATTATTTAATTATGCGATATTACAAATTTGCTATGTGTATTCGAATAGACAATTCACCTTCGATAGACAATTTATAATATTATTCAAATGATTTTCGCATAAAATTTTCCAAAGTTCCAACACTTCACAGGCGTGAGTAATGAAGATTTTTAAAGCTGCTAAAGAATTTCTTTCCTCGACCATTGGTTCTTGGAAATGACTAGTTACGGTTGTTTCGAACCCGTCGTTTATATTTCTAGTAGCGTTGAGTCTGGAAGTTAATAGACAATAGTTGAAGCAAAATATGATGATTTATGAAATATGTAATAGAAGTAATGTGCACAATACGTACTGTTTAGTAATATGAGTATTCCTATTGAGAAATGATCTTAAAGCTTGTAAGAGTCCTAAAATCCAAGTAACTTGTTTTGCTGAAATAGTACTGAAGATCTGAAATTATTATGCGTATGTATAAATTAAAATACTGTTAAAAATAATGTTTTGCTAGATCTAAATTGTTAGATCTTTATTTACTTGAGTTTTATTATTTACGACTTCTTGTTTAATACATCGCATATTCCATATCGGTCGGAGTATTCTTCCTACGTATAGATATAAACCATTGTGTTTTGCTGAGAACTGTTGCTGAGGGATATCTGTATTAGGTCCTACCGAAGTGCGTGATCGAAAACCTTGGAACCTTAAATCGTAGTTGGGAACTCTTGGTGTTGATGTGCGTATATCTAAGAAATTCACAGATATACAAAAACATACATAAATAAAGAAAAAGACACACGATTTACATATGTATCCAAAATAATAATACCTGTATTTATATTAGCAAAGGTATTATGCGTATCTATTCCAGGCCCAATGCCCGTCATTCGTTGACTACCGTGTAAAAAGAATGCCCTTGTTGCCCATTCTGCCAACTAAAAGTTATATTAAAAAAATTGCTAATTTTTAATATAAAGATTTTGTTAAATTGGATCAAATCGTCATATTTATAATTAAGAGGTATTACATACCTCAGCATTTTGAGAATTTTCAAGCGTGGCCAAAATAAGACAGGTCGCACACGCCTGTTCTAAAGATTGTGATTGGAAGTATGCGCGAACAGCTTCCGTATCGGGTCCACGTTGTTCCAAAAGAAGTTGTTTCAAAATGTCCATTGGACGAACTTGTACAAAAATTATGGCACCCTATGATTAAAGATATAAATGACTATTAGGTGAATGTGTTCAAAAAATTAATAATTTCTACTCGATTTTATACCTGAGACGTTAAAAATATAAATTTTCGAGGAGCTTCCATATGTTGTCTAACAAGAAGAGGAGGCTCTCCTTGTGAACTGCTTTGTTTTTCAATGCGTATAGCTGGTTCTACGAGAATCTCTGACATAGCCCATACTGGACTATCGAGGGATAAAGGACTTTGAGTTTCAGCTAAATAATTCGTAAATGGATAAGCATCGTTACTTAAACATAAAGCTGTTTCCGTGTCTCCACCGCAAACGAGAATTAACGTTCCTGTAATAAAAATATGTATAATCTACAGATTTTAATATTCATTGCTCGATATAACAACGATTGTCGGAATTTATTTTCCCATTACAGATCTCGATTTATATTATCCGTTTAGGCACGTCCCATTTCCGACGAATGTAGTTGGTAAAAAGAAAAAGATATACATACATTGTATACTTCTTCTCCAGTCTTTTCGTCAACTATATTTGTTGGATCCAAAACGTGCCTGAACAGATAATATTAATCGACTTTGATTCGGACAATCGACGTTTTACTGTATATACCTTTCCTGTAATGTGCCATTTGTACTTTTCTTGGTCTCATTACAGTGGCATTAGCAGCATATCCTGGTGGTAATCTAACATGTATTAATTGAAGACCTTGGGGTCTAGTCGTTGGATTAGCAACCGAAGTACAACTGAAGTAAAAACGTGTTCCAGTAGCTGCAACTACAACCAAGTTTAAATGCACTGATTCGGATTCTGTAATAGCAGATATGCTCACCAATGGTCGGAAGTTATTGCTATCGAGAGTTCTAAAATAAGACAATGAAAGTTATAATTTATTATTGACTGTATATTATTTAAGCGTATGTAATATTTGTACGTGGATACGCACTTAACAACATGAACAGCATTTTGTACTAAACAAGATTGCGATAAAGATGCGACTTTAGACGCACCCTCGTGATCAATATCCCAAACAGCGACTGTTCCTTTATCACCGAGAGTATATAAAATATTACGTGAATCGTCTACTGAAATTTGTATTATTGCTTCTTCTTCCGACAATGCTATAGTGACGAATGATGGTACTAAGAACGACAACGGGCCTTCCGAATGATTTATCTTTTTGCAACGTTTCCCAAACCAATTACTTTCTGCCTAAGTAATAAATATAGGGAACTGTTAACTATTAATTCTCACTTTGACGTTTTCCTTTGAACCTACATTTATTTAGAGAATTTTACCTGATAATATATTTCATAAAGGGCGCCATTTCTACCACCAAGGAAAATTCTCCCGCTACTAGTATTTGCTATTGTTGTAATACCAATACCATCTGTGGTGACTGTGAAAATTGGTTCAGGGACTAGCTGCATTTCTGGCGAAGTACCTAAACCAAAAATTAATGAAATAAATACAAACACTAGAATCGTACAATTTTAGAATAATAATTAAATTACAATACCTTCACTATTTTCTGTTAATGTTACTCCAAGAATAGTTACTTCAACCGTAGTTGTGAGGATCAGTAAATATTTCACATAGCTTTGGAATACCTCAGGTTTGGGTTTTACCAAACCTACGCTTATGATAGTTTCGTTTAAGCCATCAAAATATGCAACGTCGGTCCTAAAAATACGTTATTGCAATAAATATTAATTATTTTTATATACTGTAAAAAAGAAATAAAAAAATTTAGTTAAATATTTACTCGTTTTCGTACGACCAAACATATATATCACTGTCGATCGTAAGCCATGCTTTTGAAATTTCTGTAAAAAGGCCCATCATACAATGGCATTGCATATCTAGATATATGTTAAGGAACTGTATTGACAAATAGGAAAAAGAAAATATCTGAAAGGATACGGTGAAAGTGTTCCATTACTTCAGAAGGTAAAGAAATTTTACTGTGCAGCTTCATTTGATTTATATTTGAGAAACATAATGACATTCCATTTAAATTGGGATAATCATGATCGTCGAGACCGCTAACGGTTGGCCCACCTATAAAACACCATATGCATATTAATTTTAGAAATTTATATTCGGAAGATAGAATAGGCAAAAGAATGATCATTTACCTTGTACGTTGTATCGCATAAGATTAATTAAAGAAGGAAAATTGCTATCTGCAGTAATGTGTGCATCTACTACTTTCCCTGCCATTTCCAAAGCATCTAAATGTATTTTGAGTGGTTCCATCTCCGTGAGAGTCATGTTTGCGCTATGTAAAGAAAAAATAATATATTAAATGCAATTAATAATAAAGACAATTAAGCACTTTACAATCCTTTTTACGTTAATTCAATTATTATTAATCTAGTGACCGAACATTTCATTCCTATTTATAACAACTCATCGTTGTAATTCATCGAAATGTATTGTGTAAAGGTTAGGCTTATTTATACGAACAAAACTGAAATGATATTAACAATAATGCAATAATATAAGCACGATTGGAAGAACAATAATACTCTAAATGGTAAAATATATATGATTGGATTGAAAAACACTTACAATAATTTGTTATGAATTACTTCTAGTCTATACTGACATATAACGTCTCACGAGGTTTGTGCTGCTCCCGCCATTCAAGTATGTAAATTTTATACTACATATATGCATATAAATTACTACGCATGTACAAAATTATCGAGCCTCGTTGGTTTAAATTTAACTCCTGGCTACAAATAGATTAATTTGAATTAAACTAAGATTTTTAAATTTTCAATCATGTTCATTTTTTTGAACGTTTCTATTAATTTTTTAACGTTCAATTTTCCAATGTTTTCCATGCTTTTTATTTAAATTCTTCCCTACCTTTCCAAGAACTTAATTAGATAGTAATTAGATTCGAATAATATTTGAAGCAGTTATAAGAGATTATAAAATTTTAGAATTTACAAAAATTAAGAAATTAATGGGAAAGGTAGAGGAGAATGATTTGACTTTATAAAACAAACCGAGTCAAACGTAGAGTTGAGCGTATTTTATTTAAATATTACCTAACTCTGGTCAGACGTAAAATACAATGAATTACAATTATTAATAAACTATCAAATAATGCTTTCAGATTTATACGTAAAACGCAAAAAATATTATTTACATTTAAAAATTATTGAACAGACCGAAAAGTTGATTTCACGTTCATTTATTTTATGCTACGTTTAATCGACGATGATGTATCTTTTAATATTTTTTGGTTCATTAATTTCCCTCGTTTATACTGGTAGGAAAATGCACTTTGATGATTTAACATATTTTTAATTGCGTTATTTTAGGCGACGTATCGAATGCTGTGGAAAATCTTTATTGTGATCTTGGATTAAAAAATGATAATTTGTGTCCTGTCGATGGTGGCTGGACTTCTTGGAGCCCATGGGGATCCTGTTTTGGAAAATGTGGATTTAAAGGCAAAAGGACCAGACATCGTACTTGCAGTAACCCATTACCATCTAAAACCGGTGGTCCTTGCATTGGCCCAAATTATCAAACCGAGACCTGTCGAATAACTGGTACAGTTTTTGACAAAAGAATACAGATTAATGTAATGTAATGTAATGTAATGTTTAATTTTTTTATTTAATATTATAAATAATTTATTTAAATATGGTTCTGTTTAGGATGTACGATGAGTGATTATGAAAATGTCGCTCATGACCATCCTATACGGAAAGAAGAGATGAAAATTATCAAGCAGTTTCATAGAAAGTTACCTGCTCTGATCGAATTGTGTTTTTCTGTCGACTGTTCATTTTTTCTTGTAAAGAAGATTCTTAGTGGCAGCGCGGTATGATATAAAACAAATATATTCTTTATCTATTTCTGAATTTGGAATTATTGATCAAAGAAGTTGACAATGTCTTTGTACAAAGATGCATTATTGGAATGCTATAAACTGCATTAAATATGATGTTGGATGTCCAAGTAAGCAAGCATATACATATATATATATATATATATATATATGTAGTATATATATATAGTAAAACGTATTTAATAGGTCATGGTGGTTGGAGCAATTGGGGAGCATGGTCGTTATGCGGTGCTGTTTGCGGCAGAGGTCAAAAATATCGTACACGAATTTGTAATAGCCCTATACCTTCGCATCCTGAATTAATGTGCGATGATTCAGCATTGGAAATGAAAGACTGCATAGGATTTAACTGCAAGAAACACTCAAGTATATTTAATGAATTCTGTTATATGTGTATTCTATAGTGTATCAATACTTTTGACAGTGGGAACTTGGGCTAATTGGAGCAAATGGAGCACGTGTAGCGTACAATGTGGTAGCGGTATTCAAATGAGAAAACGTTCGTGTTCGAAGATGCAGAATGCACAGGGAACTTCATGCGAAGGTTCTACTAGGGATGTAAAAAGTTGCACAATTAATAATTGTTCAAGTAAATAAACTTAATTCCTATTTGCGCGTGCACCATCGCAATATTTATTCTGCTTGTTAAATCTATATATAAAATATGAAATATAATTGTTTATAACTTCCTATTAGTAAATGGAATGTGGTCCCCATGGACAGTTTGGACATCCTGTTCTTCAAGTTGTGGTATAGGCACACAGTTGAGGAACAGAATGTGTAGCAATCCTTCCCCGAGTGGTAGTGGCATGTCGTGTTCTGGTTCTGCTTCTGAAGTTCGTCAATGCTTTAGTAAACCATGTACAGGTATATCAGAAATTTTATTAGCATGATCGTTACTATCATTGTTTTAATTTCACCTTATTTAAAAGTTAAATCGCACGAAGTTGCACACTTTACAGAAGAAAGTAGTCTTCTTTATAATATAAATGGGAGATCTTCGCGCTTGCTTCATATGTATTTGAGATTTTTACCATTGAGGACGTACGGAGTACTTATTTATCGAACTGAAAATAATTGCAACGGATCGATGTGCGATTTTGTAAAACTATCATTACGAAATGGAAAAATTGTACTCCTATCTGAAATTTCTGGCTGTACATTGGGTCTAGTTCATGAAGATAAACTTCAAGTAAAATAACATTTGTTTTTTAAATGTTAATATTTAATATTCGAAACAAGCTGATTTAATTTAGATTGGACAGTGGCATATGATATTAGTTGCAATATATGGAATGCACGGGATACTGAGCGTTAATGATGGTTTTCGTAAAACTTCTACGTTTTCGTGCACTCCGATATCATATAATTTTGATCATATGATGAAAGTCGGAGAAGGATTTCGAGGTCAAATTCAGAAAATAACCATTAATTTTGCATCCATTCAACTTCGTGTACCAAAGGTTTCGCTTATTAATTAGAACGACTAATTGTCTTAAAACAATCAACAGTCTTAAAACACAAAATATCATTTAGGGTAAATATGATGAAAAGCATGCAAACGTTCCTTTTAGCAGTAGTAACATGGAATATTTAATGGGAGACGACGAAGAAGGTTTCATTTATATTGGCCTTACAGAATCAGTTGCTGCACCATGTCCAAAGAACATGGAATTTTGGCAAGTAAGAACACTTTTGTTCAAGCAAACCCTGTCAAGCCTACCTTAAGCGACAATACTTTTATATTGTTTCACAATTATTTTATTTGTGATTTCATTATAATAAACTCATTGCACAATTATAATTTAGATCACAATGGCAATGAAAGCAGAAAATATAAACGGTGTTGTGGCAATTATGCCAGATGATGCTTTAAATAAGTATATTCTACTGCTATTAGAAGAGGGGAAAATAAAGCTTGGATTTCATCAGGGAGCAATTCATGTTGCAGCTGAAAGTATAGAGCATATTTCAGTAGGAGAATGGTTTGAAATAGTAATAGTCCAAGATGGCAAAAATTTGTACATGCAAGTAAATGGGAATGAGAAGAGATATGTACCGTCGATTTCAGAAAAAGTGATTACAACTGCAACCAATCTAATCATAGGGGCTATACGTGATGAAATGAAAGTAAATAACATTTAGAAGATTAACGTTTTACATATTTGTGATCATGTTATTTGGAACAGGAGAAGATGTGTCCTAAATGTACAGACATACCACAAATGAGTTTCACTCTTGGATATCTTAATATAGATGGGAATCATATTGATCTTCTATCATTACCAGCTTTAGATACAACGAGCAAACGATTTGCGAGCCACACTATTAGTTTATCTGGTAGTAATTATGAATACATTATCGAATATTATGTCTAACATGTATGGAAAGATAATTTTATTAGTCATTTTAGATTACTACGAAGAAGTATCATTATTATTAGGTCAAGAGCTCAAAATATCGTGTTTTTATGATAAAATTCCTCATGAAAATGGAATCCTTATATTTTCTAGGAGAACCTACGTTACGTGGTTATTAATGGATAAAATATTGCTATCCTATGGAAAGAAGTAAATTAAAGTTGTGATAATAACTTTGATCGCTTTAATTAACTTCATTATTTTTAGAGATACGACAAATTTGATTGACAAAAGTTGTATGATACCGAGGATGTTGTAACATTCCAATAATAATTTTGTTGTAGGTGGATGATTTTCGGAAATTTCAGTCATCTCTATTTTTTAAATAATATGCTATACTTGTTTGTTCCTAGCAGAAAAGTGAATATTTAGATTACTACAAATACCTATAATACAAGGCTATTCGACGTGATATAAAAAAATAAAACAACAATTCTTATTAAAGTTTTTTTTATAAGTATATCTAAACGTAATGAAGATGATTCTGGCGATCGACGTTATTATGTACTGTATCCTGTATACAAGATGTCCCACGTAATTGGAGAACATTGTTCTTTCATCTTTAAAACGGTTATAGAGGCACATTCTGTGTATTCGATATTTTTTACAATTATTTATTCCTTATCGAGCAGTGACTTGTTTAATGTGAAGGACGATGGTCGTGTTAGTACTATTAATATTGCAAGTTACACGACCCGTGACGAGATAGAAAATTTTTATTCGTGCTATATTCACCGCTATAGAAATAAATCATTCAAAGATGAGGGTCAAGCTCTCTTCACTTTTGGAATTACTGTAATAGATAGAAGTAAAGGTTATACAATTTCATTTATTCTAGCATGTCTTGTTTTATTAGATTCTGTAAAACAAAAATTAAGTATTTGTTTTTAGAATCGGAAAATATATTGTGGAAAGAATGGTGTTTTATTTGTCAAGTCACAATTGCATGCTTTATAATTATGATAATTTGGTGTCTATTGGAAATATTACAAGATGTCCGAGATGGGTATAGTATAATAAAAACGTTATCTTTTAGAAAAAAAAAAAAATTATATATCTGTAAATTAGATTGTATGGTTATTTTTCAGACATGGCTTTTATAGACTTCCACAAATATTTAATGATGATTCTACTTCGATTATAAATTTTGTTCAGTCTAAGAATGGAATAGTTTTACTTGGTAGTCAACAAGCTGCGAATGAAATTGCATCAGGAGTTATAGAAGATAATTGACCTTTTAAAGAGTATAAGGAACGGGAGAACTTCTTTACTCTTTTTGAAGAAATAGATTTAGATTTATATTCATTACGAATTGTAACAATAAAACTATAACGCTTAACAATATACTTAAGAAATAACATTAACATTTTCTAAGCCATAGTAATATGAAATAATATCATTTTTAGTAGAAAAATATTTAAGATTACACGAATTAAAATTTAAAAAATATATTTATACAAATATCGGTGGCAGTTGGTATTTACACTTGGATGCAATACAACATAAGACTCTACATTATGGGAGTCGATCATTTAATAAGTGATAAAGTATCTGACTTGTCATTTACACGTTAGTAATTATGATTTATAAAGATATAGTCAACAAAACTTTACTGAGACAGAATTTATATACCATTTTTGGATCATTTATTGTTTAGTAATTCGGAATAAATGCTGTTTTATAATGAAATACACAGATTTTGCACTTCAAATTCAATTTTTTGTAAATTGAATTCACACTTGCAAAACAAATTCATTTTTTTTTTTTTTGTTGTAAATGAATGAATGAAATAAATAATAGAATGTATTTCTGCGTCTCTTGCGATACTTACATCAATTATACGAGTATAATTACTCAAGTAATATTTTCCCAAGATTCACTGCTACTAGCATTAGTCATAGAGGAATGTCTCGTTAATTGAGGAAGTTCAAAATGCCATTTTGAATCTTCATTAATGCCCAATCCATTGGCTATTTCATAATTTATTAATGGTGCTCTTGCCTTAATACCTAAAGTCGTAGGTCTGTTGCTAGGATTTTCATCCAACATCATTTTTAATAAATTATACTAAAAAGATTGTAATTAATTTAATTAAAACAGCACCGAAGCAAACAGTTTTTGTTAAAAAAAATAGATACACGTTGTTGTTTTCTTACCTCCGCTGGATGATTAGCATCAAAATCTTTTGGAAACAATGACTTCCTCAAATTTATGAGGGTAGTTATTCTCTCCATTTCAGTAACAAATGGAATAAGAAGTTCAAACAAAATTATTCCTAAGGAATAAATATCAACTTTGTAATTGTAGCATTGCCCTTTCATTTGCTCAGGAGACATATAAAGATGAGTGCCCACGTATGCAGTGTGCAAACTGTTCTTTAAAGTAATGTTTTCGTTTTGCGAAGGTGGAGTATGAGTTTCATCATACCCTTCTGTCATTGCGGTTACAAGACCAAAATCACCAACTTTTATCTTATTATCGAAAGAAAAGAATATGTTCGAAGGCTGAAAATTACATATGAGAAATGAAAACTTTTAATCTTACAATGTATAATATTATTGTAATTTAAAATATTACCTTCAAATCACGATGAATAAGCCCTTGCAAATGAACATACTCCACAGCTTCGACTATTTGTTGAAATATATTTAATACATGGCGATAATCTTGTACCGATTGGTTTTTCAGCCAATCCCTAAGACTTAGCCTTTGGCACAGTTGCATCTGTATGTAAAGGAACATTTTCGGCGACTTGCGCGTATTTGATTTATTATTCAAATCTAAGGAAAATGATCTCTGACGTTTCCTATTTTCGTCTTTTTCCGAATGCTTATTACTGTTCGTGTCTTTGAACACGATGCTATCGGAGCCTGTACAGTCGTCGATTTTCGATAATACTTTTCCGGTTACATTATTCGAACGTGATAAATTCGAACTTTCAGTACTGTAATTACTAATATCGATTACATCTTTGTTTAGATAAGTCGAATGGGATTTTTCAAAAACAACTAAGGAGTCTTCGTCCAAATCGGAATTATGCAATGCATCGTAAGCTTCACAAGCACTCTCAACTGACGACTGATCGGTTTGAGAAACATTTATGCAAACGAAATTATTAACTTTCGCTTCAGCATGAGATGTAAGATCTGTTGGTAATATTAATTTGTTTATCCATTCCGGATCATGTTTCTCTTGCCATCCTGCAGGCGGACATTCCAACCATGCATTGAAATATCTTACAATATTTTGATGATCCAATTTGGCTAATGCTTTTACTTCTCGCATTACACGTTCTCTCGAAGATTGACTGTGAATCGAACAAACTAATTAAGAAGCTTTAAGTTAGAAACTATTATTTCACGTCTATTTTGCTCTCTGCGCTCCACTAACGCCGTTATCTAACTCGTTTCATTTATGGCAACAAACGAAATCAATTAAATAAACAAATGAAATTAAAATTATGAGCATTTATAAATTTTTTTTTTCTTGGAGCACAGAAGATTAAAAATAATACTAAATTTATTAAAATATTTAATGTACCTATTTGGTAAAGCAATCCTTTTAATAGCGTAATTACAATCGTCTATTTTATTCTTTGCTTCGAAAACAACACCATAGCCTCCTTTTCCTAAACAGTCTACTGGCTCAAAATCTGTGAGATAACGTGACTTAAACTTATCGATGCTTTCTTTATCATTGATTATTCGAAAACTAGTTTTATTTGTCTCAATGTGCCTCTCCACTATTAACGGCTAAAAACATTAAAAAACAAGTAGTTGTAATTTTAATACATCTGATAAGGACATTTTACTACTATACCCTCGGAAATTTTGATATTTGAAAGGATGAATCCGCAGAACAAATAATAATATTCTCTAGAATATTTTGCTCCCATGAAACTTATGAATCAAGTGTTCTACGCACTCACCCAATATATTTCTTTGAAAAAAGAAACTGCAATGTCATCGTTCAATCTCCAGATTTATTCCTTCAAATATCATAAAAATCTCCAAGGGTACAGCTATAGAATCCTATTGTAGTTTTATTCTGCTATATTAAAAATAACTGTAATATACTGTACCGGAAGTACTGCATCTTTAACGACTGTAGTAGCATTTAATAGACGTTGCGTTAACACGAAATTAAGTAGAATCGCTGTGGTAATTGAAATAATTAAAACTTCTTTCCTGTTAAAAAATAATATTCTATTTAAAGTTAGTAATTTGTGTCTTGTCTTAATTTTACGTACCACCAATACCATAATGAAACAATTATTATTTGAACAGGTGTGTCATCCTCTTCAAGAGTATTATTTGACATAAACAACTTTTTCTCTTCCGCGATGAGCATCGAATTTATATTAGTACGATTACATTGTTTGTCGTTATCTACTTGCAACTGATCTTGCGAATATAGATAAAATCCATTTCCTGTAAAAAAAAACTTAAACATACATATATGTATATATGAAACAAACAATTTTAAATATTTCATTTTTGCTATTATCTAAATGTGAAATAATTGTTCTTTGAGATTTTTATACCGTTTATATATTCCGAATTATATAAAACTGACAATGCAGTAGGACTTTGTGTATCATTTACTTTAAGCAAAGCATTATCATCATTATTATTATTGCTTTCTGGACCTGGAAGAGCCTTTACAATTGTATTACCTGAAATATTTTGTGTTTTAATATACTTTCTTATAAAGGATTAAATATATATCGATAAGCAAAACTGAAGACACTTTATACATTTTTGTAAAAATATTATATTTTCGAACTGCAACATTGTAGTATAGATAATTAAATGACACATGAAATCCTGCAAAATGTATCAATAGTGTTGGCCGATCCCTGAACGATATTAGTATTATAATATTCTGTCCTTTCTATCCGAATCAGTGTTAATATTTTTGAAAATTTTATAAAGTTTGTTCACCTTTACTCATCACTGTAAATATTTATAATTTCTTTTAATAATAAAAGAAACTTTCATACCAATAGCAGCAAGATGTGGCTGCCATGGATATGTTAAATGTTGCGTGTATGTTGGTAATACTTCTAATGATTTGTACAGTTTTGCATTTTCTTGCACATATAATTGCCTGTCGTGTACACCCAAATAAATACCTGGGCTAGTTGAAAATTCTGTTCCCCGTAACCATTCCATACTATCAAATAAATTAATTTCCTTCAAATTGTTGTTTTCGTTACTTTTACTTGCATCTTCACGCCATATGGTAACGATCGGAGAATTAAACTAACAAAATATTAATCCAGATAATTTCATATAAAGCTTGGAAATGTTATATTATTTCTATATTTCGTTAGAACCAACCTTATACTGCCACAATTTTATTTTAGGATTGTTTCTATTGGTAGCCCAGATTAAACCATCAGGCACGACAACTTTAATTTCAATATCTAGAGTATGAGCTTCCTTATCATTTTGACAATAAATATTAGAATTAGAAATGGATACTAAATCATGCTGCCCAACACTGAAGTTCCATCTATTTAAATATATGCTCTATTAATATAAAATCTATCTTATTAACTGTATTCTATTAAGTTGGTTCATATGTAATATTAGATATTTGCAGTAAATGATATTCTTTACTTTTTTCATAAAAAGAATTGTTCCCAATAAAATATACACATGTTTTGAAAGTTGACACCTCAATTACTAGTATAAAAAATATGTTATGTTTATGTCGTGATCTAAATCCGTGACTTTCACGCTCGACGTGACATACACAACAGTAATATTTCTTTAAAAATTTTTGGACATCTACTATTCTCTTACTGAAAATTCTGATATTACTTTTTCACTAACCCAATAAGATGAATACCTTTCGATACCAGTACGAGGTTCAACGGCTCTTACTGTCTGTTGATATCGTCGAACAATAAGCACATCTTGTTCAATATATGAATCTCCATTTGTGTTAGTACAACCATTAATTCCACATTCATATAACACTTTTCCTGTTGCACTTGAAACGCCTATTACAGAAAAATATTTATTATTCGTATAACTATATACAACGAGGAGCCAAACTGAATCGATAATACGTTTTACGAAAATTATTATTCAATATCCAATGCACAGACGATAACAAAAATAAGCATAATTAACGCATAATTAACGTTATTGATTTGGTTATGCTTATTTGTTGTATAAATCAATGAAACGTTTCGTAAGAAAAATTTGTAATACACGTTTGAAAATATTTACCATATGAATTCACTTCTCTGCCACCAGAAAATACTAAATCCTCGGAGTAACGAAAGGACGAATGTAACAACTGTACTGCAGATATTGGTATTGATTCTAAATTTTCACCATCGAATTTATATAATCCACCTCTTAGCGATGGTATCAAACGAACCCACTGTCCATCATTATTAAGCTACAAAGATTTATAAGTGAAACAGAAAAAATGATTCATGTTACTTGTATCTGTTTAATACAATATAATTTTTTTAATTGAAAAAAATGAATTTGAAATTGAAACAGCATATCTTATAAAATGAAAAAATAATAATGTATAGAAAATGATATACTATTAAATATTATATATATAAAGTATTGATTCTATAAAAAATCATCTAGAAAACTATATTAATGACAAACCATGACAATTTTACAGCGATACATAATGTCTTTACTAAAAAAGTAGGAATAGTTGCGGAACAAGAAGGTGATTACATTTTTTCATAACATCTGCAGGAAGGTTTAAAATGTTATTCTAAATAATGGTACAATAAACAACATGAACTTATGGGACGACTTAATATTAAATTCATAGAATGTATTTAATGTTTATATACTTCTGTATGATGAATATTTGACGATAACATAGGTCCTCCATTCAAATCCAAGGTCCATTGTTTTTTTCCTAGATTATTTGCATCTAGAGCAGATATTTTTCCATCTAACGTACTCACGAATAATAAACTGGAAGAAAGCATTAAATAATGTGGTTCAGAATTATGGTTACAGATTGATTTGTGCAAATGTTCCAGGTCATAACTCTATTATCTATGCGTTTACAAAAAATGTCAAAAAAGAAAGATAAATAAATAACTTGAAAATCATTGCATTTGTAAGATCTTGGTTTTTTAAACGTTATTTAAAAAACTCTATTGTAAAATAATTCTTTATAAAATCGAGAGACAATGAAAGAAACGATCAAATAAAATAGCAACTTATTACAACGTACTTTTAACAATAACGAAACAAATTCATGTTATATAATTTGTTTAACTTTAGAAGCTTTCTCTTTGTACTAATCGTTACATTTTTCCTACGCGAATATCTATAAACATTTCTTAGTGGAAAATTATACACACAACAATGAACTTTCGTCAAGTATTAATAAAATTAAGAATTTACTAAATCGAAGTATAGAATATAATAATAATCAAAATATGTCAAGCTAAAGTATCGATGATCGAATGAATGTATTGTAAATATTCGACGTGTACATGTTTTCAACTAATTACCTGCGTGAAGGTTTCTGTTCGCAAGATATCAACTGCTTTGTATCATTGTTGTCAACCAGCGGAAATACGAACAAAATTATACATAACAAATGAAACCATATTCGTTTCTGTAAATGTATGTCAGACATTTTCTACATACGAAACGATTGATTGCTTAAATACTGCATTTTGGTTGAATATTCCCGTAAAATAACTGACACGAAATTTTATCGTGATATTCGATTAAAATACGATAAATACTGGTTATTCGGTGCACACCGATGAACCATGGTAAACTCTGATAAATTCTAATAAACATAAATTCCAGCGCCATCTCACGAACATTATAGTCACGCACGAAATAATTAAAATTACTCATTTGTAGCTACCTACTACCTACTACTATAATTTGTTTCACAGTACAAACATTTTGTAATTAACGTGCAACGATATTACTAATTCTATTCGAGAAGTCGTATTGACTTCTCGAATAGAATTTCGAACACGTAAATTTTTGTTATTGTATTGTTAACTTCTTTTAAATTAATAGTAAATTGTTATTGATATGTACGGTTTTTCCTTTTTTAACGTTTATATGGTTCTATCGAAATAATCGTATAGCTTAAAATTAGATAACGTTTTGACTTTGCACCGTATTATTTAAGTTATATAATTTTTATATAATTTTACCGAATATTAGTTTTGTGCAACATATGTTAAAAATTAAACGTAAGAAGTAGAGTAATTGTAAATGAATTGAAATAATCAGCTCTTATGGGAATAAATTGTAAGATATATAGTTGACTGAAGTTAATCCTAATTAATATAGTTAATCCTGTTCGCTTTTTCCAAAGTTATTTTGGACGCTTCGTTAATATGTCGACAGGTGACAGGACATAAGATTTAAAAATTAAACTTTAGGTATGAAAAGAATGAATAAAGAGAAAAGAAATATGCAGGTATTTCGGTTTCGTTCGAAAAAATTTCTTTCCTAGCTGATTTTGCATCAAACGAACAAATGTTTAAACGTAGAAATTATAGTATTCGTAAAATATTTGCGAGAATCGGTTGTTGTTCGCAGCCCTCTAGTTTTGGTTTTAGAAGGCATCGCCACACGTCGTACAACTGCTATACTTTTTCTACGTTACGGGTGATTATGGCGAAGTTTGCCAGATGGAAGTGAAGTGTCGTATAAAGAATACGTTTGTCGATTTTATCAAACGAATTTGTCGAGGTAAGGGTAAGCGACACGAAGGTTTCAGATTTTCTTATGAGATTTAAATCGAATTTTATACGAATTATTGGTGGGCGAGTGAAAGTCAGTTGTTTTTTTATAAATTGCGAGCTAATATCTGTCCTTTCCTCCAGCCATACCTGAAAGTACAATAATAGACTTGGCTGGAACCTGCAGCCTGATTAAATAAATAGTATTGTCTATCTCCCGAATTGCTCTACCAGCAGTAACCCAACTACCCTTTCGTCCGGCACAAATAGATCGTATCAGATGCGACGAAAGTTTTTCCCGTTTTATTAAGAGTCCCGAGACACATAACCTTGTTAACTCTGTGCAGTGTTTGTTCGCAGTTAAATAGTGATCGTAATGTACTTTTATCTTTTTAGCAAAGTATCCATGCAATTCGTAGATCGTACGAAAAAGTATTGTACTATCATACACGAAACTATTCAAACGCTTATAACATTTATAACGTTCAACTATTAAAATATATATGTGTTAAACTGAAGCATTTGATATAATATGACACATATAATAAAGAGTTAAGACTTAAGACTCCATAAAACAATTTAGAAAATAATTAAATAATATATACCATTTCTACAGTATATTTATTGTAAATACATATCAGAAGTGGCTCGGAAAAGTATTTGAATGGAACCTTTGATAATTATTTAAATTAAATAATTAAGTTTTAATGGGAAGTTGGTCTACTATTTGCTTTTATAATAGCCCTAAATCTGTTTTCCATCGAATAGATTAACTTGGAGTTAACATTTACATCGACTGATTATTATATTTCAATAATATTTTGTTTTAATGTTTTTTTTTTTAAATTATAATAGCATTTCTTAATTGTTTTTATACTTTATCCCATAAATGTTAAATAGTGTTTAAGTCAGGACTTTGCGATGGATATGGCAACACATGTGAAACATTATACAATACCCATTGTTTGACTATTTTGGCGGTATGCTTTGGATCACTAAAATACAATATAATTGAATTAGCATAATTCTATTACCAAGAAACTTTGGGAATCCATAGGTATCAAAATTCAAATACTTTTATGAATCATAATAAATGTATTGTAAACATGGTATATATTGTCAAATTATTTTTTTAATCTTACTTATGTACCCTGAGGGTTCATCCCTTGTTATATATATTATATTGTATCAAATGTTTCAGTTTCATATACATGTTTAATTAGTTGAATGTTATAAACGTAATGGTTCAAATATCTTTGTGTGCGAGTGTTATCTTTGATTTTATTCACTTTCACTTTTTCCTCGTAATGATCAAGTTGTTTATTTTATTTTGATGAAAGTTTATATATTTATATAAAGTGAAATATAGAGTTTCTTATATTGTAATTAGATTTCAAAGATCATATAATTTTAATCCACAGTGGAAAAGTATGGAGGGCCAACAATTTTGTTTACGGTGGCACAATTTTCAAAACACATTATTGAGTTCGCTGCCTAAACTGCTCGATGGTGGTTACTTAACGGATGTCACACTGAGCGCCGGTGGTAGACACATACACGCACATAAAATTATTCTATCAGCTTGTAGTTATTATTTTAAAGAATTGTTTAAGGTATTCATGGCACAATTTTTTTAAATTACACTGGTCAACGAATTGTAAACAATAGTTTCTGTACTTTACCCTTAAATTATCTTTTTATATATTTCTGTATAATGAAATAGGAAAAAAGAATGATAAGGGTCTGGTTTGAAAAATATAAGAGATGATTTATTTCGTTCGAGCAGGGTAGATCAGGTAAAAAGCTATTAAATATAGAATAAGTCTGCAAATTTACCCTTTTGTAGGTATTACAAAATTGCCATTTCTAGTTTGTATTTTAAAAAAATTAGAGCCAATATTTGAAATTAACTTTAATTTTTTTGATTAGAGTCATAAAGAAATTAAAATTTATTACTCGGATGAATACATATTTGCCATTGACCAGTGTTATTAAACACTATTTTATTAATTATCGATTAAAATATTAACATTATTGGACTATTATGTTACATCGATGTAAATAAATTTTTAGGATTTAAGTTCTTTGCAACATCCTGTAATTGTATTGCCAGGCATGGAATATGCAAATTTATGTGCATTAGTCACATTTATGTATAATGGTGAAGTGAATATTTATCAAGAACAATTACCTGCACTTTTGGCTATGGCAGATACTCTACATATCCGTGGCCTAGCTGACATCGCCGGGGTAAGGAAATTTGTCTATATTTTCATTAATATAATAAGTGTACAAAGCAGTGGTTGCACAAAACTCTATGGACTGGTAAGTTCATGTTGTAGCTAATGGTATTTTAGAACTCTAATACTTTATCGTTTTGTTTGAATGTGTACTTTTATTCTTGGAATACAATACTTTTATGTGTTTTTCTTCTACAACTGTTCTACCGAACCTCTCATCTTAATGCTTTACACATCAAAAGCATGATTGCATTCCAAGGGTTTATATGCAGTTGGACATTAAAAAAGAAGGCCCAATTGTACGAATTCATTTTAATCAGACTATTAGTTTAGTTAAAAAAAACTAAACCTCACTAAACGGGATTTACTGTTTTTGCTGCTTCAGATGAACTGTACCTGATTTTTTCGAAAATCCCGACTCGCCTTAAGAAGTTCTAAGGATCTTGTAAACATTTGGCAAAATTCTATAGCTTCTGAAATTAAAAAAAAAATATGAACTTTAGGGGAATGTCCTTATGGTTTATACTTTGAGAAAATACCGATTCGTTTACCTTTCCAGCTGTATATAAATCTATAAATATAAATACAATGCAATTAATTTCTGGCAAAGTTCGGAATAATATAATACAAATTAAAACAAAATGTAATCATTCGTTCTTAGTTGGTAATAAAATTCCAATTTAAAATTAAATAGTATTAATTTATACGTGACAATTGCATCATATTCTAGTGACAGGTAATTAGTATTATTTAATAAATTACTTTTCCTTGTCTGATGAAGCTTGCCTCTGTGTGAATTGTATAAAACATGAGTAACAAAGCATGTATTTTTTTCGATGCCTTATTCAAACATTAGTAACTCCTTGCTGGTAATTGTTATTTCCTTGTGTAACCCATTGTCCAGAAATATCAAGATGTTTTCTATTGAAAAAATTACACTTTCATTGTACAGCTTACAAGTATTAAATATTAACATCCTTTATTAATTGAATTTAAACGAGTATCCAAACTTCCATATATACATTATAATTTTGATCAAACATATGGAATTATATGGAAACCATTTAATAATAAATTATCAAAATGAAATTTACACTTATCTTTTTTATTTAAATAATTTAAAAATTCAATAAGGTAAATATCAAGAAATTTTTCATTTTTACCGTTTAAAGTACATTATGCCATTACTTGATGCATTTTCTACAACATATTCATAATTTGCATGCAAAAACATTGAACAATTAAGTGTATTAAACATTATTCCGATATTAAAGATTAAAGTATTGTTTCCTTTATACGGTTTCGTAAGAAAGTAATATCTGAAATAAAAGTTGCATATTCGCTTCTTCCTTTTTTAATCTTTATATTACCCTATGATCGTGTTGTTTTGTTCAGGTCACTTAAATACATTCACTGTCGTTCCTCAAGAAGTACCTCACGAAGGAATTACCTACTACACATATTATGTTCATACGTGCATCGAAGGAACGATAATGAATATAAACGATATCCACGAGATCAAGGTCGTTGTGTGTGTTGCAACTAAATGCAAGTGGATGCATCCCATGGAACCTTTCCCCATAGAATGAGTTTACAGGTATATCTAAAATAGCTTTTCCAAGAATCTCTACACCGACTAAACTTTCGGTAGAAATTTTTTAGAACGATCGAAAGTTTTTTTTTTTTTTTTTTTTTATACGTGTACTTTGCATTACAATAATGCTTAATACTTTAGTCGCGAGTGGCTATAACAAATATTTAGAATTGATGTACGAACATTTAACAGTCTTATTTTTTATTTAAAAAAAAGAAAAGAAAAGAGAAGAAGAAAACCAGTGCATGAATAATTTTTACACAAAATAACAAACTAGTATAAGATACATGAAAAAAAAAATCTCAGTTTGAACTTCATTATATTTAGAAAATTTGTATATTAATGTTATCATATAACGTATACTCTCGGAAATTTTTGAAATAAATTTTGCTGACGTTTTTCAATACTAATAAAAAAAAAAAATTATTTAGCGATCTTCGAGGCTAGGTAGAACAGAAAATTTCATATTTGTCGACACTTATGAAAAATAAAGGTGAAGATCGATCGATAATTGATATTTAAGCTTGAAAGTTAGTATTTCAAGTTTACAAATAATAATAATAATAAAAATTTGTTTCTTTCTGGGTTTTACAGAAAAATTCAAGACACGACAATGGTTTATATGTTCAGACTCCGCCGACGCAATTACAAGAAAAAACGTTACCCGAAGCACCGATAAAGAAAGAAAGTAAAGATAGTGTCACGAGCGGAGAGTCTTTAGAAACAGTTTTGGCGACTGAAGTAACGGAAAGTACAGAAGAACCGTTCAATGATCAAGAAAGTATACCTTATTGCGTGAAGACCAAGCCCTATTACTCTATTAACGCAAAGTTAAATCAGAGAGAAAAAGTCAGTATTCCTTCTGTTAACGTTTCGTCCAATAAGTATGCGGAGCAAGGGTATTCGGACAGTGGAATGGACGAAAGTACACCAATATCGGAAGATCAAATTACTCCAGTGGAAGACACAAAACCACCGCCCGTTTGGGATGCAAATTTCAAATTTCTTACCAGCTCCGTGAGCGGCAGAAATCCGCAAAATTACAATAAATCTAGTGTCACTTGCCTTATCTGTGGGAAACAATTAAGTAATCAATATAATTTGCGGGTACACATGGAAACTCATAGTAATAGTTCATATAGTTGTACGGCCTGTTCACACGTATCAAGATCGCGAGATGCGCTCCGGAAACACGTTTCTTACAGACATCCGGTAGCCTCGCCACAAAAACGTTCACGATACAGTACACCGAAACCATAGGAGTTATTATTCACATAGACGATTATCTTGGTTCAATTCATGCCCTTTCAGGATACCTAATTTGTTTAAAAAAAATTCATGTTACGCTATTCGACTTTTTCAAAATTTTAGTACTTCGTTAACTTAAAAACTAATGATCAAAATTTTAATTTAAATTTTTTTTCATTATTTATTGTTGAAATAACTTTTTTGTTCGAGAAAAGGTCGAATCATTATGAAAGTATTTTGATTTTTATTATTAAGTTATTAATGTGCTTCCTTATCTAAGTTACACCTTCCGCGTAATTACATTTCAGTCACATTATCGCAATTTAGTTTGAAAAATGTCTGATATAGTGTTTAAGTACAATGAATTGAAAAAAAAAAAAGAAAAAAAAAACAAAGCAATATAAAGACTCCCCCCCGATTTATATAATCCCTCAACTGTTTCCATGGAAAAGGTAAACTGTTGCTGTTGAATATAAAAAGTTGAATATTTTATTAAACGAGTGAATTTAGGAGGCGACTTGAACATAAAAAAAAACTTATGTACCTCATCTTCTTTTTAAGAGACATTCAGTACTAGACTGATTAAGAATTAAGGCAAGTTATAGTAACACCCAATTATTTTGTTTTTAAATGTACAAATAACTTAAAAAGTGTGATCACGTTCCTCGAGACCCTTAGTGTTCGAATTGTTACTGTTTTTCTTGTTATTGTTACGCTGTTTCAATAAAGACAGAGTAGACAAATTTTTTCGTTTTGATTTTTTTTTTCACAAATTATTCTTTTTACAGATCACCCAATAAAAAAAAATCGAAGAATCAAAAACAGCATATACTCTCTCGTTATACTGTAACATCTGAAAAAATAATTACAGTACGTAGAAATTTTTATTTGTAATTGACACTGCGCAAAAATGTAAAAAAGATTGCGATAATTTTCATTTGTAAATGTACTCGTTTGGATTATTTCACAGTACCGAATGTAAAAGATCACAGTATAATCTGATTAATCTTGTCCGCGTATCGTTATTAAAAAATAATATACAATGTCCATCGGCTATCGACTACGAAATAAATAAAATGCATTCAAAGATAAGCTCTTTAAAAATGAAAAAGAAACAAATAAATATCTGAAAAAAAAATTAATTAAATCTTTTCTATACGCCATATTTTAGTATTGCAGTCTTGTCCGACTGAAATCAATGTTTCCTCATCGAGCCAAACTAAACGCGTTATTTGACTTTGCGGATGAGCATCTGAAACAGAACAAAACAACATTTTAACGATAAATTAATTCGCATTATAAATTACAATTACAAGGAACGATAAATATAATATTTTAAAAATAAAATCACGTATAAAATAGTAATTCTCACTTTTAATGATGGTATGTTTCGCTGGATTTGTCACGCTCCAAATAATGATCGTCGTATCGAGGCTACCGCTTGCAACCATATCCGAATTGGGAGACCATGCTACGGAATTAACTCTTGCATTGTGGAAACCCCATTCTCTATTGTGTGCAAGCTGTAAAATTACATTTCATCAAACAATACTTATTCAAGGTACATTTTGTACATACAGTGATTACTGAAGCGAAAGCTCTACTCACCCTCTAAAAATCCCAAAAGTGTTTAGGAGGTGAAAATATTACAAACAAATTCGTATATAAAACATACATGTACTAATAATTATACGTATGTTTTGCCAGTGAGATATATTATTTGCACTACGTGCATTAAAAGCATGAGACATAATTTAATAGTAGTAGCAATAGTAGGATTCTGCGTTAATTAACTATTTAATACCAAAGATTTAATTTAAAAGCAGGTAGTATAGAGTTTTCTAATAAGAGCATTAGAATTTTCAATTGTCATAACCGCAATTATTATCGAACTTTACGAGTTGATATCTTTTTTAGTTTTCATTTCATTTAAATTCAATCGCTCTTATTGGAAAGCCAATAATATTTAACTCGCAACTGTACATAAACAGTTCACATTTTAGACATATTTCATGTTTGTCAATCTTGTGATAATTTTGTACCTTATATTCTGGGACAACATAAAGGATCACTTTCCTGTTTGCATCACAAGCAACTAAATATTTGCTGTCAGGACTGTAAGAGGCATCTGTGACTGGACCTAAATGTTCCAATTCAGTTTTTGGCGACATGTTTGTACCTGATAGTGTATAAATACGAACCTGAAATTTTCATTAATGTAGCGATTTGTATTAATTTTTCGTAACAACAACCACTAAAATACATTTAAGAAACCTACTGTATTGTCTGATGTAGCCCCTATAGCCACATCACCATTTTCTTGATTAATTGACACACAAGATGGTTCATAATCAATAGGTACACTCGACACCTTTCGACCATCTTGAGTAACGGTGATCTGAAAATAGAATTAATATTAACTTATTTAGATTTTTGTAAATATGGATTTATATAGAATTATTTTATTTTAATTGTTTCGTGTTCTGATATAACTCATAATTGTTGCAATACAGCTTTGAAGTGTTACGAAAGTAAATACTATAACAAATGTTAGATTACGTGATTCCGGATTGTCAAAAAATAAAATGTTTACCTAGAGGAAATTTTACAAATTTCGCTCACCGGTCAACGGGTCGAATTTATTTTTAAAAATTAACATAATCTTACCTGCCGAACGGTTGCAATTACGACTATATCATTGTAAATATCTAAACCTCGCGGTTGAGAATCCAGTTTAACTACAGACGTATCCGTGTATGAATTTGTAGGAATTTCAACCGTCCTCAAAGTGTCATCGATACCAGCGGTATAAAGTAAATTTTTCGTAGCTTTCATCCCGTTAATTTGATTTCCGTGACCGTGGCCCTGAACACGATCATTTTCTCCCGTTTGTGCGTTCCAATTAGTAATATACCCATCATGAGATCCAGTGTAGATTGTACTTCTGTCAGGACTCAATGTTAATACTGTTATCGGTTTATTATGACCCTGAAAAACGTAACAATTTAAAAACATATACTGTAAAACACAGCGTTTCTATTGCACGATCGAATTTTCTTACCTTTATTATTCTAATTGGTTTCTCAGGATTATCAACATCGAGATAATTAATGAATCCACTTAGAGATACAGACAATAAATGCTTTCCTTGCCATAAACAACTGACCTAAAAGAGAGAAATTCTTCGTATTCTTGCAGTAATTTACAGGAAATCAAATTATGATTCGGACACTACAAAATTGTTACTTCATCACGCTGTAATTTTATTCATAGTTTTTATAAGAAAATATTCAGTTTCTTTTTATTAACAAAATTACACATTACGTGATAAAGTAAAATTTTACAATATCTAAACATTAATTTTATTCACTGAATAAAATTATACAATGAGAAATGTGATTTACCTGTTGATCGTCAACCGTTGTACCCATATTGAACTCACTAACCAGCGAGCGACTTTCTACGTCCCACAGCTTACACGTCTTATCACCAGAAACAGTTAATAATTGCGTCCCATCGGGTTTCCAAGCTATCTATACAATTATAAAAAAGTAGTCAAAAATACGTACAATACTACTTTTGATACGAACATGATCATTTTTCGATTTTATTAATAAAAAAAATGTTAAACCTCAGGATTGAAGAATATTTGACTTGCTTACTCCATATACTCCGCCTTGATGAGCGGGTGATCCTACTTCTCCAACTAAATCGGAGGTTGTACCATCATAAATAAATACTTTCCCGTCAAATCCAGCGGATGCAAATAGATTTCCACTAGGCGAATAACGTACAGCCTGTACGAATCTGGTATGGTCCTGCTTCGTCATTCTGCATAAATAACAACACTAATTAAAGCGAAAAAAAAACAACTTATATGTATACAAAACTTATTATTATTCAACTGATGATCAGTTGTTTCACGGAACTATAGAAGTAAACAGTCAAAGTGTTTGAATTTATAATTATTCACAGCAGTTTATTTAACGTTTTAACTTACCCAACCTACTTCTATACATACGTGCTCCTTACTGTATACTTATGAAAAACAGGGGAGCACGTATCTCATACATCTCATACACAAAATCAAATATTAGTAAATACAATACATACTTGAATTTAAATGGTGGGCCTTCAAAAACGGCAATGGTATTGTCTTCGCTTCCAGTGATCAATCTGAATGGTCTCGCTGGTCTGAAGTCACACGAATTAATAGGCTTACTTTGACCAGAAATTTCACCTACAGATGTACCAGTTTCCGCCATAAATACATGACCAAATCTAAAGGCAGGTACGAAAAATAGAGCCGTTACTAATACTGACACTACACCGACAAATGGATCATTCATTTGTCAAATCGATTAAATGTCTTTTTGCCAATTTGTAGCACTGAGTACAGTTGTTAAAGAAATTTATTTGAAGTATGAAAAGTTGTATATTAATCAAGTGCTTTGACACTAAACTTTTTAAATAATCAAAAAACAGAGGTAATTGCTTTGGTTTATAATGCTCAAATATTTATATTATTCACCTCTCTCTTCCTTCACCGACTACTACCATACGCTGATTATCAGGCGACCATTCTATGTCTTTAATGGGTCCTCCGATAGGGTGGAATTCATTTTTTAAAATATGTTCTTTGTTAACGGTGTCCCAAATACGTACTTTACCCGATTGATCTGTAACAGATAATCTTATGTAAAATCAGATATTTAAACAAAATTTCTACATATTTTACAAATATTAATAAATATGTGTGAGAAATTTTGACAAAAAAAAAAAGGTGTACAGTTCATTGCAGAAAAATGATCAAAGAAGACCTAAAACTATTCGTTTTACAATAGAATACACCCTTAAATGTATCATTCTGCATATTTTGTACATATTATTGCGCGTGCGTAGTTTATTCTTGATATTTTACGTACCACCCGAAGCTATATAAAATCCACTCGGAGAATATTTTGCAACATTTACTGGACAAGAATGTTCTGTATAAATATCTGCAATAGCTGGATTCTAAAAGTAAAGTTATTAAAATAATGATATATTCTAGCATTTTATATAGATTTAAAATAGAATATTATCTTAATACTCACATCAATGTTTCTAATGATCACACTATTACCATTAGTATATAAAAAATTCTTCCCTTTAGGATCTCCACCTAATACAAGAGGTTGTCCCCTTTGTGTTCTGGGTAATGTAGCAAATATGTACTCTGCAAATACAACATAAACCTTAATAAAACTTTCAAGCAACACCTCGGAATAATAACAATTAGATTATACGACTACTAAATAAAATATAAAAGAAAGAAAGAATTTATATAACGCAAAATTTAATTTCTGTCAAATTATAATTTGTAAAAGGAAATTGCGTAGTAGCATATATCTTTTGGCAGAAACTAAAATATACTTCCTTGATCCATTGGCACAGGTCCAATGTATAATATTTCAAATTATTTCGAGCGTGTAAACTGTATGTTGGTCTAAAATTACAATCGTTCAATTTCAATATTTTACAGAAAATTTACTTCTACTCAATTTCAACTAATACATCTTAAGATATACCTTAAAGTATAAGAGATACTGTACAACACATCGTATAATATTTGAAGAGTTGTAATTCTTTTTTCATGTTAATAAATTTGATTAAAATAGATTTCATCGAATTTCTCTTTGTAAATTTAAATACACGTAAGCAGTAATTTCCAATAAAGATTTATTTTTTATGTTTTTCTATATTATTGCCATTATCATTTTTTTGCTTATTCGTTGAATTGAATCGAATCTGACAAGACTCGGTTATCTAAATTATTTACCGTATCTTAGAATAGATAATAAAAATGATACATTTTAAAGTTGTGTAAAATAAACTACCACCAGTGCAACGAAGGAGACCGGGTAATAAAACGAAAAATAAAAATTAAACAGAGATCGTTCGAACATTAATCTTCGTAAATGTGGAGAAATTCGAACTAAATTATAAATACTTCGTTTGCAGTCTATCGTGACAACCGCATATGTGAATCACTGATGCATTTGAAGTGTTATGATTCGGCTCGAGATAAGAAGCCGGAAAATTGAAAGATGCGATATTCACACAAAACAGACGACAATAGACAGGCGGATATATATTAAAAGCCAACGAAACGTTTATGCGCCACTTACTTGTTTCATAGGACATTTTTATTCCGTTTATTTCTTTTAAATAATACTTGAAAAAACTCAACAATGGGAATCAGTTCAATGCCTCCTTCGTATCTTTCTCTGCCGCCCCCCCACACACTTGCCAACGAAATACTTGTTCCGCCCTTGCCTTATTTAGCCGAAGCATTGACCACAACGAAGCAAGATCGACAAACGACCAACGAGACAACGACACCTTAAGTACCGTTTTCATATTCGACAGAATCATAGCCGATTCTGTCACATACAAGCATAGTCTATGCTTGTATTACGTACGAGCATCAGAGAACGTACTTCTTACCATTGCAGTGCTAAATCCGTACGTTATCAACAAAACGTGCCGTCGAAAGTCGACAGAGGTCGTCTTCCCCTACCTCGCTGAATTACCGGCGCGGCGACAAGAATACGTCATTCGTTCGACGAAACTTGGCGTATTCGGATCCGTTAGCAATCTTGGCGTATATGAACGTTGGACAAATCTACTCTTATATGTATATTCCGATTTCTATATTCTTATTTTTTGACTCATCATTTGTTGCAAGTACGATGTACAATTGCATAATAGGCCAGTGTTAGGATTGAAAAGGAAAAGATTTAATCGAATTTTAGTTCCTAATCGAAAATGAAAATAATTTTATAAAAAAATACAATCAGAGTAGGATATCACATTTTATTATAAATCGTTTGGACACGTGTCAAGGTATTCATAACGATTGTTTTTGTTTTCAGATTTTCGTTTTAGTAATAATCTGATGTACAGTTTTATAAAAATTTTATATAAAATTTACATTACTATACATGTACACATATGTATAAAATATGAACGTTTCAGATTAAATAGAAAATTGCAAGGCAATACTTCAGAATATCACGTGTACTTTGTGCGTAAAAATTTTACAATTTGTATACCGTTTTACAGTAAACTTTAGGGGGAATGATTAAATTTTGTTTATAAAGAAGTTACGATGGGCCAAGTGTTCAAAATGCACATTATACCAGGAAAAAGTCGCAGTAGGTTACCGTATAAATTTGACAGTATAATTGCAATAAATTACAATAATATATCGCACGTATAAAAATATCCTCAGTTACAGAAATTTTCAGCGAGGTAAGTTCCTTTTATGCCACGATTAGCGTACATGTTAAGAAAGGAAACTGAATGGTTCTAATATCGTGCAACGAAATGATTCGACCGTTTTCGTGATTATTGACACTAGGAGTAATTAAGAACGATAAATTGCAAGCGATAAACGATGCAAAGATAAATACTAATTACACGGATGATGAAATAAATAACGAGTGAATGAAAACGCGTGATCGAATGTGTTCATGGTCGGCGATTATTCGTGCGTACAAGTAAGTGAAAACGTACTTTAGCAGGGTATATTATAATCGAATTTGAAATATTTACCGTAACGATAGCTAATGTTCTATTGTGCATTTTTAATTAGAAACTAACAGCAACGAAGATAGAAATTTGATTGCCGACCAATCGTCAAGTAACACGCTCTACATATTGCGGTCTATGTTAAATGCTGAAAACGAAGATGACGAGACTGAAAAAACTTATTATTAATGCTTTCTATTAATGTAATTTAAGAAAAGCAGTCTTTTTCCACGCACATCACTGCCAACTTTGCATGCTCTTTAGTTTCTAATGACGTATTAATGCACGATTAACAGTGAAAATTATCGAAAGATATCACCGTCCGTTCGTTGTTTTATGCATTTCTCCAACAACAAAAAATTCCAACGATTAAATTTCTTAAAAGCGAAATCCTAGAAAACGTTCTCGCTTTAAGGAACTCTTGCATCAAGATTTAAATCTTCCATCTAACGTCTACAACGAATCTAGTTTCCAGAAATATAACGAATAATTAAATCTTCTTATTTCTATCTGCATTATGAAAGACCAGTTTCGCGAGTTTACCAACGTTCTAAACAATACAAGAAACACGGCTGCAACGAAACGCTTTCCTCGTTCCTTCCGGGCAGTTCCAGCCGTCGAAATATGTATATTACGGTCGTTTAGGATGAAGCTACATCGTTTCACAACGATAAATCGTAACTCCGTCAATAACAACGAATGTTGCGTTTGGCGACGACTTCTTGTAGCAATCGTCTTTCAAACGGCGGATGATTATTCCGAAGACGAGCGGATCCCTCGTTAACTCGTCGACGAATTTTCACCTCGGAATATGTGTTTTCCTTTGATCGTTTTTCATAAAATGTACTTCTGTCCGCTTCGAGTTCCTCGATCGACGGAATACGAGAATATCTGTATTCGTCGATGTCCTCGTCGCGTGGCAAAGGACGCGTGGAATCCTCCGGAACCGGTCGACCGTCGGGGTACACGCGAATTACCATTGGTCCGACCAGATATGGGCCTGTGTGTTCTACAGATGGTCGAATGTAATCGTGCGATGGAACCGTTTCTTCACCCAAACCATTTGTTTCGCTACCACTGGTGGCTGTAACAAAATAAACATTCACGATCAGTATCGAGTACATACTATACCCCGTGTGTGTGTGTCAATTAATCAAGAAAATGGTGAGGTGGTAGAAGAAGAAATCCAATTGCAAATAATTTTATCGTATTTTAAACGTGATTACCTTAAAAATTTGCTTATTGTAAAATTTCCAGAACCGTAATAACTTAAAATGAATAAATGTAACAAAGGAAGATAATAAAGTCACTTAAAAGAATGTTATCTGTATCTGAATTTACATTTTCCAAGATCGATAAACATAATGTCCGATCACTAATGGATGGTAATGTAGCTCTATTTGCCATACGAAACTAATTACCGCGAGTGAAAGTTTTAATCAATGAATGAAGATCAAAGGAACCTCCGTACGGACGAGATACGCGATCTGTATTTGAACGATGTATTAGTTGAAATAGATTGCGTGGGAGGAAGTGAAAGACACCGATAGAAGCTAACAGAAGTTAATAAATCTTTCCATTAACCGTGAAAATTCAAGTGGCTGAAAGAACGAAAGAAAAAGAATAAAATTACTCCGAGTTCCAGTTTCGATGTTCGCATTTCATCCGCGTTCACAGATTCGCGTGACCCGAAACGAACGAAAACAAATGGTGCTACGAGAAAGTTCCAGACACCATCTCAATCACGCTCATTCTACTAGAAAGTTTTTTTTTTCTTCCTCCCACCCTCCCCTGAACGAGATCGCGTTTGATAGTAAAACACTTGTTCTCAAATCGACCAGTCTTCTTCGCTGCACTTTCACCCGATCTCCTGGAACGGTTTCAGAATTCGAGAAGGATCTTTCGCGTTGCTACCAAATAATAATTCGATACAGTTGATCGAGAAACGTCGATCGATTCTTCTGAATGGTTTCCCGCGAGATACGTGTATGCGTGTTCTGCGTCCGGTACGTGGATGCAAAAAGAAAAAAAAAAAAACGTCGAAAAGGAGGTCAATTTTCTCCGAAGAGTAGAGTTCTGGAAGGGACTTTCACATTTTCTCCGAGAAATGCATCGATACGTTAATACCTTTGTAAAAATCGCATGGACGATGTCTCTACGATACATTTTAAACAGACCCTATTAACACTATGACGACCCGGTTCATTTCGAGAATCAATTAGATCCAATTGTTTGCTTTTTATAGAGAAAGAGCGGTAACTGTAGAAACTGGAAAGCAATTTGAAAAATAAGAGAGTATTACCGAGAACAAATTGAAACCGTAGAGTAACATATTTTTTTCTACTCTCTTTAACTAACTTTTGACCGTCTATGAATGTGACAGGGAAGTCAAAGTGTTAATACGTTGAGTAGGCAATACAAGAGAAATATATTAAAAGAATTCTTTTCTTTTTCTTTTTTCATTTGTTGTAATTTCAAATTTCCATTAAAATTATACAACGCGCTGGCCAGTAAGAAAGCGAAACTCATCGAATTTCAAATCACGATAAAGAAATGTTCCCGAACATGGCATGTATATCTTTCTGTTGGAAAAAAGTTACCGAACACGTTTAGCAATTGTACGTTAAGCATTTCAATGCGCGTATGCGCGCGTGTGTGTGTGTGTGTGTATATTCGTTTGCATCATATATATATGACACAAACGGATTAAACAACAAATATACCAAATCGATTGAATTGTTGTACATCACTTCGGAAAGTCGTTGCGAAAAATAATCATCCAAGATCACGATCTGACGGAACTAGGAAGTATCTCGATGTAGACAGACGTGAAATTATCATAACGCGGAGGTCGTGTCTGTGTAGTTAAAAAATGACTTTCGAACCTGTACACACACGCAACTTGAACGCGTTTAATACATTTCGTCCGTGCTGAAAATATTTACGACCGATGATGATCAGTATGATTTAGAACTCTAGTATCGAAGTTATAAGATCTTTATAATCTGTTGGTTATTATTTGCAAAATGCAAATGAATAAATTCTTTAATGTTTGTTCTACTTCCTGTTTGTACTTAATTAATTGAAATATTCCAGAAAAGTCTGTGTAGGTTTCTTTTGGATTTAGTTTTCTCCCCTCTTTTAAACTCTAACTTGTCGAATTTTAAGCATGTACATATGTACATACCTAATGAATCCGTTCCGGTCGTGAAGTAGGATTCATCCGATTCGTGGCCAATTCTTACCGAATATCCGCTCTTTACCATGGCGCGCCAAACTGTAAGCAAGAAATAACAAATTAAAGGGTTATTCCACTCCCCATATCAATTATATCGCTCGAATTATTCCTCGACTATGGTTCTCAAAAAACTAAATCGGTACTACTGCGTGCCATAGATAGTATTCATATATGTATGTATATGAAAAATTTCGACGAGAATGATCTTCGATATTGATGGGCCGAATATCATTAAAATGATAATGAGGGTTAGAATGCGTATGTTTGAAAGATAGCTTCAAAGATTTTATTCAGTGGGACAAAAACGGTCAAAAATCGCCGCGTATGTAAATAACTGGCTGCATTCTTAATGAAGGTTTTAGTCGTCAATCGCAGACTACAGGCGCCATGGGTATAATTATTCGTCCCAAATGCCGCTGACATTGCTCAAGGCACCAACGAATCAAATAGTAGGTACATATTTTTATCGCGGAAGTCTGGCCACAGAATGCTATAAACAGAGAAGTGGTCAAAATTCTTATCTAGATAAAACCATTAAATAACGAATAATTATTTATCCCTTACTTGTTAAATATAAAGTTGTATATTAAAAATTAAAAAAAAAAATGTAACTATTCGATCGAATATACGTGGCAAATAAATTGTTGTACGTTGGTCTTTTATTCGTCGTTCATTTCCAGCTACAAAGGAGACTTGTCTTTTATTTGTTATTCGAAATTTTTATTTAGATAAACATTTTTCTCGCCTCTGGTTTCTAATAGCCGCGTGTTTTCCAAACGAAACCGCAATACGAGCGAAAATGTAGCTGTAGATGCATGCTTACTGATTTCTTTTGCGTCACGCTGGTACGGGTCCAATTTATCGAGAATTGTGTCGTCCATATTAGCCAGATTTCGGAGACCGGAAACCAGTAAATATTTGTTGCAATCCGGCATCGAAGAGTCCGTGCAGAACTTGGCTACTTGCTGACTGAACATTTTGAATAAGTGGCTCATCTGAAACGAAACGTTTTTCGTTAACTGGAAAATCGATTAATTAATTTGTTCTATCATTAATATGTCCTATATTTTTACAAACGGAAGATGTTATTTAACAAAGACTGAAGGGATTTGTTGAAAATTTTATTACGACTCAATTCATTTACATATGTATATGTAAAATAGTAGTGTTTTTATAGAAATTTCATTGTCCACTGTAGCTCGTCAACTACGATTTTTCGAATCGTGTTCAAGTTTCGTCGCGTACACGGAAAATCGAATAGAAATCGGAAAATTCTTTAATTTTCTTGTTTTATTTAGTCGAAAAGTGTCGATCATCTCGAAAGCTGTCTTCCATTCCGTGTGGACAAATGCATTCTGCACGCGTCCGGTGAAACTCGGCAATGTGTAACGCACGCGATATTGGCCACGACAGTTATAACAAACAAATATATATGCGCGCCGCGCGCGGTCTCTCGTACATCACGTATCGGGCTGATGATTGCGATACACGCCTTCTTTTTTTTTTCCTTTTCGTCACGATAAATTCTACCCGTCGCCGCCGCGAAACATGCCCCCGTTCGCGTTCTACGTAAAACGCAATGATCGATGTCCACACACTTTTGGCTCCATCTATGGACGCACGATTACGCGAATAATCGACCTTAGAATTTCTAATGACATTTTTGTAATAGCTTTCGAGCCCTCAAAATCGAACGTACCAAGCCGCATACTGGGATCCGTCATCTGCCTTGACGAAGCAATCAAAACTATTTTAACGCTTGTTCAATTTTCAAACTGCCATAAACTGTTTTCTATCTATTATGTGAAAAAATACGTTTTCGTATATTTGTCAGGGTAGATATGGCAGAGGGTATGGCAAGCGTTATCAAATAAAAAAAAACTATTTTTATTTCTCATTTTACTCGAAGTTTATTACTGCAAAAACCTGTTTTATAGTAGTATGTATTGGTGAAAAAGACATTGTATTGACATCCCCTTTATAAGAAATATTATGTCAAATCACAGATTTCGTTTGCTGAGAAGTTATTGGTGTATATGTTTACATTTTATATCATAGATAAAGTGAATTTAGATCATTCAAAAATAGGCACTTTTTTATCAGATTTCGTAAATTTATTAGACCGTTAAATGGTTAAAAGTGATTGGCAACTAGTGTATCCAACGTTAGGACTTGGAAATACTTCGATCCACTTAAAGTCGATGGTTTAATGAGACCTACAAGTTCAGCTGAACCGCAGATAAAGAGAATGTACTTGAACTTCAATTTACATGCAACTGCTTTTACCAGCACGAACGTCGCGAACAACTATATTATTCGCATTGCACGTAAGACGATGAAATGCATTTCACGCTTTTCTCCTTTCCCAAGCGAGATAAGAATCTACAAGAGGACTGACAACGCAAAATCACAAAGAGACAACTAATTGTAACTTAAATTTAACTACTTAAAAAGAAAACATTTGTTGAACTTTCTAGAATATTCTATATGTATCTGGTCCCTAAAGGGGGCTGAAAAATTATAGGTCCAAGTGTTGAAAAATAAAATCGTAAGACGACCCGAAATACAAGTATATGTAAAATACTGTTTTCTTCTGAATCTCTTCGATGTTAAAAAAGATAGAAAGTGAGTAGCAACGTGTTAAAAAATCCCGTGTGTGTGTCGTAAAATTCACTCGTTATTGTCGTTCCCAAGTTGAAATATTTACTACCGTTCGTAATGTCAACATCATGAGAAATGGCTGTCTCGATGTATAATGAAAACATTGGTTACGAACTCTTATGCTGTATGTAAAAAGAGAGCAACGCAAAAAGAACGAACGGCGCAATGTCATGAGAAAAGTCAATGTCCGAGGCGCGCTCGTACAATTACACTCGACCGGACTGCACAAGTGCACGAGGTGTGCATTTTCAACGAATGCGCTCGATTCTGTTCGGTGAAAGTTTCGTTTTACCAATATTTACTATAACAGAATCTGTTCGATAAAGGCAAACTTCGGTTGACATTTTTTTCAGAAAAGATAAGTAATATGTATGTACAAGTATAATAGAATATGGCACGAAAGTAAGCGAACAGTTTACCTTGTTGATAAATAATCGTTTGAACAAAGGTAAATATCGAATTTTATACGATTGAATAAAGTGGGTCGATTAAAATTGATCAGGCTGCATACGCGCTTTTAATTTTCATCGAAAAATGTTGTCTGTCTTGGAATAAAGATGCGAGGAATCCAGAAAGAAAGTACGACTCTCGAACAATTTTCGCAAAGAACCGTACAAATTCCGTACCGTTTAAATATACGAGTTAAATTTACGGAAGAATGTTAAAACAATACTCACTTTCTCATCCCGTGACAAGAATTCCCACATAGGTATCGCAGAACCAGCGATACACAGAGTATAGCATCCCAGTATCAGGATAGCGGTGACGATCACAAAAGTTCTGCTCTTCATTACTGATGTGTTTCACTTATCTTTTCAACAGTCTTGTGTACACACTTTTTACGCACGTCCTGTTAGTCCGTTGCTCCAATTTCTACCACAGTTATTACTCGTACAAGGAAGAGAGTTAGATCTTTCAACGAAAGAACACCGATCGATCCCGCGACTTCCGCGAATATAAACCTTCGAGAATATTTGTTAACCGAGGAAATATTGATATATCGCCGTGCTGGTTAACGTTCACGTGTAACCGAATGTTCGGAACGATGAAACGAACCACTCTCGCCGAATGGTCTTTGCAAACTGTCCTGTGATCTTCATCGGGCCGTGATTTTATGTTCGTATTCCACCGACGCGACGTCTACGCAACTCCACTGCCCTCCCCTCCACTTACATTTTCAAGAACAGAGTCCACGGGTGTTTGGCGGTATTTATTACAGTGGGTCAGAAAATTATTTTACTCGCAAGGGGAGGCTACGGATGTGGAAATGGATTTTTTAATCGACATTAACCAAACATTGTAAAAGTTTAAAAGGCATTCGCTGAACAGGTATCCGGTTTAAAGATATACAGTAATGGACCAAAGATTAAGACAAAATGGGAAAAAGAAAGAGATAATTTCGTATTTAATATGAAAAACACGACTCGGAAACGACTTAATCTTGTTTGTCCGGTTCTGCCAGTTAGTTTACATTTGGTTCTTAGAATCGCATTCTTCGGGGCTGCATGCCCTTCGAAATTTGTTCCGAGTAAAGGGTGTAGCTAATTAACAATAATTCACAAAGAAAAAAAAAAAGTTTGTGCAGTATGGAAGATAAATATAGTTAAAAAAAAATACGATAGTTGCGAGATTATGGTATTCTGTGTCTGTGCGCCGCAGGACGTGCCTCTAAAAATGTTTGCTTCCGACAGTTTTGTCGTTACCGCCATTATTTACGATTTATTTTCGCATAAAAGAGACACGGTAGCTCAAGGATGGCTCTGAATGACGTAGGTCATTGATCGAATTGCAAATTAATATTCATCGAACAATATCGGCTGCCATTTAACATCGTAATTTCGTATTCCACGTTTTCACTTAATATACATATACGTATAAATAAATCTGTAGAGCGTAGGTATGTTTGTAATTTGGTTTTTTTTTTTCATCGAGTTCTCGATAATTTTTAGGTTCGTTCAACGATAAGCCAAAAACTCGAATTATAACTCGAATTATGTTATTCGGATCCTACGAGAATAGCTCCTTAAAAAGTTATTAAAAAATTAAATTTAAAAATTTAAAATCATTCACGGAAAAATTATTTTCGGTTGCGGGGGTCAATTGCAATCATTTTTGGTGAATACACAACACACCTCCGAAATCCTACGCACTTTCGAGAAAAAAATTCTTTATCGAAAATATACATACTGTGTGGCCGGAAATGTTTCTATAACTTTTTAACGAAGCCTCGATCAACAAATTAGTATCCTTGATTTTCGTCTTATTTTGGCCTCTAGAATCTCCCATTAAAAAAAATTCTTCCCACTGGATACACGAAAGTATTCGTACGTCCAGTTTGTTTTTATAATGACTGATGTTGGTAAACCTATCGAAAAGATGCACGGTATTATGATCGTAGAGAACATCATTTTGACCGATCGGTGCGTTACATTGTGCGTTGAATGATTAAAACGTCCTTAGAAAAATCATATAAGGCAATTCGGTCGATTGAGTACAGCGTGTTCTACTTTCCAAATCAATCGATCGCGCATGACCAGACGTGACCGTATATTCATGGATTTACTGCGACTTTGATCCATGGAACAGTCTTGTGAATTGAAGCAATGCTAACTATACGTTTTACAGAGCAACTGTGCAGAAATAGGTCAAGGTGGCCACGATAAATCGTGGTCGATCTGATCTATTCCGTTCAGTCGATGATAATACACTACCTATGTAAGTACTTACTTACGCGGCACACCATCGATCTTTTCTTAACTCTTGACAAGAACAATGCATTACAATTAGCAGTCATAAATTTTCAATCATATAAATAAAGCTGCGAGGGCTGATATGTTTATAATATTCTTTTTATTTGGAATTTTCGATATTTCTTTTTTTGTTCAATGGTATTAAAGCAGAAAAATAGATTTTTAGAATCTTTGTTTCTCTATTCGCATCATCATAATAACATTAGCTGTTTGGTATCTCATTTTGAAAATCTTTTTATTATTCATTCTACATATAATAGACGCTTCGAATAATCATTATCGAATGAAACACTAATTCGAAACAAAAGACAAAATTCTTTTTCCCCTGACTCGAATAAGTTACTTGTACAGCGAGGTGTTCAAACCCAACAACCGTTTTTCCTCGTTCACGAACCGTGAAGCACTTAACAACCGCATCTTGTTGTTTCGTTTCAGTTTAGACGTTAAATTGCTCGAGTAAAAGTGGTTGTTTCGCTCGGTGAAGCGATTCATTAGTAAGACAAGACGAATATTGTCCTTGTTTCTTTGAAAGGGCAAGGTAAATTCTTGTTCGATTCTCGTGACGATAATTTGGATCGATTAAATTGCTCGATGAAAAATGTCGGTATAAAATGCAGGGCGTACGTTAAACCGGAAACGGACACCGCGGTGCACTGAAAAATGAAATGGTAATCGCTTCCCCTTTTCGTCGTAACGATCGGACAGTCATCCGAGATCGAGAGGTGTGGAATTCGTTCCGGTCGACGTAATAGTTGCCGGATGCTTAGCGCTTCCCTGACGAAAGAGTTACCATGGACGATGTCGGTCGGTGGTTTCAAACATACGGATGTTTTCGCATTAGGTCGACGCGATATCGTGCCAATTTGACACACGTGCACGCGGAAACGAGTTCGCGACGATCTTGATTTTCGTGTTTCGTTCTCGTCGTACTACGTGAAATTAAAATATTACTTATCTTTTACCATTTTCTAATTAATATATTTACGAAAAGTATTCGTATCTGTAAATTTTTATTCTATTAAACCAAGTAAAAAATTATAATAATTTGTTTCGGCTAGATACACTAGATCGAAGGTTAATTCGTTGAAATCTTAATAATTACCGATCCTTGATTATGAAATGATTTTTAATCTATTATGAAATCTTACGGTAGAACGCGGAGGTATGGAATTTCCAGAATCCGGAATGGCAACGGACGCGTCGATAAAATTTACGTAGGTTTCTACACGTGACATTACCAGACGTACTTACTGTTACGTGCTTTCGGATTCCGAAGATGATCGTAAAATTTATTGCACCCATATGCAAAATCGTTCAACACCAGTCGAAACCACCTCAGTCTGTATTCTTCTTGCCCTACGGTTAATATGTATGTATATGCGCAAGTTCGAGCATACGAACTGGCTTTAGGTACGAAATTAAATTTAAAGATAAAACAGAGAAACCTGTTTAATAGAAAACACATTATAGAAATAAAGTATACAAGAATTTTATGGTGTATAGCTGTTGTCCACGTTTTCATACGCGTAATCTTATGTATATGTATAATAAATTATCTAATTATTAATTATTCTAATATTACTTATACATATTATGTATAAGTGTACTTGATATTTCATAATCTTTTTAATGATACTATTAGGGTTTCTATTCTATGCGGCATCGATTCTCTGGAATTGTTCAGCTTTATGTACTTTGGCAATCATTAATCAACCGACATATTGCCCGGTGGGCGGTGGGCGGTGTTTCTGCATTCCAGAGGAACACCGCGTTCTCACGTTAATTTACGCGTAAAAAATTCACGTATAATCACGTGACACCGTTACCAACAACAAAACTCGTAATCGTTGATTCGTGGCGCCAACGTGGTTGACATATTACGCTATTAAACAGTTACATGCCTGTTTCTGCTATTTCTTTTTCTTATTTTATATTCTTCGAGTAGTTTTTATGCAAACGCAAAACAATGTTGTAAATATTTTTCGCCTACGACGTGCGTCATCAATAACATTTCCATTAATTGTAATATAAATTTATAATATTTTTGTTTGTTTTCTTGAGATCTACTAAGATGCAATTTTGTATTTCGATTCCGCAAGAAATTGCTGGAACCTTACCACGACAAATCAGTCCACCAGCAAAACCAGAACTTAACGTGTACCTGGAAACAATTCCTTCTATTTCAAGAGAAATAAATAACGGGAAGACTAATTGTAGAATACATTTTTGTATGAGATCAATACGACGTATCATATTAATCTTAAAATAGTATTACGCAAATTTTGAAAATTTTCCCTGAGGAAATTAATCAAAAAGTAAAAACAAGTATTATACAATTCTGAAAAATTGCACGGTAGAAATTTCTGACCGTAAATATGGGGGCGTATAATCGATTCGTCAATTTCTCTACCCGACGATACACGGTTGACGTAAACGATGAAACATTTCCACATGGAAAATAATTTAAATGCAATTTAAAACTAGTTTAATGGAGCCGCGATACAAGTATGCATCTTAATGTACAAGATATTCATTGGTTGACGTCAATCTGATGAATGTCGAAAAGACGTAAAATGTTAAGACGGCGCCATTTAGTCGGGCAACGAATCGATTTTATGGATATGCGATTAGGGATTCAAATGTCTGCTTTCGAAAGTATGCGACAGAAGTTCTTCGCGTTCATGCTCTTTTTATTTTGGCAAGATCGCGGGACAAGTCACGTATTATCTTTTCGCCATCGAAATATTATTCGCACCTTTTTTATTTCACATCTCCAATGGAATATACGCATTGCAGTAAATTTTTATTTACGTACAAATTATTGTTTTATTTTCATTTATTTATTTATTTATTTACTTATTATTAAATTTTTCTTTTCGAAAGGTACATTACAACTAACAGAAATACATTCAATGTTGCTATAAAGTAGTCAAAATCTATTATAAAAACATTGTAATTATAGTTATGGCGATGTCATTAATATTAATTATATTACACATTGCTTTCTGTCATTTATACAACTTTTGAAATATTTACTTCATGTGTCATTGACGTGTGTCTCTAAGATAAAACGACTATCGTATACACTTAATAGTAATAAAAGACTATTCTTCAAAATGTTTCAAATCTTTAAATATTGCCACAAAATTAAAAAGTCTCAAGTTTCCAGAAAATGCGATAAAAAAATTTGATTTTTCATCTAAACAAACCGAAATCTTACCTAACGATTTCGATTCTTTCGAACAAAAAATAGTTTAGTATCGCATATACATATACATACTGGTTAAGAAGTAGACATTTATTGTAAATATAAAAATATATTTGATAATTTAAAAGTAATACAATATTAACGATTAACGATTTTTATGCCTTCGTAATAAACAATTTATTATTAACGAATTGAACATTTTTATAACTCTTTTCCGTTGCGATTTTGTAGGAAGTGTTTGTATAATCGAAACTCTTGGTATAATCATGAATATGATTACATTTTTATGTTTAACGACTAATTAATATCCCAACAATGTTTATGTGTGTCTAACGACGGCCATAGGCATGATGAGATTGGTGGGCTGTAAAATAAATAGAATAGTATAAGTTTCAAAAGATTTTTATATAAATTACTTCATGATTTCACTTTGTCATTTCAAAAGTTCGAACGATTTCATCGGACTTACGTTTATAAAATTCTGTAAAGTTCACATTGGGTAGCAAAGAAGAAACTTTTTGTAAAACAGTAGCTTTGGATGCTAAAGTTGCATTGGTATTCCATATCTAACCGAGAAGATAATAAAAAAATTCCGTAAATAATACAATTTACCCTACAACACTGGTCAACAAATTCTAAACAAATTTAGTTTACTAAAAATACATATTTGCAATTAACCAATCTAATTTGTTTACTCTGTTTAAAACATTAAAACCTCACTTGAATAAGATCTTCTCTGTCTCTGATAGAAACGGTTACCCCACAAATTTCATCATCTTCAGCCATACATTCAGAAAACTGTTCTCCTATAGCTGCAAGCACCATCTCTTTCCAAATCTGTTCCTACATATACCAATCGTGTCAGTAATATATTTATGATAACAATATAAATCTTGGTACCTACAGTATCAGATTTGTGACATTTTAATCTCCATGTTCCACCTTTTTGATTAACAGGTTCTTCCCATAAGGGATATCTTTCATCCCTCATCAAATGATAACTGTATCTAACCTGAGATTAGAGGAATCAATAAATACAGTAATTAATATAAAAAATATCAATAAAGGAATGGTTTATATAAGGTGTATATACTTACCTGCATAGCACTAGCATTTGGTATATTATTGAAGACTGCCCAAAAACTTTGTACAGTGTTCACTGTATAAATCTTCGTTAAATTTTCTTTATATTCTTCAACAGTTGTACCAGATACAGCTCTGTCAATTTTACCAACTTTAACAACTTTCTATATGCATTATAAACAAAGAATCGGTAATGTTACTTACAATAACTGGTTATTATATCAGATTTGTAACATCACCAAACAGGGATAATGATATTTATTATATTTACGTATGGCTATTTGATATATATATAAAGTTAACTAAAAATTTGTTAATAATGTGTTAAATTCAAATGTAACTTCATTTCTAAAATTTTTTAATTTTGTTTTAAAATCATATTTAAGGCATATATTTTGTGATAATTTTAAAAGAATAATATTATTATTATTATTCTTTTAACTATTTTCAAGAAATATCAATTTTTTGTGCTATTGAAATAGTCTATGTACAGATGCCATGACACAATGTCGTTTCTATCAACACTTTGCCAATATTAAAGTTTACTTAAATTCTGTGTGGGATCAAAATGATTCCTTTCAATAAATCATTTACATACGATTATAGAAGCCAGAAAAAATTTTACAAAATAAAACCCACTAACAATGGTAATTATTATTACAAATGACAAAATCAATCATTTTGATTAGTTTGGTAGATCTGGTGTTGATAATATCGAAGATCAACATTATGCACGTACATTTTAATGACGTTTTAAAAAGAAGAAGAAAAGAAACGTAAAAGAAAACTGATAGCAACACGATACAGGGCGCACTCAATTTCAAATATTACGCAGTGAAATGTAAATATGTCTACGTACTTGTCCAACCAGAACGTCCATGAAGATTGCAACGGTATTCCCAACGTTTCATGTCCTTCGATCGTTTTCACAGTTTCCTCAGAAAATACCGGCGTTTCCGATAAGTCCGCCGAGTTATCGTCTTTCGATTTACACTCCACCGCGGCCATGTTCGAAACGACGACAAAATACATACATACATGCAGTGATGCCAGAAAAGCATCGTCGGGTGCACACTCACGCATGCTAGATACGCGTACGTGAGCTCGTGGAGTTTCGGAAAGACGACAAAGGCAAACTGACGCATGCCCTCTTTCTCGATTCTCCCACTTCCTCTTTCTCCCACACAACTGAAATCCGACCTCCAGTCAACGGCATACGATTTGGATTCTCGACTGCCCAGGCATTTTTACTTTCCGACCCATGTAGGCGCACATAAGCAAATTACCCATAATGAAAAAAAAATTTTGTAAAATTTATTTTACGGAAATACACGTTTTAAGACCTCCTGATCATATTTTAATTATTGAAAAAAAAGAAATTTTTTTTTATTCCCATGTATGAGCACACATATGTATATTATTAATACGATTTTTGAAAATAAATAAAGTAAAACTTATCTCATTAAAATTTTTTCTAGAAGTTGAGCTGATGAATACCTAGAAAAAAGTATTAGACACACATTTAATTTTGATTTCGATTAAAAATCAAATTTATATTGTTTTAAATTCGCAGCCATTAGCTCGGTGTTACCCATAATGAAGAAGTTTTTCTTCAAAGGTAACACCGATTACCAGGTCTCACCACGAGGAGGTTGCTGCGAGTGGAGACCCAAAGTGAGATCGATGGAACAAAGTTCGATCGACCTTCCTTTTTACACACTAGATTACGCAAAAAAAAAGATGCCAAGTAATTACTGTTCTAAAACAAAGGAGGAAGCTAAATTATGGGAGACGCGACACGACGAAACGCGACACAATACTGCACAGTGCAGTAGGAATATGAGGTGCGACACGTACCGAATAGCGGGTCAAAAGGGGCAGCTCGTTGCCTCTCAGCAAGTCCAATTGAAGGGGAGGAGAATCGACGCACCAGACACGGGTTCTCCATTTCTCCCACGCATCCTGCTGGGAGCCCGTAGGACCCAACCCGGGACGTCTGACACAGGAGAGAGATCCTGAGTCGGGGCTACCGCAGACAGGAACAGGTCCCCTCTACGGCCGATGACTCTTTCCCTAGAATTGTCTCACCAGAGGACGGCAACCGACCCTTCGAACCATCTAAACGGCCGATCACTTGCTTTCTACATTAAAGCAGCGGTGACCGGAGAAACGAGACTGGAAAAGAAGCTATTAATGAATTCATTACTTGGCAATCTACGCAGTAAATAAAATAATATACAATGTAAATTGAAAATTAACGTCGTAGGTGGAATTGAGAATTAATGTGAATGAATGAAACATAGGAAATCTGGGAAAAAGAAACAAGGAAAAAGAAAAATTCGACGTTAATTTTTACATTCGCGCCGCGCCTTAAAATTAATCGCTTACGTTTAACGATGAATCCGACGTCATCTGTTGGCGATCTAGAAATTGACCTGCATAAAAACTAACATAAAAATTAATAGGTACATATTAATAATACATGTACACAAATATAACCTAAATAACAAATCGAAATCAAAACCAAAACATAATAGGAATTGACCAACCCAACGCAGTAAGATAAAGAAACGAATTAATAGAAAAAAAACAAACCAACGATGTGCAATAATAGATTAATTTGGAAAAGAACAACCCATCGAAGCGTAAGACGAATAACAGAAAAATTGGAAAAATATCAACCCAACGATGTATAGATAAAATCTGAAAGGAAAATAATTGAATAAATTAGTGGAAGGAACAACCCAAATATGTACAACAATACCTATATACCTATATACATAAAAAGGAAGAAAAACACAATACATGGATTAGTTATATTAATATTAGTTACGTGTATACCAAACGGTGATCCTTTCCTTCCTGGTCACCATCGCAGAAGATATCTGAAACAGAAAAAAAAAACGCGTGACAGTACCCCCGGCGGTTCCAGGAGTACTGAAAAGAGCTGCCCAGTTGTGTCCACTTTTATGCAGTCAAGCCAAAGAATCAACGAGCCAATCAGCAGCCAGTCCGCTGGGGGCGACACTCCGATAGAGCGATACTTGCTTCACCTAAGTTTATAAGAGACCCCCCCACTGTGGCCCTCGCGCGGGAGTTATCACCCAACCACCAAACAAGACGGACTGTATCAAGATGAAGAATTTAATTGAAGATTTACATTCGATCAAAATCGAAGATGGCGGCCAAGAAGATGTTTCACGAGCAGCGGCCAAGGGACAAAACCGGTCTTTTTAAAGACCAAGAAAATCTCATTTGTGGGAACAACTTATGCAATGAACTGAACAACTTTTATATTTAACAAACTCAGAGACACTTTACATCTCTGTTTTGTAACAACTTTTATATTTAACAATTCAGAGACACTTTACATCACTGTTTTGTAACAACTTTTATATTTAACAATTCAGAGACACTTTACATCACTGTTTTGTAACAACTTTTATATTTAACAACTCAGAGACACTTTACATCTCTGTTTTGTAACAACTTTTATATTTAACAATTCAGAGACACTTTACATCTCTGTTTTGTAACAACTTTTATATTTAACAATTCAGAGACACTTTACATCTCTGTTTTGTAACAACTTTTATATTTAACAACTCAGAGACACTTTACATCTCTGTTTTGTAACAACTTTTATATTTAACAACTCAGAGACACTTTACATCTCTGTTATGGAACAAGTTATGCAATAAAACTGAACATGGTATATTTGCCTATACATTAGTAAGGAAATTCGTCGTTAGTATTGTCGCCCGTCAATGCACTTAATTATGCAAGATCAGTATACTATCTAATTTTATTTTTTATTATACCGGTTTGTAATATCGTAAAGATCAATGCAAAAACATTATGCACAGCTCTTGTATTTCTTTGATTTATCCAAGTAGTCAAAGTATAATATTTTACAAACTTTTGATTCAAATAAAATAACGAATGACACAAAATTTGAGTACCTGTTACATGTAACCTATGTATAAATGCATAACTAATATTGATATACGCATAACGAACTTAGTTTGTGATATGAAACATTAAGAAAAGTGTAAATTAATAAATAGGTTTCAAAATGGGTATTCCGGGTTTAACAACTTCCATAAACAATCGTTCAGATCGTTATTTGGAATAGTTCGAGCTACGTGATACGTATTTAGTTATTTAGCTGTCAAATATATAATTCGTACAAGTGCAATTGTGTTTTTGTCGGTGATTACGATAAATACGCTCAACGAGTATCGGATTTTTTTGACGATTTGATAAACTGCAATGCAGTACCATTAGTTTTGATCGATTGTGGTTGCGAGGATAAGAAACTGCAAACAGTTATATCTAGAACTAGAGAAAAGGTTCGTACAGCATCATCTTATTCTCCGATCTGTCAACAGAAAATGAAATTTTTTCCTGTACATATTTAGGAAGTTTTCAAAGATGTTAGGAGAAAGAAGAATATTCGTCATGTGCAATGCTTATTCGAAGCTGATAATGCTATAGCTACTGTAGCAAGGATATTGAATTGTCCTGTATCGAGTTATGATTCAGATTTTTATGTGTTTGGGACATTGTACATACCATTTGATACATTGGACAATTACACGGTGAAAAGTTCAACTGGAAATGGTTACACGAAACGTTGTAAAATTTATAAATTTGAACACTTATTAAATTCTTATAGAGGTCTAAGTCAATCTACACTGCCATTAGCTGCAATATTACTAGGCAATGATTATGTAAAACGTGGTACATTTAGAAACTTCTTTCGTTATTTAAAGTTACGACGAATAACAAGAAAAAGGTATAGTAATCGACAGTATTGTATAGAAGCAACTTTACAATGGTTGAGCGGATTTTACACCTTGGACAGAGCAGTCATTGGAATACTATGTAGATCACCTAAAACCGTAAGACAAAAAATATTAAGCATAATAGAAATCAATATAAATGGCTATACAAATGCATCTGCAGAAATACTTGTTCCATTGGGGTTTTTACAGGAATATGCAGCTCGTGCCACAACACATTCCATAAACAGAATTTTTAAATTTGATGGAGATGTTAATAGTCTAATGTACATAGAAGAAACTGATAAAAATGGAGATTTTGAATCATCCGAAGAAGAAGAAAAAGAGGAAGAAAACGAAGTTGAAATATTAGACATGCTTAAAGGGGTCAGAATCTACTACCAATAATGCACTACTAGCTAATGTACCTAATTTGTTTGTAGATGAATTTCTTATGGGCAATTATCCTGCATATATTATGGACTTGTTGGTTCGACGTTTATATATTTGTTCTGTACAAATAGCGGATTATTCCTATCCATTGAGCAATGTAATAAGTTTAAAAATTATTAGAGTTATATATGCATTTCTGTAATCAGGAATGAATAGAAGGAGAGGTTTCATGAAATACATGGTGAGAGACTGTAATAAAAAGCTTAAATGTTACAAACTAGAAGGCACTGACATTAAATTTTCTTCCCCATTACTGTCCCTATCTAATCTTAGAGAAGTACCATTAACGAGTCCAGGATTAAAAAATAATGTACAAACATGCGTCATTGATTTTTCATTACCATTTGAATTTAAATTCAAGTTATATAGACACAAATATATAAGCAAAGCCCATATTGAATGAAAAATTGACACGTAAATACACGTTTCAAGACCCTCTGATCATGTTTGATTTAAAACAATACTTTGGAAATAAATCGTTTGAATATAGTTTATCGAGTAAGACCTTCGAAATTATTTTCAAACGATTTATTTTCTAATTGTTCTACTATTTCAAATAATAATTTTTTGATCTTATAGCAAAGAACATTTACTTAATATCAATTCAATAAATTCAATTTGTATTTGTATATTTTTCGCCTATACAGGCAAATATACCATGTTCAGTTTTATTACATAAGTTGTTCCAAAACAGAGATGTAAAAAGTCTCCGAGTTGTTAAATAGAAAAGTTGTTCTAAAACAGAGATGTAAAAAGTCTCTGAGTTGTTAAATAGAAAACTTGTTCCAAAACAGAGATGTAAAAAGTCTCCGAGTTGTTAAATATAAAAGTTGTTCAGTTTAGTGGTTCCCACAAATGAGATTTTCTTGGTCTTTAAAAAGACCGGTTTTGTCCTTTGGCCGCTGCTCGTGAACCATCATCTTTGGCCATCTTCGATTTTGATTGAATGGAAATCTTCAATTAAATTCTTCATCTCGATACGGTCCGTCTTGCTTGGTGGTTGGGAGATAACTCGCCGATCAACGCCTCAGGGGGCTCTTATATCCTAGGAGCACGGACCCTGACCAGTGACCGAGCGACATCTGTGCAATTTCGATACACGAATTGTTAACGAATTGTCCCCCAACATAAAATTAAAGAATAATTATTTCGATAATGAAATACTTATAGGTATATATAAAGCATTTCTACATATTCACCGTCGAAACACGCGTTGTTTGCAACTTGAAACATTAAGATCCTTCAATCCGTTCAAAAGTTATAAATGTTTTAAACATACGCATGAAATTTCAAGCGAAAATTCTGCATCTTTAAAATATTATAACTTCTGAACGGATTGAAGGATCTTAATGTTTCAAGTTGCAAACAACGCGTATTTTGATGGAGAATATGTAGAAATTGAATATTGAACAACTCAGAGACTGAACATCTCTGTTATGGAACAACTTTTATATTTAACAATTCACAGACACTTTACATCTCTGATTTGTAACCACTTTTATATTTAACAATTCACAGACACTTTACATCTCTGTTTTGTAACCACTTTTATATTTAACAACTCAGAGACACTTTACATCTCTGTTATGGAACAAGTTATGCAATAAACCTGAACATGGTATATTTGCCTATACGTATAGGAAGGAAATTCGTCGTTAGTATTGTCGCCCGTCAATGCACTTAATTATGCAAGATCAGTATACTATCTAATTTTATTTTTTATTATACCGGTTTGTAATATCGTAAAGATCAATGCAAAAACATTATGCACAGCTCTTGTATTTCTTTGATTTATCCAAGTAGTCAAAGTATAATATTTAACAAACTTTTGATTCAAATAAAATAACGAATAACACAAAATTTGAGTACCTGTTACATGCAACCTATGTATAAATGCATAATAACTAATATTGACATACGCATAACGAACTTAGTTTGTGATATGAAACATTAAGAAAAGTGTAAATTAATAAATAAGTTTCAAAATGGGTATTCCAGGTTTAACAACTTTCATAAACAATCGTTCAGATCGTTATTTGGAATATTTCGAGCTACGTGATACGTATTTAGTTATTTCGCTGTCAAATATATATTTCGTACAAGTGCAATTGTGTTTTTGGCGGTGATTACGATAAATACGCTCAACGAGTATCGGATTTTTTTGACGATTTGATAAAGTGCAATGTAGTACCATTAGTTTTGATTAAATAAAATTAGATAGTATACTGATCTTGCATAATTAAGTGCATTGACGGGCGACAATACTAACGACGAATTTCCTTCCTATACATATAGGCAAATGTGTATACCATGTTCAGTTTTATTGCATAACTTGTGCCATAACAGAGATGTAAAGTGTCTGTGAATTGTTAAATATAAAAGTTGTTACAAAACAGAGATGTAAAGTGTCTCTGAGTTGTTAAATATAAAAGTGGTTACAAAACAGAGATGTAAAGTGTCTGTGAATTGTTAAATATAAAAGTGGTTACAAAACAGAGATGTAAAGTGTCTGTGAATTGTTAAATATAAAAGTTGTTCCATAACAGAGATGTTCAGTCTCTGAGTTGTTCAATATTCAATTTCTACATATTGTCCATCAAAATACGCGTTGTTTGCAACTTGAAACATTAAGATCCTTCAATCCGTTCAAAAGTTATAATGTTTTAAAGATTCAGAAATGTTCGCTCGAAATTTCATGCGTATGGTTAAAACATTATAACTTTTGAACGGATTGAAGGATCTTAATGTTTCAAGTTGCAAACAACGCGTGTTTCGACGGAGAATATGTAGAAATGCTTTATATATACCTATAAGTATTTCATTATCGAAATAATTATTCTTTAATTTTATGTTGGGGGACAATTCGTTAACAATTCGTGTATCGAAAATGCACAGATGTCGCTCGGTCACTGGTCAGGGTCCGTGCTCCTAGGATATAAGAGCCCCCTGAGGCGTTGATCGGCGAGTTATCTCCCAACCACCAAGCAAGACGGACCGTATCGAGATGAAGAATTTAATTGAAGATTTCCATTCAATCAAAATCGAAGATGGCCAAAGATGATGGTTCACGAGCAGCGGCCAAAGGACAAACCGGTCTTTTTAAAGACCAAGAAAATCTCATTTGTGGGAACCACTAAACTGAACAACTTTTATATTTAACAACTCAGAGACTTTTTACATCTCTGTTTTGGAACAACTTTTATATTTAACAACTCAGAGGCTTTTTACATCTCTGTTTTCGAACAACTTGTGTAATAAAACCGAACAAATACAAATTGAATTTATTGAATTGATATTAAGTAAACGTTCTTTGCTATAAGATCAAAAAATTATTATTTGAAATAGTAGAACAATTAGAAAATAAATCGTTTGAAAATAATTTCGAAAGTCTTACTTGATAAACTATATTCAAACGATTTATTTCCAAAGTATTGTTTTATGTCAAACATGATCAGGGGGTCTTGAAACGTGTATTTACGTGTCAATTTTTCATTCAATATGGGCTTTGCTTATATATTTGTGTCTATATAACTTGAATTTAAATTCAAATGGTAATGAAAAATCAATGACGCATGTTTGTACATTATTTTTTAATCCTGGACTCGTTAATGGTACTTCTCTAAGATTAGATAGAGACAGTAATGGGGAAGAAAATTTAGTGTCAGTGCCTTCTAGTTTGTAACATTTAAGCTTTTTATTACAGTCTCTCACCATGTATTTCATGAAACCTCTCCTTCTATTCATTCCTGATTACAGAAATGCATATATAACTCTAATAATTTTTAAACTTATTACATTGCTCAATGGATAGGAATAATCCTCTATTTGTACAGAACAAATATATAAACGTCGAACCAACAAGTCCATAATATATGCAGGATAATTGCCCATAAGAAATTCATCTACAAACAAATTAGGTACATTAGCTAGTAGTGCATTATTGGTAGTAGATTCTGACCCCTTTAAGCATGTCTAATATTTCAACTTCGTTTTCTTCCTCTTTTTCTTCTTCTTCGGATGATTCAAAATCTCCATTTTTATCAGTTTCTTCTATGTACATTAGACTATTAACATCTCCATCAAATTTAAAAATTCTGTTTATGGAATGTGTTGTGGCACGAGCTGCATATTCCTGTAAAAACCCCAATGGAACAAGTATTTCTGCAGATGCATTTGTATAGCCATTTATATTGATTTCTATTATGCTTAATATTTTTTGTCTTACGGTTTTAGGTGATCTACATAGTATTCCAATGACTGCTCTGCCCAAGGTGTAAAATCCGCTCAACCATTGTAAAGTTGCTTCTATACAATACTGTCGATTACTATACCTTTTTCTTGTTATTCGTCGTAACTTTAAATAACGAAAGAAGTTTCTAAATGTACCACGTTTTACATAATCATTGCCTAGTAATATTGCAGCTAATGGCAGTGTAGATTGACTTAGACCTCTATAAGAATTTAATAAGTGTTCAAATTTATAAATTTTACAACGTTTCGAGTAACCATTTTCAATTGAACTTTTCACCGTGTAATTGTCCAATGTATCAAATGGTATGTGCAATGTCCCAAACACATAAAAATCTGAATTATAACTCGATACAGGACAATTCAATATCCTTGCTACAGTAGCTATAGCATTATCAGCTTCGAATAAGCATTGCACATGACGAATATTCTTCTTTCTCCTAACATCTTTGAAAACTTCCTAAACATGTAAAGGAAAAAATTTCATTTTCTGTTGACAGATCGGAGAATAAGATGATGCTGTACGAACCTTTTCTCTAGTTCTAGATATAACTGTTTGCAGTTTCTTATCCTCGCAACCACAATCGATCAAAACAAATGGTACTGCATTGCAGTTTATCAAATCGTCAAAAAAATCCGATACTCGTTGAGCGTATTTATCGTAATCGCCGACAAAAACACAATTGCACTTGTACGAATTATATATTTGACAGCTAAATAACTAAATACGTATCACGTAGCTCGAACTATTCCAAATAACGATCTGAACGATTGTTTATGGAAGTTGTTAAACCCGGAATACCTATTTTGAAACCTATTTATTAATTTACACTTTTCTTAATGTTTCATATCACAAACTAAGTTCGTTATGCGTATATCAATATTAGTTATGCATTTATACATAGGTTACATGTAACAGGTACTCAAATTTTGTGTCATTCGTTATTTTATTTGAATCAAAAGTTTGTAAAATATTATACTTTGACTACTTGGATAAATCAAAGAAATACAAGAGCTGTGCATAATGTTTTTGCATTGATCTTTACGATATTACAAACCGGTATAATAAAAAATAAAATTAGATAGTATACTGATCTTGCATAATTAAGTGCATTGACGGGCGACAATACTAACGACGAATTTCCTTACTAATGTATAGGCAAATATACCATGTTCAGTTTTATTGCATAACTTGTTCCATAACAGAGATGTAAAGTGTCTCTGAGTTGTTAAATATAAAAGTTGTTACAAAACAGAGATGTAAAGTGTCTCTGAATTGTTAAATATAAAAGTTGTTACAAAACAGAGATGTAAAGTGTCTCTGAGTTGTTAAATATAAAAGTTGTTACAAAACAGAGATGTAAAGTGTCTCTGAATTGTTAAATATAAAAGTTGTTACAAAACAGAGATGTAAAGTGTCTCTGAATTGTTAAATATAAAAGTTGTTACAAAACAGAGATGTAAAGTGTCTCTGAGTTGTTAAATATAAAAGTTGTTACAAAACAGAGATGTAAAGTGTCTCTGAGTTGTTAAATATAAAAGTTGTTACAAAACAGTGATGTAAAGTGTCTCTGAATTGTTAAATATAAAAGTTGTTACAAAACAGTGATGTAAAGTGTCTCTGAATTGTTAAATATAAAAGTTGTTACAAAACAGAGATGTAAAGTGTCTCTGAGTTTGTTAAATATAAAAGTTGTTCAGTTCATTGCATAAGTTGTTCCCACAAATGAGATTTTCTTGGTCTTTAAAAAGACCGGTTTTGTCCCTTGGCCGCTGCTCGTGAAACATCTTCTTGGCCGCCATCTTCGATTTTGATCGAATGTAAATCTTCAATTAAATTCTTCATCTTGATACAGTCCGTCTTGTTTGGTGGTTGGGTGATAACTCCCGCGCGTGGGCCACAGTGGGGGGGGTCTCTTATAAACTTAGGTGAAGCAAGTATCGCTCTATCGGAGTGTCGCCCCCAGCGGACTGGCTGCTGATTGGCTCGTTGATTCTTTGGCTTGACTGCATAAAAGTGGACACAACTGGGCAGCTCTTTTCAGTACTCCTGGAACCGCCGGGGGTACTGTTACCCGTTTTTCTTTCTGTTTCAGATCCTCTGATTCTGCGATGCTGACTGGTGTCGCCGATTGGTGTCGCCGATTGGTATATACATACATATATTTATATTCATATAATTAATACCATTATTGTGTTTTCTATTTATATATAGGGATGTAATATTTCGTTGTTGTGTTCCTCTCTCCAATAATTCATTCAATTGTTTTTTCTTTCAGCTTTTATCTACATATATTACATCGTTGGGTAGATATTTTTCCAATTATTCTGTTCTTTATTTTCGACATCGATGGGTTGTTATTTTTCGAATTATTTTGTTCTTCATTCTTTACTTCGTTGGGTTGTGATTTTTCAAATTATTTTGTTCCTCATTGTCTTTCATCGTGGGGTTGTTATTTTTTTAATTATCCTGTTCTTGGTTGTATATTTGTATTTGCCCCTATATTTATATTTGTCCCTATATTTGTTCACATAATTAATTCTAATTTGTGTCTATAACTACTAATTTTTATTTTAGTTTTTATTCAGATCAATTTTTAGATAGAGGACGACGGATGCAAATTCATGCGTATTACCGTTAAATTTAAGGCGCGGCGCGGCGCGGCGCGAATGGTAAAATTAACGTCGAATATTTCTATTTTTCCTTTCCTATGTTTCTCAATTCCCATTTTAATCTCATTAATTCCACCTACGACGTTAATTTTCTGTTTATATTGTATATTAGTTTATTTAATGCGTAGATTGCCAAGTAATTAATTAATTAACAGCTTCTTTTCCAGTCTCGTTCCCCCGTTTCCAGCTCCGGTCACCGCTGCTTTAATGTAGAAAGCAAGTGATCGGCCGTTTAGATGGTTCGAAGGGTCGGTTGCCGTCCTCTGGTGAGACAATTCTAGGGAAAGAGTCATCGGCCGTAGAGGGGACCTGTTCCTGTCTGCGGTAGCCCCGACTCAGGATCTCTCTCCTGTGTCAGACGTCCCGGGTTGGGTCCTACGGGCTCCCAGCAGGACGCGTTGGAGAAATGGGGAACCCGTGTCTGGTGCGTCGATTCTCCTCCCCTTCAATTGGACTTGCTGAGAGGTAACGAGCTGCCCCTTTTGACCCGCTATTCGGTACGTGTCGCACCTCATGTTCCTACTGCACTGTGCAGTATTGTGTCGCGTTTCGTCGTGTCGCGTCTACCACAATTTAGCTTCCTCCTTTGTTTTAGAAAAGTAATTACTTGGCATCTTTTTTTTTGCGTCATGCGTTAGTTCTAAGTCTGTAAAAAGGAAGATTGATCGAACTTTGTTCCATCGGTCTCACTTTGGGTCTCCACTCGCAGCAACCTCCTCGTGGTGAGACCTGGTAATCGGTGTTACCTTTGAAGAAAAACTTCTTCATTATGGGTAACACCGAGCTAATGGCTGCGAATTTAAAACAATATAAATTTGATTTTTAATCTAAATCAAAATCAAATGTTGTCTAATACTTTTTTCTAGGTACTAATTCTAGAAAAAATTTCAATGAGATAACTTTTACTTTATTTATTTTCAAGAATCGTATTAATAATATACATATGTGTGCTCATACATGGGAATAAAAAAAAATTTCTTTTTTTTCAATAATTAAAATATAATCAGAAGGTCTTAAAACGTGTATTTCCGTAAAATAAATTTTACAAAATTTTTTTTTCATTATGGGTACTTTGCTTATGTGCGCCTACATAGGTCGTAAAGTAAAAATGCCTGGGCAGTCGAGAATCCAAATCGTATGCCGTTGACGGGAGGTCGGATTTCAGTTGTTAAGAGCGAGAAGGCAAATGTGAGCCTTTCTCTCTCGACTCCCACGAAGCGGTCCGAAATTACGTCGGGCAGCTTCGGAGAATCGAGAAAGGGGGCATGCGTCAGGTTGCCTTTGTCGTCTTTCCTGAACTCCACGAGCTCACGTACGCGTATCTGGCATGCGAGAGTGTGCACCGGACGGTGCTTTTCTGGCATCACTGCATACATGTTAAAATATGTATGTACAGTATCAATCGTTTTAACATCAAAAATCATGTGATCAGAGGGAATAACAATTGTCGTTATATTAATTCGTTACGAAATCAATTATAATTAACAGAAATAGTTTCTGATTATGAATAACCATTATCGACGACCAGAATTTTATATTAGTTATAAATAACAATCAGAAGTAAGCAAACAAACTGTTAATCGTCAGTATCAAATATTTGTAATAATTTACATACTCTTCTCTGGCCTAATTTTATGCAACTATATCATGTTTCAATTTTATCGAAATCCCTGACACTAAGCGAAAAAAAACAATTGATTTTATTAGAAATGATTCTTACTATATTTATAGTATGTGTACACAGCGTGTATACTTAACAATTACATTTGCCATAAAAACATGAGTGTCCATATATTTACAGGAGCAGTGATGTAGTTATGTATATACTAAAAGACACTATATTGTATAATATATATATATTTGTTTGGAAAATATTGTGAATATATATATTAATGTATGTATACATTGACAAAGTGTAACAAAATTTGCTAGATCGGTTGAAATTTGCTAGACAGTGAGAGTGTTTCTTTATGTATGAATACCAGAGAAAGTAGACTGGCAGTGTAATTTTAATGTGTGTATAAAATGACCTTGGAAGAAGCACAAAATGCTGCCCAAAAAGCTGTGCAATTTGACAGTAAATGTCAATATAAACAAGCTTTGTATTATTATAACGTAGCCATTAATTGTCTCACCAAATTACAACATCCTATGTATGATCAGAAACTTGCAGAGTACGAGGACAGAAGATCAACGATACAGTGTCTTAGTAAGTTAATTATTTAAATTTAAACTATACTATGATAGAATATAAAATAACAAGTTGATAAAAAGAATTGGTGAAATATAAATGATTGATAACATATAGTTAACGACGAAGAACAGAAACATTATATAGCACAAAATACACATCAGTCTGAGTTACAGAGATGTAAATTTCTTATAAATCAAGCTCAAGATGCGGACGAAGCTGGCTTGAAAGATATAGCTGTGAAATTATACACAGATGCTGCTGAACTTGGACTTAATATTGTATGTAAAATCACTTCTTAGTTTCAAGCATTTCAAAGTTTAATATTTAGGAAAAAACATTAAAAATAGTCTTTAATATTATAATTACAGAAAACTACTGATTCGGAAACAAAAACAAAAGTAACGACTCTTGTTCGACTTGCCCTTGACAGAGCAGAATCTCTGAAAGGTCTGAAAAAGGAAGAGATTAACAATATTATCGAAACACTTTCCCAACTGCCTCCTGTACCGGAAACAGACTTGGATTTGGGTGTAGATAATGTATCATCCATAGCAACAACTGCCGCAAGTTCTAGTAACATAGGTAATAAAGAATCCAATCTTAACAGTTGTTATAGTTTCTTTTTGATTAATTTATATTGTTAATAGGGAAACAAACTCGACCATCTCTTCATCGTGGGAGTAGCGTACACTTGAAAGTAACTGGTAGCAATATTAATTATACAGACGAGGAGAAAAGGGTTTTACTTCATAGTTCCCATATTAACGAACATGAATTTGTACCTTTTATGAGTATCGATCTCACAGAAAAATTTCAATATGCTATTCCATTTACCGATAAAGACGGTTTATTAGAGTTAGCACCAAAACAGAAGCCCTACTTCGCAAGATGGTGTCGACCGGAAGAATTATTCTCTGAACCAAAACTGCTTATGGACCACCATGTTGATTACTATAGCATAAAGCAGACTGTTAGTTAAACAATAGTGATAATTTTCATGTTAATAGCTTTTGATACTCCTATATTTAATTTTGCATTTAATTTCAGGTTGTTTCTGATTGTTCCTTTGTTGCTTCGCTTGCTGTCAGTGCTCAGTATGAAAAACGATTTGGACGTAGACTAATAACATCTATTATTTATCCTAAAAATAGAAATAAGGAACCAATTTATAATCCGTTCGGTAAAAGTTTTTTTTTATTATTCTATAAATTATTTAAATTACGTTCAATTATTAAAATCTCTAATTGTTTGTAATTTCTTTACAATTCTGATAGAAATTAAATTATGAGTATTTTATGTTAGGAAAGTACATGGTGAAATTACACATTAATGGTGTTCCACGCAAAGTTATAATAGATGATTTATTGCCTGTAAGTCGTTACAACCAATTACTTTGTTCCTACTCTAGCAATCATGGAGAGCTGTGGATCTCGTTACTTGAGAAAGCATACATGAAAGTAATGGGTGGCTACGATTTTCCTGGCTCAAATAGCGTAAGCTCGTTATTATACAATATTATTAACCCTTGTAGATAGCGAATTTTCAAAGTCGATTTTCTCGGGAATCAACTTCAGGACGAAACAAAGTTATTCTATATTGTTTTTATATGTTTTAATAAGGAATCATCTAATGTCCACTTATCAGATCAGATATTCTTTTTCAGAATATAGATTTGCATGCTCTGACTGGATGGATACCAGAAAGATGGGTTAATGGCGATCTAGATTTTAATAAAGACAATTTATTTAACATTTTGCTATCACGATTGCACAAAGGAGATGTGCTGGTGACAGTAGCTACTGCGGAATTATCTGATTCAGATGCTGATAGAACAGGTCTAGTGCCGACACACGCATATGCTGTTCTTGATGTTAGAAAAATAAATGCAAGTACTAACTCCTTAAATACGAATTTATGAATATGCAAGGTATCCCATGCAACTGGAAAATTATTCGATGTAGTGTTTTACTCTACACAAAAAAATATTAAAGTATCTATGCCTCAAATCTAATAAGTCAAGCAAAAGTCATATCACAAGAGTTTCTTGTTGATAACTCTGTTGTTACGACTTTCTCCAATTGCATAGGATATACTGTATAAAATGTACAAATTATATTTGTATAGGGAGTAAGATTATTGCAACTGAAAAATCCATGGTCGCATGTGCGATGGAAAGGAAATTATTCCGAACTTGATACAGTACATTGGACAAACGAATTAAAAGAAATATTAAATTACGATCCAGATTCTGCATCACAATTCGATAATGGTATATTTTGGATCGACTACGAAAGCATGTGTACCTTTTTTGATATGTTTTATTTGAACTGGAATCCAGGTCTATTTAATTATACCTATTGCATTCATCGGTAAGTTACAAATTTCTCTGGAAATTCTTTATTCTTACAAACGTAACATTATATGGGAATACTTTTGTTGCAGAATGTGGAATGCAGGAGTAGGTCCAGTAAAAGATGCGTACAATATCGGCGATAATCCTCAATTTTTACTAGAAGTGCAAAACAATAACGCATCAGTCATATGGATACTTCTCACAAGGCATATCACAGACATTGCAGATTTTCGTCAAAATCAAGAATATATAACAGTATTAGTTTACAAGAATAATGGAAAAAGAGTATACTATCCTCGTGAGTAAACTAATTTGATTGCTATAAGATCCTGTTTGTTTCGAATTTTAATTGTAAGCATCCGATCACACAGACGATCCACCGCCGTACATTGATGGTGTAGCAGTAAATAGCCCGCACTATCTTTGCAAAATAAAGCTAGATAGTGAAAGCGATACTCGATACACTCTAGTCATATCACAGTACGAAAAAACAAATACAATATATTATACTTTACGCGCATATGGTACGTGCCCGTTTACATTACGCAAAATACCAAATTTTTATAAATACGAAAAAGAGGTATGCCATTTTTACATTCTATGTAAATCTATTTACAGTTTAACACCTTTTTCTCTATTTTTATAACACTAGTCAACGAATTGTAAACAATAGTTTGTATTCTTTACGATTAAACTATCTATCTTTATATTTATTTCTGTAGAACTTTTCGAGGTGTCACAAAATTTCCACTTTTAGTTTGTATTTTAGAGAAACTAGAGCCAATATTTTAATTTAACATTCATTTTTGTAATTAGAGTCGTAACGGGGATTAGAATTGATTGCTTAGATGAACAATATGTATATGTATATTTTCCCGTTAACCAGTGTAATTTTTCAGATCACAGATGGCCAGTGGAAAGGTATTACAGCTGGTGGGTGTAGCAATCATCCAACGTATCAAAATAATCCACGATACCAATTGTTGTTAGAAAGTTCAAATAATAATAACTATTTATTGATTATATTGAAGGGTCCAAAACAATATCAAATTGGTTTTAACGTCATGTCGGTTGTATTGAATGATCCCGATGCACCTAGTGCATTCAAAATGAAAACCTCTGGCCTGTACAGGTATTATATAGTGTCCATTATATGCAGTAATAATACATATAGGACACCGTCTATATGTATAAAGAAAGTATTATGTAATTAATTAATTTAACGTAGGTCGGGATTTGTTTATCTCGAACTGGAGGACGTGCCAGCCGGATCGTACGATATTATTCCGTCAACATACATCCCTGAACAAGAAGGGCCTTTCTTTTTAATTTGCAAATCGTCGTGTAAACTGCAACTTGAACGGCTTCAATAACAAAACGCGTTTTAATACAAATTACTATTTTGTACAAAGAAAAAAATTTATCAGTATGTTGTACCAATTATGAAAAATTTATATTTGCTGTTATTGAATTGTTAATGTTGTTAACAATATTGTATATGTAGCTATTTAAAAAATTATAATTTATTTGTAATCGAAGAGCCATTAATGCACTGCAGGTTCACAATAATGTTAGCAACGAAATGGTATAGGAGAATGATTGAATAAACTATTACAAAATGCTTTTATTTCATATTGTAGAAGTACAAATTAGTAACGAGACTAGATAACTACTGACTGTATTCTGAAAATCGGTGGCACTTTTATTTATAATTAGCGTTTGCTTCGTGTGTTATCGTTTGGCACGTACACAACTGAATATTGACGAATATAGCTTCTCAATATCTCAATCAACTATTTAATATTCTTTGTACTGTTTTTATGTACATATACGTAGTGGAGAAAAAATTTTTTTACGTTAATTATGTCAAACAAATACTATATGGCATACGATGTCCTTTTAAAATATAGCGTAAATACAGTAACTATTTTTGTAAAAATATTATTATTGTTTTGCGTAAGAATTACAAAAAAAAAAAAAAGGACCTACAGAAATACGTTACATCTCTATTGCATTTCATACACATACATACATACATACATTACTGCATTTTGCGACCATCGTATAGAAACTATATTCTAAAATATTACATTTTGAATTTTACAGAATCTTTCTATTTCTTTTGATTACATCTTTTATTTCATACCTCTCCGTATTTTTTCAAATTAGGTGCAGCTTTTTTATATTGCACGTAAACTGTAATATAATAAAAAAAATACTACTCGACGAATTTAATATTTATACTTCTACGTCCAAACAATACATTTCGCATCGTTCTATCCGTTCGTTCCAATGAAAATTATGGTGTAACTGACATTTGCCAAGAACAATTTGAATTTACAAACTAATATGTAATTACGCTTATAATTACTATTAATTGCAATGTTAATTTTCCTATTATATGATAATAATTGTTAATAAATAATTACGCAATTTATATGAAATCATGGTTGTATGAAGTGGGAATTAAATGAAACGTAAATATATTTACATAATTCATGACAAGATAAATTATAAAATTATGAACAATTATACAAAAAATATACAGAAATTTAATATTAATCTAGTATGAGACTATAGAGAAAACTGCATCGAGTGAAACTGTTAAATTATAACAGTTATGAAGACTACATTTTCGCTTTGTAACTATGATTTGGATGCATGTATAGAAGGCACTATTGTCAATAATTTAGATAAACGTTATTATAAATAACATGGAGAGTATCAAAATGTCTGTGTGCTTTACAGTCCTGCTTACTGTTATGATATGCCTAACAGATTCACCCAAATCTATAATTATTTATCATTGAAAAATATTTAACAACAAACTGGTGACCCTTTGCAGTCCAGTTTTGTATATTAAAGAGTGGTGTTCCAAATTAATTATGCCTATATTTTTAGCCTCGTTGAATTAGGCTATATGTATATAAAGATTAAAACGATAAAAAAGTAAAAGTTCACGAGAAAAGTGCACTTTGTAATTGTGATTACAAACCAATTTTAATCGCTGATAATTTATCAACGTTTTGATATTTAAACTTGTATAAACAAAAATAGTAATTTATCCATAATTAATACTTTAAAGAACCGCAAAGGATTACAATATATATATACATAATATATGTATTTACTTTCTTTATAATACGTTAGACGCAATCTACGCGTAAATAATTTTTGTTGCATCACTGTCAAAGCAAATCTCAATTTCATATCTGTACAAATGTTTTATACCAAATATAATGAAAGAAGCGACAATCTTTCATTTAATTTTTGTCATTCCGTTTCCTTTGTGAATATACAAATTTGTGATTATGAACACAATTGTGCTATATTGTGCAATAGAAGTCTTTATAAATTATTTACCGGTGAATCGTCGTACGGATTTGTTGGATCATTGATAGATTACACTTTTGTACGTGGAAATATAATTTTATAGTAAATGTTAAACGTTAGAAAATAAATTATATAACTGCTTAATTTTTTTGTAAATGTTGCGTATGCAAGACATAAATATTTTGACGTTACGAAAATGGGCGGAAAGTGGAACACATGGTACAGGTATAAGAAAATAGTGCGCTTTGTTAATATTATTAGAAGATTTAAAGGACGTCATTGATTCTGAAAGAAGCATATTTCCGCGATAGAATATTACACAGTACATTCTTCGTCGCTTTAAATCGTGTCAAACAGTTACGAAAACGAGAACATTCAAATTCTTTATCGTTTTTTTAATTAATATTGATCTTATTTTAAAATAATTTGAACTTTGTTTAATATTAGAACACCGTAGTATTTTCTCCTTAAATAGTTTTCTTTACTATGTACGTCAAACTTGCGTTTTTTTTTTTTACGCGTAACGAGCGTAGATTTTTATACGCATTATTTTTTTTCTCTTTTAATAAAAACTAATCTGTACACTGTATATACGATATCAGAAATTGTCACCGTTGCTATAAGTAGAATATCGTGTTTAATTAAATGTTAAAAATAGGGACGAATCGTTGGAAGTTAAAATTTTCTTTTACATATTATGCGAGTACATGTTACCTTCGATTGCATGAAATAATTAATTATATTCGCGCTTGATTGAAAATATCTTACACGATTGTTTGATGGCCAAGCAAGGTTCAAGATCGATTTGGTTATTTCGACATTTTTGAATAACATTTAAGCATTAAAAAATTGCATCTTCCAGTTTATTGAATTAATAGTAAACTATAGATTTTCCTATTTTTAAATATTTCTACATTTTTGTCGAACATTCAAATGACCATTTATAGATTTTAAAACGCTGCGTTGACTTTATACATATAAGAAAAATCTTATGTGCGTTGTTACTAGAGTTGAGCAAATTTTATTTGCGAATAACGAACATTAATTTTCGATTGATTCGTAAAGTGACTTCTATGTAGGTACTTACGTATGTTTCATTCATAAAAATTCATTTATAAATTAGAATCTACATATTTACGTATTTATTAAACCAATTCGGACGAGCAAAGCCGTAGACAAAGGTCAGTTTACGAGCAAATCCCAACATTTATATTTGTTATTCGAGAATAAAATTGATCGAACTGTAGCCGTTACTATTCCGCAATGAGCAACGATTTAAAAATAACATCCTATAAGAGCGAACAGAATTGTAGTCATTTCCAATGGAAGGAATTAATTTTCACAATTCGAACAGTATCGACAATGTCTGGAATTTAACTTTTCGTAGCTCTGGCAGGCACCCTTACTTCATGCATAGAAATTAAAATCAGTAATAATAATAGTTAAACTATATAAAAAAAATTGTTTTAAATAATACTTTGAGATTTAATATTTTTAGTTAGCTTAAATATAAATTAGTAAACGTAAGTTCGTCGAAATTTTGTTATTTACACTGATATAAATTAAAAGAGTAATCTCGATAAACTCTTTGTTAAATCGAATGCGCGAAAAATTATTTTTTTTTCTTCCGATAATTAAATTCCCGATGAAAAATAGATTTGCAAAAGGATAAAATATATATCTTTGCTGCTAATCGATAATATATGTGTATATTACTGTCCGAGTACAAAATTATCCTCTAATGATGTGATGTTTTTTAGTAAAATGTAAGAAAAATGGTAATTACAATGCGGTTTCGGTTTGTGTTCTTTTCACCTACTGAATTCCGGAAGCGGTTTAGCTATTTCTTCGCTGTAAGCTTTGTGGACTGCTTCGCACACGAATCTATACTGACTCTAAAAACAAATGTACGTTTCGTAAAACATCAAATGGATTCGTTATTAATTTTAATTTGGAGGTTTATGGACGAGGAGATGTGCAAGTAGAAGGAAGATGGCAAGATAGACTCTAGGAGAAAGCTGGTATTAGAGCAAAGAAGATGAAAGAGCAGGTTTAAAGGAACCAAAAGAAATTTAAGGTTAACGCGAGTAAAATACGTTAATTAAAATTTCAACTTACAGCATTTTGTATCATCATCGCTCTTTGATCTCGCATAGATCGTACAATGTCTAATGGATACACTGGTTGATTTGCTTCAATAAGACACAGTGCTGTTTCCATTAATACCAGAACACCCGTTCTACCTATTCCAGCAGAACAGTGAACAACAGCAGGTTCTACTATTCCTGTTCGAGCTGCCCGTACTCTTTCAGTGAAAGTTGTGAATTGTCGCCAATCGCTGGGAACCCCGTGATCTGGCCAACTGCAGTATTGCATATGCGTTATGTCTCTTTCTTCGCCAGTCTGAAAATGGTAGAAACGAGTAGTAGATGGAACTTTGTGTATAGGAGATTAATCGGGTAAAATGTTTGCTTACGTTAATATCACGTAGTATAAATTCTCGAAATATAAAGGTGTCCTCGACATTTTCAACCGTAGACGTGAGCGTAAGGTTCCGTAACGTAAGGGTTTCGTTGAGCGCAGGCCAATATTGATGGCATTTTGCTCGGCCACGTTCGACCAAAGTTGTAAGCATTACAACGAGGGTGCTGCCTGCTTCTAAAACCATCTGCCAAAAATCAGCGACGGTGGAAGACAAAGGTCCTTGAGTAGCAATGTATCTGTTGATAATACCCGACCCTGGTATCTCCATGTTCACATAATTGGCATTTATGTAATCTCCGTTTGCACAGCCCATCAGTATTACTCGAGTAACATCGTCTGAAAATTGTGCAACACTTGAATTTTTAAAGTTCATTTTTTCAATTATTCTCAACCCCTCGCCAGTCCCGTAATTTTAACAATTTCTATGATTTTTATCATTACTCGTCTCCTTTTCTCAACAGAGTTATTATTTCATTTATCGTCTCTTTTTCTTCTTACACTTACAGGGTGAGATATCTCGATAACGATTTTTGTTTTGATTTTCCGGTTTCTTAGATTCGAGGGAAGTGAGCTCAGGATTTTTCCTATACAACTGTTCATATTGAGCAATTAAAGCGCCGCTTGCGAGACCATCGGCAAGAAGTAACATTGATTGCCCTAATGCATCCGATCCAATAGCGGCATGAGGCGCATCCGGTACATATCTCGTAATTTGATGAAAGCAAACATTAATATGGTTTGTCATGTACTTATTCAAATTATTTTTAAAATTAAATGTCATACCTATATGGCGGTTCTTCTTCGGACGTTTCATCAGTACCAGCTAGTGCATTGTATAAAGCATTTGGTCTGACGGTTAATGTCAGCTCGCCAGAACCCGAATCGCGTGATTGACGAATCAGATTTACTACATGTTCGTGTAGTAAACCACTTACATCGATACCATTTATGTATACTACCTATTTGTCAAACGTAACAATAATAAATATTTCTTTCTTTTAGGGCGATGCAACGGTAAATTTGTACCTGATCTCCTTCGTTTAATTTTGGATAACAACGATCAGCGGGTGTATTCGGAGCCACCCTTGAGACCAAAATAGGCATATCGAGATCTAAACCACCCTTTACGTTAAATCCAAATCGGCCTTGTTCGTCCGGCGTTAAAGTTATCGTTACCAGTCCATCTTCCACTATCTATAAATTCCCACATTTCGTATTATACATTTTGAATATAAAAACAAGTTAAACGGAAAGAAAAACACGAAACGTGAAGAAATACCTGAGGGGCGGGCGAACTTGTAGGTTCACTATAATCAGGGAGATCATAAATATTTCTTTCAGCGGTTGTATCGTCATCCGCGTAACTTAAAACTCTAGAACCTAATACAGGAGAAAATGCATTGCCTTGTGTATGTGAACCTGTTATTTCTTCTCGAAGAGACAGAAAACCACCTTCGCTGTGGGGCAGAAGAAATAATTTAAAAAAAGTAAGTATTTTAAAAGAACCGTAGATTGAACGTTATAAAATTATTTCCTACTAACTCGTCACTGGGATTGCCTTCGCCCCAAGCTTGACGTGGTTCACGAGCTCCAAGAGACTGAACTTTATTGTCATATGGCCTAGGAGGTCTTCCAGGAGGTATACCTAACTTTCCTTTCTCTTCTATAATTGGAGCCGATGTAACTCCATGCACCAGTCTTTTACTGGGAGACCTAAATAGTTTAATTAGTTTATTAAAATTATCTAAAAGCGAAGCTGCCCCCTTATCCCAGTAAACCTTTAAATTGTTTAAACAGACTACCGGAAGAAATTAAACAAGCTATCGTTCGTTACCGTATGAATGTTCTCTCTACTCTTGCTCTATGTTTTCCATCCTCGACTGTTTGAAATTCGGTACGCCCTGAATACGTAAATCTGCTACTCAGGGTAAGTGGAAAACGTCTCGGCCTCATTTTAGGACTGTGAAGTCTGAAGAATGTGTGATGTTCCACGCACGCCTTCCATAAGTTTTTAGAACTACGATATGTTTGCATGTTGAAACCTAGTAATGTATCGTAGTTTTCGGACTGCGATACAATTTTTTCTACATTATTAATCGAATTTTATACACATTTTTTAAATTCCGAACAATGGATAATTTATACATATACCTGTTCTCTTCTGAGTTGAATAAAAAACTGTTTTCGTTTAAACGATATTTTAACTATTTTCGACCACGAGAACACATTGATTTTGATTCCATTTTGAAATACTACTAAACCTATAGACGTTACACCTAATTGTATTTCTTTGTTCATTGAGTCCTGAAAAGAAAAGAAATAAGGAAAATTTAGATAAAAGAGGAACATTCGATACTTGGAACAACTATTCTAATACACGGATATATGTACCCTAGCTTTGTGTAATTCTACTCCATACATATCTAATCTCTTTGCATGATCTAAAAAATTGAATTCTGCATCGGCTGGCAGCTGGCCCCTATAAAATTACAAATACCTTACAATTATTCTGATAAACCAAATTATTAATACTTAAATGTGCTATTTCAACCTACTTATGCAGTTTATGCAGTTCTGCTATTTTTTTTTCCATTTCCTCTGTCTGACCTGGTATTAACTGCAACCTGGAAAGATATCCCGGGCCATGTTCCTCGGGGTGATAATCACCTAACTCGGCTATAATTGTATCAAAATATGGTATACATATAATACTCTATGACTATGTTATTAATATTAATACATTGAAATCCTTACATTGAACTGTATAACTGGCAATAAGACACGCTGTACTTGGTGGTAATTGAAGTTTTCCTTGAAGAATATCTCTTCGTATTTGTAAGTAAAATTGATATCTAGTATATTCTTCTTGCAATTTACTAGGATCGGATACATAAAATTTCACTCTAAAGTAGAATTGTCCACCTAAAACAACAAATTTTGTTCGACCTTCTAATAAATTTATTTGCTTCCATTACCATAAATGGGTTAATTAAATATGATCTTTACCCTTACTTCTTATCTGCTTCTTCACTGGTTTAGTAGGATCTAACCACCTCTAAAACATGGATACAATTATATTGTTACTTAATCGACCGATAAATAAGATAATAAGAGATTTTACCATTATGTCTGGCGAATATGTGCACGCTGCAGCTCCGTTTTCAGTATATTGTAGACCAAAATAATCTTTTTCGACAAGTTCTAAATGTTGGAACACCAAATCCAATAATGCTTGACCTTTTGCTCTTTTCTAAAATATTAATAAAAGTACTTTTTCTTGTTTCGAACATCTATCCTAGAAACTTACATCTAGCTGAAACGTGTGTTGCGTGTCATCGAGGAAAATAACAGTGGCGGACAAAGATTTCAATCTACGATTCCTTGCTAATTCTGCACCACGAACGTGGTAGCTCCCGCTGGAGCCACTCAACGCTCTGCGCGATACACTTTCGATCATCTCAAAGATTTGAAGGCGTGTCAACCACCTTCCCGACACCACCTCTCTGCTACGCTGACCACCTAAAATAATCAGATACGATAACCAGAGCATATTTAAAAGTAAATATAAAGACTGTTTCTTACAAGTAAAACAGGCTTATCAAAATTCTAAATGGACAAAATCTAATTGTTTCGTGATTAAATATATTCTATGCCTTTCATTCAAAGAGCAACAATGTGTTCTTTGTTTGTAAGAACATTTCATAATAAGGAAATTTTTCAAGACACTAATTTCCTTGTTACGGTCACAAGGTTATGTCAAGATTTGTGTTGTCAATTTTGAAAAACGATCGAAACTGATAAATCTGTATCGTACAACTTCACAAGCTGATGAATCAAACATCACTATTTAAAGTGTAATTACATTCGGTCGGTGTCATTGAAAATAAATTCATCAGGTCGGTAATCTAACGTCAGTTACATAAGCAAGTTCATGTCTACTGTGTGCCAGAATAATGTAGAACGGGGCATTCTGAAAATAGTTTACATAAAAGAAGCAAAAGGAACACATTAAATGCCAATACATTAAAATACCTTACAACAGACCCATTGAATACAATTTCAAACAACGTTTTGTTTTTTTATTTACAAAATTTATGTAATTCACTGTTAGTCCATGTATTGCGAATGCGTTAAAATATTCATAAACAGAGGTATAACCGCAAAAATTAAACACGATGTTATTAATTTGAAAAATCGAAAAAAAAAAAAAGAAACAATTTTATTAAATGTCTCGAAAGAAATCGAAACGATTTAATATACGAAATACCAGAAGAAAAATAAATAAAAACATTTTATAGAAGAATATCGTTGTTTCGAACGCGAGTATCTTTAGTATCGAATCAGAACATAGATGCAATTGCCGAGTATGTTTCGTTAAATAGTTATTCGTATGGGAAACCGATTGCCCCGAAATTTCATCGAATGTGTACTGTAAAATCTACACTTACATTCATGATCCGTTGCAGTACTTCTAAATACCGCTTTCACAGGTGTTCTTGCACAGTTGACAGAAGAACAACCGGTTATGTTTGTTAGCACTCACGGGAATCGAATTTATCAAACCATCGAGCAAAGTAATTCTCCTCGATCGTATTGAAAGTTTCTAGAGAATTTTTTCCTCTTCAAAGCCTTTTTCATTATTTCTTATATCGGCATATTAGCACTTTAACGGTCGAAAACATCATCCCGATTAAAGCGGGATGCATTTAAGTTGTTTGGTAATTAATCTCCTCTAGTACTTACGTGGTACGAAACACGTGTAACAACATAAAACTGCACTTTTTTCACTTGTTCAGCAACATATAAGGTAACATTCTAATAAATCGGCACGAACATGCTAACGATGTCGATAATTTACAACCGATGTCCCTTCGCAATTTTCCGATAACCATTATAAAAATGCGTACACGTGGACCACTGAACGTATCATTGTACCGAAACAATCGTTTTCTACGATTGTAATGATAAAGAGACTACTTATTTGCAATAAAATTGTTTGACGCCCTGCTAGAAAATACACGTATGTATCGGATTACACGTAAGTATGTGTGTACGATTAATATTAGTCATAGAGTAAGTAAAATTTAGTTACCGCGATCGATGTACTTTTTCACCAACATAGTCACCATATTTATTATTTATGGTTCCTATCGGTTCGTATTTTTTGTGCGAGGCTCGCCATGTGAAAATTAGATATTAACATGGCACGTAATCTAAATATTTTTACAGTTACATCGTTGGAATAATTAATTGGTTCTTTTTTCATTTTTAAGGTACAATTTCAATTTTTATTTAAATAATTTAAATAAATGTTTTAAATGAAGCTATTAATTCTTGGTTTTTAAACAAAATACTAGAGTAGAGCCAAGTATATACATATACATACATATAATAGAGCAGGGATAATAATTTCGTACCCTTAAACGGCCTATTGTATACATTGTACAATACTACTTTTAGAAAGTTTAAGGATCACACGTTTACGTGACAAAATTACCATTTTCGTTGGACATTTTCAATATTATGCTCAGAATTATGTCTATAATATGACTTGAAATTCTAACAAAGTTAATTTTCGTTTACATATTGCAGGAGAAATATGTGATTTTACTAACAAGGTTAAAATCACGTTGAAATCATTGTATTCTGCGAAATAAGTACATTATCAACAATTCATTATCCACATTCCGTCTGGCCTTATTAGCAGTTATAATCTCTGATTAATAGTAGTCGTGGTACGTATTTAAAAGTTTGTACTATACGCGTGTGTCGTAAAGCTTATTTTAACATGAAATTTCGTAATTAAGGAAGTTTATGGACTTTTCCAGCGAACACAGGCATTCATTACTATGTATATGTATATGTATTTATACACTGAAAGTGCACAAATATGGTCCATTTAATTGTACGATGGATTGGGTATATTTATTTATACGAACTTTATTTGCTAAATATTAATTTGTCACATAAATGAAAGGAAAATGTATTATTTGAATACAAATTGTCTTTTAAATATATCGATTAAGCTTGGCATTAAATCCAAATTATTCTTACGGCAAAATCGTCGCCATAAAAATTCACACAAGTACGTAGTACTATGGGTTAGGTTTTCAGGTCTGGATTAATGGCATGTTTCCAAAAACCGAGAGTCGATTTCTATGTATCAAAATGTATCCATACAATGGTGAAAAAATAGGTTTAAAATTTTATTTTTATACACTTGTACGTTAATGTTTATTAACATTCGGTGTATTATACATTTTCCTCGTCTATTGGAGCGGAATGGATGCCAAAAAATAGTATGCACTTTATGCATTGCGCAGCCTGTTTAGAATAGTGTAAACGTGCCCTGACGTTCAAGATAGTTGAATATTCGATCACTGGGGGCGCTGCCAGTTTTCTTTGATCGGCGAGTAATTACGTTGTACGAAAACGTTCCCGCCGCGTGGTCCATAGCCAGTGGAGTTCATTTGCAGTTTGGTTATAGATCCCGCCATTTCAGTGTTGTGTTACATCTGCCGTTTTCTCTGCGCATGCGTGGACGAAAACAGTAACGTACGAACCAATATCGTGGGGACTAATTTTGGCGGGCCTCCACATGTAGTAGCAACAGGTGAAGTAGATCATAATTAAAAGTAGTCCCATTAAGAAACAAAGAAATCCCATAAAGAAAATTGCTCGACTTGTTATTCCGTGGAAAAGAAAGTTATTCGTCCTATACGTAATACGATCATCAGATCTTGGAAAACAGATTTATCGAGGCATCCAACATAATTTAAGCAGCACACTGTCACGTACATATTTAAGATAAAGATTTGCCTTATACCACTACAGCAGTATTATTGTACTTCAGTCAAATTTCCAAGCCAAGAATATTTGTAAGCGAAGTACCGAACAAAGTCATTTTGTAAATAAATTGTAAATAAATAAAAAAAAAGAAAAAAAAATATATATATATATATATATATATATATATGTGTATATGTATATATGTATGTATATATGGGACGTCACACCTTTCCTTATTTGTATTTATTTTCCAAAAACTTTTATACAATTTTGAAAAATAACAAAATATGGGTTCGTGGGACATCGTTTTTCGTTCGTTTGATGTACGTTACTAATGGCGATTTGAACGCGCATGCGCGAAAAAGGCGGCAGATCTAACAACACTGCACGTGAGATTGAGCCTCTGATTTCACTGCAGCGTGTTGAAAACAAGAAGCCATGGCAAACGTATCCGTTGACAAAGACACATTCTTTCGGCGTATGAAGCGTCTTTATGTCGCTTGGAAGGTAAGCAATTAATTGACGATTTATTTCGTCGTTAATGGTATATGCAATCATTAAACGGTCGTAGTAACTCCCTTTTTTTGTCGGATAGGATGGAGAAGTTGGTACAGATGACAGTTTTAGTAAAATGGATTGTCTCGTCTCGGCCGTTGGCACGGACGAAGATATTGTTTACAGCAAATCGACAGCGTTGCAAGTAAGCGGTAATTTTTGTCTCGCCGCGTACGATGTTACTTCAGTTTCCTGTTTTATTCTGCATTCTATATCTAAAAACAATTACTTAACCTAATTGTTACAATATCAAGAAAATCGAAATTCGTAAAGTTTTGCGCGTTTCACCGGTTTATATATTTTCTCCTCGATGCCCAAAACGGTTCTGCAAATTATAAATTTTAAATTAGTTTTTAATTATGTAACTAACAAAATGCTATCAAGTATTAAATATGAAACTTTTTGTTTTGTTGGTCAAGTATTTTATACCAAGCGTAAAACTTGGTCCTTAACGCATTGACTGTTGGAACATTTTGTTGAAATGTAACTTGGAAAATTATTGGTAATTTCAATTTAATTTGAATTATTTTTCAGTGTGTGTATGTTAATAAGAAGCAAGTATATTTAAATTTCTTTTATGTCTTTATTAAAATATCACCGACACGATATGGTAAAATTCTTTTTAAAAAAAAGATATGATCTTCGCCGGTAGTTCACGCAACAGCCAATATGTTAATTTTAGCATTTTGAACCAATCAAGTTGACGTTTGTGTTTTATTTTAGACCTGGCTACTCAGTTACGAACTTGCCGATACCATAATGATCTTAGCAGAGGAATCTGTTAATTTTTTGGCTAGTAAAAGAAAAATTGAATTCTTAAGGAAGCTTGAAAACCAAAAGTCGGAAGATACTGGCGTACCTCCTGTAAAACTGCTTGTGAGGGACAGAGTATGTATTCTTTATAATTTCTATTTTGTTTTATCGATAAAGGTTTACAAGATTTTCTTAATATTTTGATCAATCATTTTTAATATATTGTTCAATTTGTTTCATTTAAGAACGACGAAGATAAAGGGAATTTTACAAAACTTATCGAGGTTATAAAGCAAAGTAAAAAGGGTAAAATGATAGGTATCTTTTCAAAAGAAAATTATCCAGGTGCTTTTATGGATGCGTGGAGAGCCGCTCTGAAGCCAGAATCTTTTGATACGGTATGTTACAACATTTTATACCGTAGCATATTGAAAATTAAGATCATTATTAATTTCATGGCAAACGTTTCTTTGTTTTAGGTCGATGTAAGCGCTGCAGCTGCATACGTTATGTGTCCGAAAGAGGATGCTGAAATTATTACAGTAAAAAAGGCATGTTTAGTGTCTGTAGATGTTTTTACCAAGTACCTCAAAGATCAGATAATGGAAATTATAGATTCTGATAAGGTAACTAAATTTCATTTATTTATAGCCGTTTTCGAAAATTTTAACGTATAGACATAAAAGTTGAATATTTTCTACTATACTTGATTTTCATTTCAGAAAGTGAAACATTCAAAGCTTGCGGAAGGTGTCGATGCAGCTATAACCAACAAGAAGTATGTAACGGGTGTTGATGTTACCCAAGTAGATATGTGTTATCCTGCAATAATACAAAGTGGAGGAAACTATTCTTTGAAATTCAGTGTTGTCAGCGATAAGAACACTTTGCATTTCGGCGTAATTGTTTGTTCGCTTGGAGCCCGTTATAAGTCTTATTGTTCTAATATAGTCAGAACATTGTTGGTGAATCCCACTAAAACGATCGAGGTTAAATTCGTTTATAGTTGTATAGTATACTTACATAAGTAGCAACAACATTTATACTCTGTTTTAGGATAATTATAACTTTCTTTTACAATTAGAAGAAGAGATCTTAAAAAATCTGGTATCTGGAACGAAAATAAGCGAAGTGTACGACGGAGGTGTCAAATATGTAAAAGAAGAGAAACCAGATATGTTGGATCATTTGACTAAAAACTTTGGATTCGCGATGGGTATCGAATTTAGAGAAAGCTCTTTAATTATTGGCCCAAAAACTCATGCAGTGGTTAAAAAGGGCATGATTTTTAACGTTAACGTTGGATTGTCGAATCTTACAAATTCTGAAGCCACAGAGAAAGAAGGAAAAATCTATGCCCTTTTCATTGGCGATACTGTCATGGCTAACGAGGTATTACCTTTTATCTTAATAAAATGCAACTTTTTACTTGAAAACCGAATGCTCCATTGAAATACTTTGCTTATTTAAGGGTCAACCTGCTACAAATTTAACACTGTCAAAGAAAAAGTTGAAAAATATTGGAATATTTGTGAAAGACGAGGAGGAAGAAGAGGAAGAAGGAAGCGGAAAAGAAAATGAACCTAAACCCGAAATTCTTGGCCGTGGAAAAAGGTCAGCTGTAATAGAATCAAAGTTAAGAACAGAGCACAGTTCGGAAGAGAAGAGAAAACAGCACCAAAAGGAACTTGCACAACAGTTGAACGAAGTTGCGAAGGCTAGATTAGCTCAGCAGTCTGGTGGAAAAGAACAAGAAAAAATACGAAAATCAACCGTATCGTACAAAAGTCTAAGTCACATGCCTCGAGAACCAGAAGTGAAAGAACTGAAGTTGTATGTGGGTAAGTATAGTCATTATTATCTATTTCGAGTGTAAGCGTATTTCATGTTTATTCGCTTCAGGTTTTTAATTAATATCATAAATAATCATTATTTATATTGCAGACAAAAAATATGAGACTGTCATTCTACCTATTTTTGGTATTCCTGTACCCTTTCACATATCTACGATCAAGAATATTTCTCAGTCTGTCGAAGGAGATTACACGTATCTTAGAATAAATTTCTTTCATCCTGGTGCCACGATGGGGCGTAACGAGGGTGGAACATATCCACAACCAGATGCCACATTTGTTAAAGAAGTGTGCGTAGAAAAGTTTACTCTTATTTCGATCGTTTATATCGTTCACTCGAAACTTGTACATGAAAGTTTTTTTTTTTTTTTTTTTCTATCTTTTTAGAACATATCGAAGTACGAACACTAAAGAACCTGGTGAAATTTCGGCACCGTCGTCTAATCTGAATACAGCCTTTAGGCTGATAAAAGAAGTCCAAAAGAAGTTTAAGAACCGAGAAGCAGAAGAAAGGGAAAAGGAGGATCTCGTGAAGCAGGATACTTTAGTATTGTCACAAAATAAGGGTAACCCAAAATTGAAAGACTTGTACATTCGGCCAAATATAGTCTCGAAAAGAATGACGGGAGGTTTAGAGGCGCACGTCAACGGTTTCCGTTACACGTCCGTCAGAGGAGACAAAGTTGATATTCTTTATAATAATATTAAGAACGCCTTTTTCCAACCATGCGACGGTGAAATGATAATATTACTTCATTTTCACTTAAAAGTATGTATTTCAATTCCCCAATACGTATAGAAATTAAACCATTTGCCGTTAACTCTGATATATAATTACTAATACGAATCATTTACAGCATGCAATAATGTTTGGTAAAAAGAAACACGTGGATGTACAGTTTTACACAGAAGTGGGTGAAATCACAACAGATTTAGGTAAACATCAACATATGCACGATCGTGACGATCTTGCCGCCGAACAGTCGGAACGAGAGCTTAGGCACAAATTGAAAACTGCGTTTAAAAGTTTTTGTGAGAAGGTAACGATTACAATCTTGTATATTTCGTTTTCGTAAATTGAGATGGCACGTATAAGAAACAATTAATTTTAGGTTGAAAGTATGACCAAGCAAGAAATTGAATTCGATACTCCGTTCCGAGAATTGGGATTTCCTGGTGCTCCGTTTAGAAGTACTGTCCTTTTGCAACCCACTAGCGGATGTTTGGTTAATCTTACAGAATGGGTGGGTTTCGCTATAAAAACTATCACTATTACCAGAACCAATTATTATTGAACAGAGTTGAAGCGCGATCAAAGCGATTAAAATATTTATGTTTATATTTTAGCCACCATTTGTTATTACACTAGAAGACGTTGAACTCGTTCATTTTGAAAGAGTACAATTTCATCTGAAGAATTTTGACATGATCTTTGTCTTCAAAGATTACCATAGAAAAGTTGCGGTCTTGAACGCTATTCCTATGAACATGCTGGATCATGTAAAGGAATGGTTAAAGTGCGTTAAAATACTCTTTTTGTTGTTGTTTAGTTTAGTTAGTTTCCATAGAATGTAGTATAAGTGGTGTTAATTTCTGTCTAGTTCTTGCGACATCAGATACACAGAAGGTGTGCAATCTTTGAATTGGACAAAGATAATGAAAACAATTACAGACGACCCTGTAGGTTTCTTCGACAATGGAGGGTGGACCTTCTTAGAACCAGAAAGTGATGCTGAGAACGAAGATCCGGACGACGAGGATGAAGAAGTGGACGATGCTTATGAGGTTAACTGTGATAATCATTTTAATAATTATAAATTAATTTTGAATAACATTAATTATTATATATTTACATCGATTATTTAGCCGTCTGACTTGGACAGTGAAGAGGAATCTGATGATGATTCGGAATATTCCGAAGCTTCGGAAGACTCGGACAGTAATGGTAATCTTGAACAACTTAAGAAGAAATGGGGATGAAATGGGGAAGAAATAGAAATGTTTCTTTGTTTTATGTACGTTGTAGGAGAGGAATTGGGCAGCTCTGAAGAATCTGGCAAAGATTGGTCAGATTTGGAGCGGGAAGCCGCTGAAGAAGACAAGGAAAGAGCAGATGACCAATTCCAGGATGATTACAATTCCAGTAAGAAGAAGAAATCTGATCGAAAGCATTCGTCTTCACCGTCGAAAGACAGGTAGTTATTTCAGCTACCATATAACACGATAGTTAGGTTCCGTGAAAGTGTGTTATTGTGTTGTTAAAAAAAAAAAAAAGTGATAAATTTATTAATTTACACGGTTTGTTCGCAGGCATAATTCAAAGCACAAGAGCTCTTCCAGTAGTAAAGACAAACATAGATCTTCGTCCGGTAGTAAAGACAAAAAGTCGTCGTCGTCGGATAAGCACAGGTAAGAAAATTATACTTTTTATGTAATTTAGGCGTTTAGACTCTGAGATTGGAATGGTATAACTTGGTTGTAAAATTATGTTGAGTCAATGCTCCAATGATTAAAGATCGGATCGATCACGGAGCGGGGGATCACACAAGAAAGTGTCTCCTTCCAAATCGTCCAAACACAGGTGACTAAATATAAATGTTCATTCGTGCGATGATGTGACATACGAGTGTTTTTTTTTATGTTTAGTCCCAAGAAGAGCGATAAACACGACAAGCACGACAAACACAAATCGAGTCATTCTTCGTCCAGCAGTAAGAAACGATCTCGCGACGACAGCTCAGAAAGAAACGACAGGGGATCGAAGAAATCCAAGTACGTATAAATACGGTACCAAAATGTCTACAACATTATTAATGATTTATTTACCGTTGTTCTTTGCTGATATACTATGCTGTGAATAATTACAAAACTCATCGTGGTAAGATATATTTATAATTGAATAGTAAGAACTTGGAGAAACGAAATTGTCGTGGAGAGGTGCGGGGCTGGGGGTCAAAATGTAGAAGTATGGTTGAGTTCATAATTATTCACAGCACAGGTGATCTTATATAATATTTGTTGATATGTTGTGTGTAGAAAATGAGATGGATCATCCACGCACTGAAGATAAAGCACATACAAGAACACAAACAACATGTTGATTCTACAGAAAGCTTTCTTATTTGTGGTACGTCGATTCAGTTATGAGAACAGTACATTTTCTTGCATTGACTCGTTTAAACCGTCGACAAACGATTCGTTGATATTGCTTGAAAGTTCGATAGTGCACCTCCAAGGTTTAAATACTTGGCGGTACAGTGATAATAATGTTATATATGTGAACTTATACACGAATAATTTGTCGTAATTTCGTTATACGAACACGTTTATTTTGTGACTTGTAACTTGTACATAAAAGTCTGTTTTAACTAAGAAAGTCGATCTTAATTATATAATGTAGTTACTAACACGGAACACTTCATTCCATTGTTCGTTTGCTAACAATATCCAAATATATTTGTAATAATTTTTCAAGTTGACCGATTAACTCTTTGTAGCACAAAATTTTTTTTATAGTTTGTGAAATTTTTCGTGCATCGAAGTAACAAAAACTGATTTTAAATAAAAGTAAACAGTGGTTAGCAAGGATTAAGCACCGTGATGATACTTGATGGTACTTTTGCAAAATAGAGAAGCAAGTTGTCTGTCGCTGGTGCCAAATATCTTCCGAAATGGATATTTTCTAGGCTGACTTAACCATGCTAGCCACCGTATGCACGCAAAGAGTTAAAATGTATTAAAGAATCAAATAATATTCATTGTACAGGTAGTATGTGAAACAAAACTTGTTTCATCTGTTATATTGTTCTGTATTGAACGACCATGACACCATTAATTCATAACTGCGATAAACGGAATAGTCGACTCTATAGGTATACGTGTAACACGCTCTCAATGCAAGACAATGCACTAGTGATAACTATCGTACATAAGATACCGAAAACAAATATTAATTCATTAAGCGAAGGAAGCTGAAATGAATAAAAAAAAACTTTGATAATTTTGTTCGTATATAGTTCTGAAATTTGTACCTTGGTAAACAAAATAAATACTTTTTAAGTTATTTATCAGTAATGCACAAACATTGTCGCTTATTACAGAGAAGTTTATAAACGAGATTGTTACGATTACACAGTGAATAATAGTTGTACTATTAATGCGATTTTATCATTTTTGTTTGAGGTATTGAATCCTTGCAAGATTTTGCAACTGCCTCAAGTATAAATGAAAATTCATTCATCCTCGACTTCTTACGTAATTACTTCCTGTCAAATTTGAGGAAGGAGGAAAGAAGTGACGATCGGTTTCTACGAAGGTGAAAGTAAAACGAAAGTGTAATTTTGCAAAACTTTTTATACCCTTGACACTTTACTTTTCTTTTTGATATGTTTAGTAACAAAAATGGAATAAAGCTTAATAGTAAGTTCATGTTATGTTTCTACTTCTTGGTAACACCATTATAGTAAATACCAAAGAAGAATCGTTCCAATAACATCGTGAATGTAGCAGAAGTGAAAGTGTACCTCTAGTTAGTGGTTCTGCAGCTTTCTCCACGACATCGCGAGCAACATACATAATTCCTGCAGATCACTTTGTTCAACATTTAACGATATACGAATGACACATATTTTTTTTCTACCGGCCGATGTTGCTTGGAATTTGTATCGTAATATTTTTACTTCTTTTATTTTTTTCTTATTAATAATATTGGCAAAAGGCGAAATTATACATATAATGATCTTTTGATCGAAAACGTAAATGGTTTCTTATTCGGTCGTTTGTACAAGAATAGGGTCATCACGAAGATCCTTGTTTCGGATATACTGTAAAGAAATTTCGAATTTATATCGTTCGTGTGTTACGAATAACATATTTCTTACATGTTACAAGTAATCGATAGAAATCTTTATATGTAACGGTAAAGAAGCTAATTCGATGAGTTTTCAAAAATTGGAGATTTCTCAAATTTTAATCAGCAAAAAATCGTAGACACGAGTTACGTTTTCATTTCGTTTATTTATGAAAAGTGCAAAAATTTAAGTACATCGTTAAAAAAAAATCACATCACATAAATATTTGTTAGAAAACTTACAACTAGAACATCTTTACAAGGAAATAACGACGATGGGAGTTGAATACACCATTGAGTCTAATTCCGTCCTATTTGATCAATCTGAGATTGAAGGTTGTTCACAACTTCCGGTGGAACGTGTTCACCCAGAATTTCGAACAGATTGATCTTTTGATCGCCTGGAATCGACTCGTACGCAGCCAATTCGATTCCTTCCTGTACTTTTTGTATCGTCGCATCCTTCGGAATAAGGTACGTGTTCTGCGCCTGTTTTATAGCCTCGTTGCTGAAAATCTGTCCGTCCTTTTGTGGAAACGCCAAAGCAATTCCTACCATTGTCAGTGTCGTTATTAATATCACGCGGACCTCCATCTGAAACAAACGTAACGCCGATCTTTTTTTCTTTCTTTTTACAACGTTTTGGTTGTTGTTTTTATCCATTCAAAATATGATGAAAATAATTAATGATGTGCATTATCTTCAATGATTTTAAACAAAAACGTTAAAGAGATTAATTTAAACTAGTTTCTCTATCAGCGACCAATCCCTACAGCGACTCGAGTTACTTGTGGCAGGTTAAAAAATCCTTCAATGAATACCAATTTACATGTAAATTTACAAATGAACCATAAACAAAAGTTAATTTAGAAATGAATCTAGTATGTTTATTATTTGTTCGCGAATAAAATTTACCCAATTTTGGTTGACGGTTCGTTTTCATGAAAACGACACACGCATCGTTCCCGCGTTTCTCCTTAACAAGAAATAGGTTGGAATCTTGAACGATATTTATCGAGTACACGACGTGAGAGGGATGTTTAATCTGGTTTTGCAACCACACTTGTGTCGCAATGCGGGACACGTATAAATGTAACGACATAAAATATTTCATCGAGAGTAAAAGATAAAATTTTAATTATAAGGATTTGTAGATTTTTGTGGGAGGAAGAGCACTAGATATTAATTTTTCAAATTACCTTCAAGTTGCTAGACCGTTTGTATTAAAAAAAAAAAAAAAAAAATGCTCTCAGAATAGAAATAAGTAAACCTACCACTTTTCACGTGCGTAGAAATTATCTTGTTTGTTTGTTTTAGGGCACGGTAACGAAAACGTTTGGAAATCACTGGCGTAAAGCGATCAAGTTTTGAGAATGGTACTCACGTCGAGAGCGTCGTTTCACAATCGGTCGCCACGGAGCGAGACTAAGCGCGGCGCCGGCAGAAGCGGCTTTTATACTCGAGATGGCTACCGAAACGAACGGCCGGTCACCACTACCGTTCATCCAACGAGGATCCACCTTCCAATTTGCTAAAAGCTACAAAAAGAAATGCTCGTTGACCATTAGACTTTCGTTCGCCACGTGGACCGTTGCTACTGTCTCTGATCGAGGCTTATTCACAAAGTTTTGTATTGTTTCCATTTATCTTTCTCACTTTCTATCACCGTTAAATTTGCGTACTTTTAACGAGAAATATTCTTGATGGTCGATTTTAACTTGTCCGTAAGTTTTTAAGCTTTTTATGGGGAGTATGGAGTACTCGACAAATTTACAATTAAAGTCCTTAATTTTTATACGAATTTTAAGGTTCACATGCGGATATTAAGTTTCGAAGTAATTACAAGGCGACGAAGGCATCGTGTTCAATGACACATAATTGAGAAACATTAAACTACGATGATAAATTCTCTAGTCGTAATTCGACGATTTATGGTAATTGTCGTCTGTTGATTATTTTCAAGTACGAAATACTATAGTACGAGAAGAAATAATAGTTTATTGAACGTGTACGAACACGTGACGGCAATAGTTGATATTTCGGATTCGATAAAAGCTTCGAACTATACGACTGTTTTAAACGTTTCTCTTTGCGCTTTTACAAATACCATCGCACGACTCACTGTGAATATTAGTGACCCATTGACCAACGTAGCCACAACATTTCACTTTTACTATTGTCCTTTTCGAATAGTCGAACGACGAAAAAAATCACGCGGTTGCCATCGCATTTAGTAACAGAAACATGATTAGCATATCTAGTGTACCCATTCCATTTGTTAGCAAAACATACACTGACCAGATCAACTTGTAAGATCACCAACGTATCTTCCGAGTTGCTATTACGAACGTGAAATGTCTTTCAAGTATTCCGATGTTCTATGAAAGTAAAATTTAACGATTTATTTTTATTGATTTTATTGTTACCGATTAAATATCGCTGATTGTTAATTATTAAAAAATTGTATTTTCTATAGGTCGAGAAGATACCTTTAATGAACTGTACGTGATTCCAAATTAATAGTGACTAAAAAAGAAAAAACAAAATGGGGGATTTCCCGCGTTAGTCGGAAGCTGTTAAAACGAGAGATGTCACCGTTTCTCGATGTATTTTTATCCATTGGTATCACTTTCTTTTGGATTACACAATCGATTTTGAAATATGTATGTACTCTGTATTTTGGATAAACTTTACCGGATCAAAAATTATTAAGACCGTTTTACAGAATCTGATAGAATTTTATAAACAGATTTGAAAAATCATAATTTTATTTTTAGAAATGCATAGGACCAAAAATTATGCGTGTTTAAATATGTATGTACATATTATTGTACTGATTGCATCGACCACCAGCCATGTTGGCTCCTTTCACTGCTTGTCCAATGAAACAAGTTCGTCATCCTCCGTAATGACGTCACACGCATACACTGTTTCTGTTATTATTTTTCCAACATCTGGTAACGTTGATGCCTGTAAATCAATGCTCACGATGATGTGTTTTCAATCGGAACACAATCGAACTCAAAATTATACCACAGACGAGGTATACTCGTATTGTGTGCTCGCACGTCGACAGTTGATTCCGGCGTCTATACGATCTATTGACACATGATTATTGCAACTGTTTTCTGATCGTTTATCCGAATGTACAGGTCTAATCTTGATTTCTTGAGATCAAATTTTTATTTTTTCAGAAATGATGGAATTCTTTCGATACGCTAAGAGTGCTAAATTGGAATTCTAGTGTGATCCGATAATGTTGAAAGTAAAGACATAAATGGTAAGGGAGCTCGCGAGTCTCTATAGTTCGTGTGACAGAAAAAAGCATTGTCTGCCACGTGTCTATTCTATAGGCTGTCTGTAATTCTAAAGCACATTCGTAAACAGGTTTATAATTTTCTATTGTTGTTCGTTGATAAAACAGAATCAAAATACTGAGCGATACTGAATTGAAAATGGCGCTGCTAGTTGATCGATCTACGGCGATGGGGTCGCTCGCGTCGTAAACGCCGAGAGTGGTCAGTACACAGTGAAAATGGCGCCGCGTGAGTGAAGGTGGATGATTCTGTGCGTGCGTGTATCCGGAAATTACGAGTTTTTGGAAATGTGGCAAGATCTGGACGGCCTGGGAGGTGCGGGGGTAAATTCTGGTGGTCATCAGGTCGACCAGTTTGGCACAATAGGTAAGAAAATTGAGAAAAATCAGGATATATCTGATATCCAACGTACGACAACCTGGAAAAAATTTGGGTTTTCCCTGTCAGAGCGCACGCGCTCTACCTCCTTTTCTATCATATGCACGCCGTAAACAAAACGAAATCTCTTTTTTCCCGACGATAATCAGACAAAGTATCGAACATTGTCCGTTCTTGGCTTGCATCCTGTATTCCGTTGTATTATCTTTGAGTGGTTCACCCCCATCTGTCAAGGGAAATGTAACATCGAAATACGATCGAAAGGTTTGAAGGAAACGAGAGTTGTATGTATACCTGAAATCTGACGATTTTTTTAAAATGTTTCTACGCTATTGTCGATCGATATCGCGAGATACATATAGGCTAAAGAAAAACAATTCCGAGAATAACTTTACGAGTGGGATTATCTTGGCTGTTTACAAGTGTACACCTTGAAACAAAATATCCCGTGAATCACTCCGAAACAGGATAGCAGTGTAACAAGTTTGACGTACCGACTGAGAATTCCTTATTACAAGTATCGGTTCAAAGAGCATGGCTGTCGGCCCGGCCCGGTCCGGTCCGGCCCCGTTATGATTCTCGCGCGTACAGAGAAGCAACAGTTTCTAATTGTTCCGCTAGTGCACGTAACCTAGCCTAATCCGAGGAGCTGACTTTCCGCTCGTCGTGCGAAAGGAAGAGGTTAGCGTACCCGTTCGAATTACATAACCTCGCACGGAGGTCGAGCCCGAGGATGATTATACGGTACTACCGTCACGACATACCGCAGGTGGCAGAACGCGTTATGAATGGCGTATGAAATACGCACACGCACGCACGCACGCACGCACGCGATCATTTCCTTTCTCGTTACTTTTCCCTATGTGTTTTTTTGCGTTTCCATGTTTACGCTCGCCCCAAAGCCGAGCAATTTACATATTAAGCACGAGTGTCGGTTTATAAACATCGACAACGTTATCACGAATCAACATTATTGCTGCTCCGTCGTTTACCGATCGTTAACTTTTCGGCACGTTATGTTTACGAGTTCGATACTACCGTTCGTTGTAAAATAGGCCAACTTTTTACATAAAGTCACCGTTTCTTCGATGTTTTAGTTTAGGAAATTCGGTATCCAGTATCCAATAACACTTGTACCAGTCGGTCCAAGGTCTCTATGTATAATATGTAGAATAAGAAAAGTGCCTGTTTGTTGTCGGTTGTTCTTAATCTCCAAAGTCCTAATCTCATTTGCGTTTATTCGATGCCTGTACGCGAGACCTGCCTTAATTCGAAAGACTATTTTTAGATCTTTGGTTAAATTGTTCTTAACTAGGGCCCCTTCCTTGGCTCGACTGGCATCGATCGAGGATGCCAGCACCATTGTTGTTCGAATGGTCGATCCGAGCGATATCGTTCGTCGTTGGAACGAAAAATGTGCGATTAACAAATGCAAAGATCAAATTTTATAACGGGGCACTGTGTACCTCTACCTCGTACTTTCTCCACTTTTTATTTTATTTTATCGTCCAAGCAAAGGAAATATACATATGTTTAAACACTGCGTCGTCTGTATGGGATTTTCTTAGCCGTTTCATTCTTACCATAAATGACTAATTTAGTTGGCGGTAACTGTAACCATTAGTGAATATCTGCAGTATTTTCCATCCTTGTCATCCGAATTTTCCACGTAGACCAATCAACGTGGAATAGATTTAGTTTCTATCGAAATAAAATTCGTTCGTCTTGTTTGCAGAATTGACGCCTGAGCAGCAGAAGATTCTTATAGACATCAGGCGAAAGAAGACGGAGCTGTTGCTCGAAATACAAGTGAGTAGTCGATTGGCCCTAGTTTTCTGGTCATCATTTTATTCGCGACCCCGTTTCGCGAACTATGTCGAAGCTGTCATCGCCGCGAGTTTACATCGAGCGAACGATATCGTTGTTGTTTTGCGTTCCGTCTGCACTCTGGTTTTTCAAACTTGCAAATTATTTGCGTAAAAGTCGTTTTCCATCGATCGTGCGGATCTTCCTCTTCCTTTTTTGCTCACCAGTTATTTATTATTCTTCGTGTTTTTTCTTTTTCTTTTAATACTGGATGGATCTACTGGAATGGATTTGCGACTAGAGCTACCACCGAGTATTATCAGTAAATGTCTTTAATAACGAAATATAGCAAGCTCCACCAGAAACTGGACACCTAATTATCTCTTTTATTTTAATAAATATAGAAAAGTGTTTTATACACTAGTATTTTTACTCGTTATAAACGATAATTGTACGGGTTTCCTTTATTGTAAATTTTTAATCTTTCAGGCAACCTTAAAATTTTCCTTGCAAATACCAGCGTGGAGGATGGGGCTCCTTTGCAATTTTACATAGACAGATTAGATTCCTGGTGCTCCAATAATAAACCCACTTTCAATGTTGCTAAGTGCTACTACGTGGTCAGGTTTATTCGCAGAACCACTTTCATCATCATCATCATCATCATCATCATCATCTACCCATATTCTGGTCGACACCAATACTACACGCGATCTTGGTATTCTTTTCTTTAATAACCTATCCTTTAATGAACATTATTTACGTATACCTGACCAGTAAAAAGTTGAAAAACAGTTTGAAGACGAAGGATATTTTTTTGATAATTTAAATTACTTTAACAAAAAATCATGTTTCTCTTTGTGTCTCTCTTCTATTTTTATGAATATCGTAATAATTGATCTGGTTAATGATACGGTTTAAAACATATGTAATTTGTTCAAAATTGATCTTTTCAAATCCTGCCGCAAAACTAACAGTAAAGATTACCTTCTATCAACGTACATACGTACATATTTTAAATAAGTGAGGATGAAATTAAATTGTAATTGAATGTTGGAAAGAAATTCTTGGTTAAAAAATTATTATCTCTTTAATAGCAGAAGTAATTTGTACAGTAGCGAAGAAGGAATGCGCATCGAGCGTCGTTCTCGAAACTCGTCGTATTTCAACATTTATTTTATCATTCGTTTTATTCTTTCCTGTTATTTTTGCCGCGCGCGAGCGCCCTCTCTCTTTCTTTTCTTCTATTCATCCAGTTCCATTGTACATTTCTCCATTTAAATCCACATACAACCTGCTGTTGTCCCGAGCAACATGTTCTTATTGTGGTCTGAAAGGGGTTTAGTGGAAACGCGAACCTCAGGCGCAGACCAGGCTCGAGTAAAGACTGGTCGGTCAGGTGCTTTTTTTATCCCCCTAAACCATGTTTGGAAAGAGAGTATAAGGATCGGCGATTTAGCTTGGGTGGCAGATCTTAACTTTGAAACGTTACAGAAGAATTGTTGTGACTCTCGTATTTGTTTTTCGCGTAAACGGTTCACTTCGTAATCGTTTCTTAGAGCTTTTCTATTTCTTAAGAGAATAATTTTCGAATAATTTTCGAATAATTTTCCAAGTGATTTTTCGTACGCTGCATGCATAAGCAGCTATTATGTAAATTAAAATACATATATTTGTAAATTGATTTTAATAGTAATTTTTTTTTAAATATTTACCGCAGAGCGAAATCTGCAGGACTGTTTGTTCCTTACCGGTTGTGTAAAGTTGGGGAAAAGAACGCGCGAGGGCGCCACGTACAATTGTTTAATCGTACAAGTAACGTAGGTACCTACATACATGCATGTAGGAAACGCTGAAACCAAGATTGCTTCTCTTTGGACATATTTACCTTTCACGCGGTTAAATAAGGTCATTGAGTTTACGTATAGTTTTAAAGATTATATTATAGTACGGTATCGCGTAGTTGCAATTTTTTCATTCCTCATTACCGTCGTCCAACAGTGGATGAAAATAATTATTCAGATGGATTTGTTTCTTCGATTAGACGATAGATTCGATCGTTGAACTTGAAGAGGTAGAAATGTCGGATATTTGATCTTTTCCGTTCGAAATCTATAAATAGGATACGATGTTTTGGCCGGTCGACCGACCGACCGACCGACTGACCGATCGATTGATCGATCGATCGATCATTTCTGCGATTCGAATCCATGTTTGTCGGTGGGCAAACGCGCGTATGTATGGATGTTGTTTTCACGCGAACATACATATTTCCGTAATAGCGATGGATACATGGATGGATGAATTTCTCGAGAAAGTGGAAACATTCGAAGCCGACGGGTTTCACCTTCAATTTAATGTAATTAAACGTACGTAAATATCCAAGTGTCGTTGAGTTTCGATAACACTCGTATGGGCTCTGTTGTAAGCGGTGACGGCAAGCTATCCACAAACAGTCTCTTGGACAGAGTGGTGTCGCGTCACGCTCCCTCTTAGTGCCAATGCGAAAATTCAATATACATCTACCAGGAGGAAAGTTATTCATCGACGTCGTGAGAATTGTTGCTTTTCGAACGACGAGAAGTCTATCGCGTTATCGTCGCGTCGGTTGCGTTTACAGCGAGAACGTAACGCGAGTGTAATTTACTCAAGGGGAAAAAGATGGTCGTAATACTCTATTTGGCCTTGTTAAATGAATTTAATCGATTTAGTTGAATTTATCGTCGGATTCGCGTGGGTTCTGACCCTCGACATCCATGACGTCAAGCACGCGTCGAATGATCGGGCAAGGATGGATCAAGTCGTGCTGCCTGTGCTCCGTTATTTGGCTTTTTCGTGGAAACCGACGAGAATCTCGAAAGGTGAACGAACGTGTAAGGTTCCTGGCCGTTTCGCTAGCTGCTTTCCGTGCGATAGTTTTACCGATATTTGTGCGTCGATCTGTCTTGGATATGGGAAACGAAAGGTTTAACAGAACCAAATTATCTGTCACGGTACTGGGGGCCAATGTTCTTTCCAGGGGACCAGTGACATTGACATTTTTTTTTATACTATAGTGTACTCTGCACCGTTGCGTGTGAATGGTGACTTTCGCGTAACCTTATACCGTAGAGAAGCGCGTATGATTAGTAGAGTAGACGTTGGATAAATAGAATCGAGTATCTCGATGTATCGAATTCTGAAGATCGTTCGGTGTGCTGTGCGTCGCGAAGCGAAGCGAAGCGAAGCGAACGCGTTCAAACGGTCAGTCGACGACAACGAATAAAGTTTAAGGTGGAAAGAATAGGTAACATCGATGGTAGTAATTTTGTTATCGTTGGCATTGGAGGGAATGAAACGAAACGAAAAGAAAATAAAGGGTAAAGATGCGAGGAGCAGAGTTGTTTTTAAAAGGTAGACAGGTCTCTGTATATTAAATGATGTCCAGTGGGATTGTGGACGCGTGACCGGGTTCGTGACACGTCCACCGTGAGGCGCCAGTGCGTTTGCAGCGCGACGGTTGCCGCGACCTAGCGGTGTTTTCCTGCGCTCGGTAGTCGCACGTCGACTGTGTCACGGTTCGGATTGTGGGTCGTTGATTTTATTTTTTCTACGTATAACCTTTATTTTCTAAACAAGTTAAAAGTAAAGGGTCGTGCATAAATATTTTCGAAACATGTATCGTTTATCGTGTATATGTTGGTGTCGTTGTGTCGTAACAAAAGTTTATTAGCATCGAACATCACCGACAACGTTGCTCTTCGAATCCAATAGTAATAATAGTAATAATATGAAAATAATATTTCTAGTTGGCAGTTGTTCGCGCAAGTACAAAAAGTGGTGTCGATTCCCGATCGAGCGGAATTGTTTGCTGTGTTTACGTAGTTGTTCACGTGGTGGCTGATAGACGCACGCCGACAGTGTAAAATGTCGATCGCGAACCGATCGAAAGAAATCGCGTCTAAGATTCGAGGTCGTTGAACCGTGTGTGGGATCGTTTCGCCCGGAGTGTTTTGTTCGAGGAAGCCAGCTGTGTGTGGCGCGGTTAGTAATTTCTGTGACGCGAGTGTCGAGAGAGAGAGAGACGACGTGTCGGGAAAGAATCGAACGTCAATGTCAGCCTCGAGTTTAAATGTTGCGTGCGGTGCGCGATGTCAGAATGTGTGGTTAGGTTGTTCCTGAAATCGTACCACGGCACGGTACACGAAGCCAGCTCCTCGTTGATCCTCGGAATTTCTCCATCGGTTATCGAAAGTTTTCGCGTGGCGAAAAATGATTTTCACCGGTAGGTCGGTAGACGCGCTCGACGAGGTACACGGTGGCAATGTTCGGACAGAGAATCGCCGGGACATCAGCGCCGTCGCCATAGCCGCAGGATGGTTCTCTAGTCTGCGCAGACCCGGCAAAAGGAACAAGAAGGGTTACCAAAAACAGGCCAAGAGCGCTTGGGACCTTAGTACATTATCTACGGTTAGTCGAATCTTTTAACTCGACTCTATTTCTTACAGCCAAAACTACTACCGCGTTTTATTTATTATTGCCCGGGCCCCCCTTGCTTCTTTCGAAAACTCGACTCGGATAGTCGTTGGTGCGTTTGTCGGATCGCGTGGATCGTATTCGATATAGAGCGGAGACACGCCGCCGCGAAAGTCTTCCGGTGTTATCAAAGCGTCGACGAGGAAGCAAGCTTGCTCGAACCTGATCTCGACGCGATCTGTAATTGACAAGAAGCCAACAGGCGGTTCGCAAATAAATTGTCGATCGTATTAAGAGCAGCAAAACGATGCAAAATACGAGAGCACGATGGCGTTGGAAAGTTGCCTGACGGACCAAATGTATTTCTAGATATGTACATGCACACCCGGCCTCGATCGGCCTCGATCGATCATTCGATCGGTGATCAGCGACAAATGCAAATCCACCAGGGGTGTTTACTTCTACAGCTATGTAAAGATTTTAAGGGTACGAGAGAATAATCTGTCGATGATCGGTTCTCGCTAGTTTCATTGAGGTACGGGTGCTATTTGGTCTCCCTTCATCCGAGACCTATTTAATTTTGCATCACGAAAATTCTTTACCGGATAGGGTGAAAAGATAGTCCATGTTCCGAAGCGTTGTTGATTCGCAAACAGATTATATGTAAGTACGTATACTTTGGTTTGACGTCGCGTCGCGTCGCGTCGCGTCTGTCCGATCTTAAACGTGCCTCTCGTGTAACACGACCAAGTTTCGTGTCTCCTCCTTGTAAGTACCAGTCGAGTCTCGATCTTATCGGCAATACGTCGTACCTGACGATCGTGTCGTCGATGCATTTGTTTACCGTGTCGACCTTAATCACCCGTTTGACGTCAACGATTGCTCGCTACCAAGAATATATCACCGTCGATTACATAAACCTCGATACGCTGACCCAACGGGGGGGTCATTGTCATTTTTAGCGTCCGATCGAACGCGAAAGATAATTAATCGTAGAAACATGAATGGAAAAAGGAAAGAAATCAAGTTTTGTTCGAAACGTCGAATCAGGTGAACGGGGGTGGTTTCTCCGATTAATACGGTGCGAATAACACGTGGCTCGCAGGAATATTATTTCTATTTACGTATACTTTGCCGAAACACGTGTCGCTGGCCGGCTTTAAACGCAACATTGTGTTTACATTGGAAACGTATCGATCTGTTCTTGGTTCGATACGCATACCGCGCGTAACAACGATCGTTGGTTCGCGAATAAGGAAACGGGGTAGTAGGCGGCGTGACCGCAGGATTCGAGATCGCATAAATCGCACCCATGTTCGAAACACTGACGAGTATTAAACATTTTCACCGTTACCCTCCATCAACCTCTCAGGATCGTTATTTCTTTCGGAATAACGAACTCGATCCACGCCACTGTTCAACTACGGGAGCACAAATGTTTATTTGAACGTTTGCTTCTACATAATACGCGCGTATAAATGTTGGTGGCGGAGTAACGCGCTACCGACTCTCGAAGTACGCGTCGAAATCGGGGTTTTATACCCGGTCCAGGGCAAGGACAGCGCGTATACCTTTTTCACAGAAAAAATGCTTGGACGGCGTGGTGGTGAGAAAGTCGCTACAGTTCGGTTTAAATTTGGCTCCGATAGAAAGTTAATAAACCTGAACGCGATCATCGTTTAAGCAATGACTAACCAATCGGTAACTCGAGCAGGCGATACGCGATTCGGAGAACACTATACGTAAGTAGATGAATAATATGCTTCTCCTGGTTTGTTTGCGCAAACATTTGTCCAACGATTGCGATCGACGCTCTTTGTTGTTGGTTTTGAAGAAACTAGAGATCGATAAGATATCGAGAGAGTAGTTGGGTGCATTATCTTTATGGACCCCGGTCTTCTTCCATTTACCGCGACTTGTAATTCCTGGAGCACCGCCAGACCGGCGCTCGGTCGCTCGGTCGCTCGGTCGCTCGGTCGCTCGGTCGGTCGCTCGGTCGGTCGGTTCTTTTTAATAAAAGAATGTTTGGTAATATTACCGCACTTGGCCGGCTTCCAATTAAACGGCACCGTGTCCTCGGCCTTGCTGGTCGCGCGAGAACATTAACATCGCTCGCGCCCACGTCTGATTATCCACGCGACGCGACACACCCTCCCCGTATTCAAGCGTTACGATTAACATTTTTCCTTTCAGGATCTCACCCACACCTTTAAAAGATACTCCGAATAAGAGTGACCGTAAATGAGAAAAGAAAATAGGCTACCAAGGGCTTTGCTCTAGCCTCTTTGATAATTTTACCCGTAAGTTATTCGTCACTGCCCCGTAAAGGCCTGGGACATTTTCAGCGTAAGAACGTGCAAACTTTCGCATTCTGGAAACTAAGTGTTTGCTGCGCAAGTACAGACAGCTGCTCGGAGATACATGTATCTGGATCCGGGCTTCGGTAAATTGTAGTACGGATTCGTGTGTAAAGGATATTGGCAGAATCAACAGGCAAATTGGTCGGAATAATTTTATTTCAAAGTCCTAATATAGAAATTAAAACGTAAAAAGATATTGATCCTGGTAAACATTGTTTGTGTGTCCTTAGGATCCTTGTTTCTAAGGATACACATATGTATACGTACGATAAGATCGACCGTTTAGTATCTGTTACCTGTGCGATCGCGTCTCGTCATCCATCGTTGACGATACTGAGTCACTCTGTCGAGCGAACTTGTACTACAGGAGAATGTGTACGTACGATGAAAAATATGAATCGCACGGAAGACGCGACACCGCGTGCCAAGAGGACGCCAAGCGGCGCGGCGCGGCGCGCACAAGCCTACAAAATCGAATATTATCCGAGAGAATGAATCATTGGTTGAAATAGCCCGTAGAAATTCTCCCACTACGTTCGTACGTTTCTCGCGTATGACGCATTTTCCGCGTACGAGAATGATTATTTTTATCGTCGAACTTTGATTGCCTACTCACAGACTCGCGTTTCTCGGCTGCTACGACCGATCTATGCTACATACATACATAGATTTTAACTAAACGATCTCGCGCGGTTCGGATCGTTTATTTCCGCTCTGTCGCAAGCAATCCGATGCGCCACTAAACAACTATGTGCGTATCTAGCTTCCGCAACCAGCGATTAATTCCAATTAATACGATATACGTATAACGTTGGACCAAGTTCCGTATGCAAAACTGTTAGCTCCAAGCACGTCTCGTAGATAAGGTTTGCAAAAGGAATGCGTATGCCGCGTATCGTTAACCTATTTTTATGTTTCTTTTTGGTTCATTACATGGCACAGGGCGCACAAGTTTTGCTTTCGATCAACTAAACTAGCAAAATTGATTCGTATCTCTGACCGATCGAATAAACGATTTCCCGCAAACTCGTGGTACACTCGAATGCGTCGAAAGTATAAGTAAGAAAAGGAACGATAAGATGATCAGTTTGCGTATCTGCTTTCAGCGAAGGTAAGCAGACGTAAGCCGTTAGAAAGGAAAAATGGTGTTGTAACTTGGAAACGGAGCGAAACCGAACGCGTATGTATCTATCTGTACGTTTATGCGATCTTATTTTATTGCTTTTTACCGGCGAAGAATTTCTCAAGAGTTTTCTACGTACACGTATTATGTCACGCGTGCTGTATAAATACACACACCGGTGCCTCTAAACTATTTAATAGTTTTAGGATTTTTCTCTCGAGCAACGACACGTAAGTACTTACGTACTCGCAGATCGTATCGAATCCGTCGATATCGCTGTTTATTCTCGAGTATCGCGCGATGCTTTTGCAACTATGACCGTGCTGTTCCGTCTAGCTTCGCTAAAAATATCCGACGCTCCCAAGTTTTACCAATGTAAACTAGCTGAAAGAGTTTGTTTGGAAAGTAACGAAACAACTAACCCTTGTATAGCCGATACCGCGGTACAAGGAACAAAAAGAAAAGAAAAGAAAAGAAAATAAACGACGAGCGAAAAGTTGAAAACTCTTAAAAAATGCTCGACTAATTTGTAAACGAAAGCCTCGTTGTTAGGGGATATAGAATCGATAAAAGTTTTTACTCTGGCCCGTGTATTTTCCGTTGGTTCTCGGTGTCCGGTTAGATGAAAGGCTGGCCGCGTGCGCAGTTTCAGACCGAGCGAAAGGAGCTGGACTTCCCTCGCGCCTTCTTTCTCTCCTGTTCTTGTGTTGCTCGGACGACGGCCTTGAGAGGTCACTTTACCGGCGACCGGACGGATCGTTTGCTGAATATGTACTTGGCGAAGAAAGGAACTGGAACGCAGCACACGGGGAGAACTAACTGGTCATTCTAATAACATCTACTTCCTAAAATGAGTCGTCTATTTGGACAAATTCTCTCGACGATCCTTTCCTTTGTACAATATACGTAATCGTCGTTTCGGCACTCGTAGTTGTACATACGCTTACGTCAACTTTGATTTTACAGTATCTTACGATCATGGCCCGAAGAGCACGAGGATCCATGGATCGAAACAAAGAGATTCGAGTTTGCTATAGAAAAGGAAACTGGTTGTCACGCGTTGCTATTGCATTTTTCAAACGGACCGCGCAACAAAGAATTTAACGAGGAAAGGAAAGGACGCGACCGGTATTTGAAACCGTCGGTTAGTGATGATCTAAAGAGAACCTACTCGGTCTTGGACGGTTTGTATCTTTAATCGTTTCTATGGTATTTATCGCCTTTCGGGCTAACTTTTATTCCACGTTCAAACTTTTTAATGGTCGTCGTTAAACGGAGAGAAATCGTATCATCGATCGATCTATGATCGATTCTTTTAACGAGTCTCTACAGACAGCAGGCGACATTTACTACTTGAGAAAATTTTTTAGGTAGCTTTGGAACGTTCGAAAACGTAAGAATACCAATCGGGAGGAACGAGAGAGAGGACGCGAGCGCAACGAATAAATATGAAAATAAATAAGACAAGCCGACCATCCGGCCGGCTGGCCAACCGCGTTCAAGCCGGTCGA